TATCGAGAAAAGGTACCAAGCTATGTTGCTAAACACAGACAATTTATGGGTTATTTTTAGTTGTAAGAGCTAATGAACAATAAGCCTGAGCTAATAGGCCAAACAACTTATAATTAATGTGTGTTGCTTTGGGACTGAGCAGCTGTGGGACCGGGCAGGACATAAACTTCTGTCTACAGTTATTATTAAAACAGAGACAAAGCTAGGAAGCAGTGGAAGAGCCACTGTAGAGTGTCTGCTGTCACCTTAGGTGTATAAGCAGAAACAAGATGTTTGCAAGGTTCAGCGCTGAACTTGAGTTTCAGAGCTGGAAGGATATACAACTAGGTTTTTTTTGACATGAAATTAAATTTATTGTATTCAGCAACCATTTGCTAAGCAGTTCCTGTGTGCCATATTATACATGGCACCCTGTAGTAACAGGGTGATTCAGTAGCCCCTGCTCTCAAGGACATGGAGACCTAGGAAGGATGACAGGCAGCTCACGACACAGATGGTGTACTACTCTGTGCCCCAACACCAGCACAAGGATGTAACTGGAGGTTTCTCTCCTGCCCTTTTCTCTGAAGTCTCCAAAAGAAGATAAGGCCACACAACAGTGTCTCTAACTGATCCATAAAATTACCTTTAAGCCTATAAACACTACTCAATGGTTGGAGTTGGACTACAAACTACCCAGGTGGAATTGCCCAGCTTCTCAGGGCAATTCCAAGGTGGCCACCTGAGATGGTTCACCTTCTTACAATACTCTAGCCAGAACTTCAGATAAGCCTTACCTACCACCCAGAGACTGGCTACACATGTTACAGCTAGTCCTCATGAGCCTTAACCATTGTTTTAGTTTTCTGCAGGACCCCATAGAGATACCATCGCCCCTGAAACAACTGGAAGTAAATCCAAGAAAATGTCACCCCTTTCCCAACAGATGGGATGGATGCTTTTTTTTTCAGGGTTGGTTATAAGTTGTTATAGGGTTGGTAGTGGAATAATAAAAATTAGACTCAGGAATCTCATTTGGTAAAGATAGGGGAACAGATAGGATAGAGTAATAAGGTAGATTATTGTATCTAATGTAAACTATTAGTTTTAGATAATTTACATTGGTATATTCTTGTATATTGATACATACATAAAATTATTTTGTGTTACTAAGATAATCTGTATATTGATAAAAATTAAAAATTTTTCTGTTATATTGTATATGTTCCTACTTCTGTTTACAATACTTTTGTATATTGGTACAAATATAAAATTATTTCTGCCATACTGTATTATGTTTCTTCTGTTTAAGATATTTTGTACATTGATGCAAATTAAGAATAATTTTGTTGGCCAGGCGGTGGTGGCACACGGCTTTAATCCCAGCACTCGGGAGGCAGAGGCAGGTGGATCTCTGTGAGTTCGAGGCCAACCTGGTCTACAAGAGCTAGTTCCTGGACAGGTTCCAAAAGCTACAGAAAAACCCTGTCTCGAGAAAACAAAACAAAACAAAAAAAAAAGAGAATATTTTTGTCATATTGCATTATTCATTTCTACCTCTGATTAAGATATTTTTATATCTAATCACCTAAATAAATTCTTGAGACCCTTTAACAGACTCAGGAGGTTTCACGTAACACAAGGGAGGTACAGAGACGGCTGGAGAAGGGAGTGAAGACAGACATTCTGGAAGAGACATGAGAAGCAAAGCCTGGGCCATGCTCAGATCTGGTGGAGGCACAGATCTGGGAAGTACCTGCCCTTGCTGGTGATGACAAACTGTCACATCCAGATTAGGCAGTGATTTGTTCTTGGACCTGTCCGGAGCTGCATCATTACAACCCTCCCTCTCCCACTTGCCCCCCCCCCCAAAAAGACAATCTTTGAGGCTCTGAAGGCATTTCATGCATTTCTGCATGCACCCTCTGTCCACTAAAATTCTGCTCTGATAATTTTGCCTCAGTTGCTCTGTCTTTTGGCTCAGAGAAGTTAAGATCCTCACAACCAAAGTCAGCATCATCAGGCTCATTCCTGTTGCTGCAGCCTTGTCCTGAAAACAGCCCATCCTTGATGCATTCCCACTCAGAGATGGTCTCCTATTGGGATGGATGCCAATGAAGGTCCAAGTGAGCACATTAAGAGAATCAGAGGGAAACAGCCCAGTCATGTCCATGGAGAGGAGGTCCTGGTAGGACCCCTGCCAGGTTTCTCATCCCCCTTCCCGGATACCCTTCTCCAGAGCCTGCTCTCTTTCAGTTCCACTGGGACTCTCAACACTCTCTGTCCTTTGTGAAGCTTCCTCATTTAGCCAGGATCTGTAGGTCTGAGAGATGAGGGAGGTCTAACGTGGGAAGGTGAATGAAGCCACATCTCCCCTCCCCAAGACAGACGGGGAGAGGCAGGAACACGGCCCCTGGTTTGTTGTCTGTGCCTTTTTTCCTTTTGTGTCCCCACCAAAGTGACTCACGCGCTTCACTCTGGGCAAACCCCACAGCCTTTGTCACCCCGGGGGATGCACAGATCAGGGCACGTATTCGTTCTTTCTCTGAGGAGGGAAGTCTGCTTTGAGCCTGGTTGAGGTGCCAGCTCACAGTCCAGCCCCGGTTATGGGAAACTCTATCACAAAAGTCCCTGTGCCGAAAGAGAGGGAGTTACCTGGAGAGGGAGAATGAGCTGCCAAGACTTTCAAAACCCTGGGGCCCATGAAGCATCTGAGCTGCATACTACATCCTGCCAGAGCTGGTGGTTTGTTGAAGAGAGGATTCTGAGCACCCATCACTCTCAGAGGTTATGTTAGAGGGAACATTGTTACCTTGTTCCCTAGAAATATCCATTAGTCACCAAGTCAGAACTGTGCAGAGTCCGGAGGTGATCAATGGTGCTGGTGTGTGTGTGTGTGTGTGTGTGTGTGTGTGTGTGTGTGTTGTCTATTAAATTGTGGTGTTTGGATTCCCTGCTCTGGCCAGAAAATACATCCATGAAGTTGTGCAGTCATCAACACTGTCTAGTTCTAGAATTTTCAACAACCCAGGAGGAGGCCCCATCCCTACTAAGCTGCCCCTCTCTCAGTAACCCCTCAGCTTCAGGCTTCAGATACCTCGAATCTGCTTCTCTCACAGTGGGTGCTTACTCTGTGGGTTTCATACACATGCACTCATGAGCGATGGCCTTTTGGTGAAGGGCTTCTTTCTCTTAACACACCTTTTCCAAGGTTCAGCTGCGTCGTAGCGCGGATCAGTGCTTCATTGTTTGCCAGGGCTGAAGAAGCTCATTGTATGGCAAAACTATGCTTCGTTTATCCATTCGTAGGTTGATGGGCATCTGGGTAGTTTCCAGCTTTTGGCGATCGGGAATAGTGCTGCCATGAACATATGACCCCTGGCAAATCACTCCAGAGTACAGGGAGTAACAATACGCATTCCCTTTTCAATGCCATCTCGCCACACGGGAGGAATCCCAGTCGTATCACATTCCCCCGCTGGACAAAAGGCTTTCCGAAATGGGAGCTGTCTTCCGTGTCACAGGGCTGCCTGGCTTGCTGCGTGGTTATGGCTTTGGCTCTCCACCTATGCCCCATAGCTGGAGTTACAGACATTGACCTACTTGTCTCTGTCGCCTTCCTGTTTCCTCATGCTTTTGAGTGTCACACTGCCGTTCTCCATCCTCGATGCTCTTCTCCACACCCTTTACCCATGGAGTCAGTGTCTCCTGTAGCCCAGGCTGGTCTGGAACTTTCTGTGTAGTTGGGGATGACCTTGAAGTCCTGGTCCTCCTGCCTCTACCTGCCAACCGCTGCGAATCCTGGATTTGTCACTGTACTTGGTTTCTGCCTTTGAAATACACCCCCCTTCTGTTATTCTCACCTTTTCTCAGCCACAGAGTGGCACTGAGGAAATTGTAACTTGCTACCTTAACCCAGGGGCCTCTCTTTGTTCCTGTGGACTAACTTTCTTGATAATGTTCTTTGAGGTGCCAGAGTTTTTAACTTTGACATACTAATTAATTTGTGGCTTGTGCCTTTGGTGTCATGGAATTGGAGAGGTTTTTCACTTCGACAAAATAAATGGGTGGGGTGGGAGATTAATCTGACAAAAAGAGAACAGGGTAGCTTGAAATATTTTTATCACCTACTCAGTCAGAAGATCTCAACAGGTACCTGATATAAATATACTTACATGTAAATAACAGAGATGGCCAATACCTTCGAACTAGTGTTACATACTTCCCGAATTCTAAGCCCTGAGCATCAGTGGGAACATTCCCAGTGTTAGACTGTAGTTTCCAAAAGCCAGTCTTAAGTGGTGAATGTAGTTATTAGACTTAATACTGTTTGAATTTAATTATGTTTTATGTCCCAAGGACTCTGAAAAGCATACTTGGGAAACATGCAGTGTTTCTTTGGAAATCAGGACAGTTGCTCCCGATTTGGACCATTGTCTGGCAGCACAAGGAAAGTTCTATAGGAAGGACGATCAGCTGTACACACACCAGTGGGGTAATAAGTTCTGCGTTTGCCATGAAAGTTTGAGGCACGTTTTCTCATTTCAAATCCGAGGCTGGTTTGGGTATGTGTCCAATATGCAATTAGCTATTGGTCTGTGTAGCTGTCACAGACTTGCAACGCTCATGGCCACTTTATATGGGCAAGGCATCCTGATGGCAGAGCAAATCTTCTCAAGGTTCTGCAGGGTGACGCCACAATCCTCTACCTACTTTAGAAACTAAGTTTTGGTTAAATAACGCGCCTAAGACCACCCAGATCTTAGAACCAAAGCTAACACTGGCTGAATGCGAGCTCAAAGCTCAGAGTCTGAACCACTAAGTAGAACTATTGTCTGACGACTACTAGATCTAAAAAAGTTAACCTCAGCAGCTGTCCTTGGTACAGATGACAAGTCAAAGTGCACACTATCATCCCTTCCGCACCACTCCTCTGCTGCGCAGGCGCATTGCCTCTCCCACCACCATCCCTTCCGCCAGTACTTCTGACTGCGCAGGCGCATCTTCTTCGCTCCTGTGGACTGTGGTGGAGAGTCAGGATTGTAGCTCCAAGTAGCCGCTCGTGGTGCGCGTGCACGAACCCTCGGACTAGGCTGGCGATGGCGACAGCGGAGGACAAGCGCACGTCTCCGGAGCCCGCGGAGCTACCGGCTGCCGTACGCGCGAGCATAGAGCGGAAGCGGCAGCGGGCGCTGATGCTGCGCCAGGCCCGGCTGGCGGCTCGGCCCTACCCCTCGGCGGCGGCGGCGGCCACAGGAGGTGGGGACCCCTCCCGCGGCTTTGTGAAGGCATCCCGGCTGCACTCTGGTGACCCGCTCGGGCTTGGTGTGCGGGAACAGCCGTGCATGTCCGTGCCTCCGTGGTTCCAGACTTGCCCTGTCATGCCTTTTGCCTGGTGCCTCTATGGCGCAGAGCTTTCGGCTTTGCCACCGTTTAAACATTAAGTCTGCACCTTCTCCCGGTCCAGCGCCCAGCAGAAACGACCCTGGCCCAGTCTTTTCCATGGGATCCTGCCTTCCAGGGCCTCGTAGGATAACGCATGCAGTGCCTCTCAGTTTGGAGTTAACCAATTGGATTCTCACGGCCACCCTGGAAAATGGCAAGGGCAGGGCTTGATACCCCTGTTTTATCCCTGGCAGTTGAGATCAGAAAAGAAAAGGGATATCATCCCATCTCCCCCCCCCCCCCCCCCCCCCCCGTAATCAGGACCAGAACGGATCATGTGGCGCTGGGTTCATTTTGCTTATATTTGCCATCTTAGGAGCCCCTACCTGGCTGTTTTACTGAGTTTTTAATGTCAGTTGTGCTTTCGGCTGCTGGCGTTGCCCCTGGGAGTGAGTCATCTGAATTATCTCTACAGAAGTGGTTTGTTTTTGTGTGTTTTTTTTTTATTCCTATCCCTTCTTTGGCAATTTCACTATATATATATTTGTATGGGTAATGCACTTGTTTTAACAGTTTGTACTGAATAATAACGCGTATATTTTATGGCAGTTTGAACTTTCAGACTTGATTCTAGAGTTGCCATTGAATTTGATTTGTTGCTTCTGACCGGCAGAGCCGGATTGTAACTAACTTAGATTTGGATCTTTTGAAGTCATTTGAAAGTCGTTATACATCATTTTGTAATATAAACAGTTATCTTCATTTTCATTGCTCTTGAAAGATCTGCCGCAGCCTGTGCCTCAGTATCTATATGCGGATAGACACTGGTGGATAACCTGCTGGGAGTACAATCAGCCTGGCACGTGCATAAACCGTGCAGTTCAGTTCCACACGAGTCCAGAACAACAGGGAAACTAGAAGCAGCATGAGATGGCTGGGTCTGGTGACACAGGTCTCTAACCACAGCTGCTGGGGAGGCCGAGACAAGAAGAACCCACCTGGGCAACAGAGTTCAACGGCTGCCTGAGCAAGTCAGTGAGACGTTGACTCTAAGAATTAAAAAGAGGGCCATGGATGTCCAGTAGTGGGGTGCTTGCCCAGCGTGCTCAAGACCTGGGTTCACTCTGGTCCTAGAAAAGAGAGGTAGCTTAAGATTAGGCAAGGTTGGTCAGTCACCTGGTAATGGAAGGAAGAGTCCTGCCTCTTGTTTGAATGCCCCCCCCCATCTCACTCAACCCCCCTGAGCCAGGAAGGTGTTTCCACCTGAGAGGATTTATAAGCTGTGAATTTTAACTCTTTGTTACAGGCTTGGGACTTTTCCTTCAATTTGCTGTTGCAGGGAATCACTTCTCTTCCTGCTTCTGCCTCTAAATCCTCTCCAGGATGTTTCTCCAATAGACGCTTTCCCTGCCAAGCTTCTCCTCGACAGGTGTCTAGTATAGAACCATCAAAGTGAATATTAGGCATTGCCACTCTGCTTTCTGTTAGAGGCCATCCTGCTGTCCTTCCAAGCCTTGTGTAGAAGGGAGTTAGCAGCGGGCCAGAACCAACTCTCCTTAGGCCTGCTTAAGGCTTGGCCCTCGGCCCTCATCTAAAAGCTTGGATTGTGGTGTGTTTCTCCTGTCCAGAACTGGTGACTTGCTGTGACTAAATTGTATATAGAGTGTGATTTCCGTGGATTACCTGTACACAGGTCTTTGGAAGGCAGGCGTTTGGGGCTGGAGTATCGTGGGGAAGGAAGCTCACAGACTTGGGACTCGTCTAGACCCTGCACTTGCCCGGTGTGCTTTTCACTTGACTTTTCATTTGTACTTACAATTCTTTGCAGTTAATTGGTGCATGCGAGTGAATGATTTTCCTAAGTTGTGTGTGTTGCTGTAGAAGATTAACTGCGACCAGAAAAGCTGTTTTGGGAACCTTGATTTATAGCCAGTTGATCAAAGTCCCTGGTCTGCAGTTGGCATCTGAAGCTGGGCAGTCAGGGCCTGAACCCTCATCCCGTTGAATCCGACTCCAAGTGGATAATGTCACCATGGAAGTGAGCGCACACAGTTGGTATTCGCTGGAGGGGCGTTACGGGTGGAGGTGTTCGTTGAATAGTGTCGAGTGGTTTGTCCTGTCTAGAACTGGAGCTAAATCTCGGATGTGCCAGGAGTTCATTGAGATCTGGGCTTTAGTTTGCATTTGTTGTGGCTGTAGGCGTGATCTTACTTCAAAACCCCATTTCCTAACATGCAGTCAAGTGAGTTCCCCAAGATGCATCCTAGGGTTCTGGGTTGCCTTGGTTTCTGCTGTGGCCTGTAGTGTAGAGGCGTCAGGAGGTTGTCTTCTAATCAGAACAGTAGGCTCTTATGGTTGTTTTACATAGCTGCTCATGTCATCTGTGAGGAAATGCATTTTATTTCTTTCTAACCCTTGGGCTTTTTTTTTTTTTTAATTTCTTGCCATGCTCCACCAGCTGGGACCATCTGGACAGTGTGCACACACTCCTTTTCCTGTTTACATAAGGGGAGCACACAGGCTTGCCTGGTTCAGCTGATGACCGCCTTTCTCTGCTTTCTGCAGGCATTACCAATGTAAAAGTCCCTCCCAAAATGATTGACACCAAAGGAGGCTTCATTTTAGAAGAAGAGGAAGAAGAGGAACACGAGACTGCAAATGTTGTTCACGAACCAGGTAAAGCATAGTTTTTTTCCGCAAAAGTAGTATTGACATTGGTTATTCGTAGTAACATAAAGAATTCTTTCCCTTTGATCAATGGAGAGATTGGTGGTAGATTAAAAAGTCAGAGCCTGGGGGAGGTAGGGAGGAACTGGGAGGAGTAGAGGGAGGGGAAACTGTAATCAGGATATATTATATGAGAAAATAATCTATTTTTAATAACGGGGAAAATACAACTATATATATGTCTCTCTCTCTATATTTACCAGTTTAAAATTAGAACTTTTATATATGCTCCCTTTTCATGATAGAACAGATGCTTACACATGCAGTTTCTTGATCATAGGGTAATATGAAGTTTAATTTTATGAAGCACTACAAGACAGTTTTAGGCAGATTCATAATTTCAAACTCTCCTTAGTAATATAGGAGAGGGTTGGCTTCTCCACATCCTGGTGACAGGTGTCCTATCCGTCTCTTTGGTTGTATTATCCCATGTGAATCAACAGCATGCTGCAGGTTTGAGTTGTGTACACGGGAGGCTAGTGGTGTTGAGCACGCCACAGGGTTGAGTTGTGTACACGGGGGGCTAGTGGTGTTGAACATGCCACAGGGTTGAGTTGTGTACACGGGAGGCTAGTGGTGTTGAGCACGCCACAGGGTTGAGTTGTGTACACGGGAGGCTAGTGGTGTTGAACACGCCACAGGGTTGAGTTGTGTACATGGGAGGCTAGTGGTGTTGAACACGCCACAGGGTTGAGTTGTGTACACGGGAGGCTAGTGGTGTTGAACATGCTGCAGGGTTGAGTTGTGTACACGGGAGGCTAGTGGTGTTGAACATGCTACAGGGTTGAGTTGTGTACACGGGAGGCTAGTGGTGTTGAGCATCCTTTTAAGTATTTGTTGTCCATTTTAAATTTTGGAGCAATATTTATTCAAAACTTCTGTATGATTTTAAATTAAACGGTCTATCCTTTAATGCTGGTAGGAAACTGTATAAATTCTAAATACAGTTTTCCTGTCAACTTCAGCATATAAATGGTTCGCTCTTCATTTTCTTAGCTCAGGGTATGTTTGGGTTGACTTGATGTTCTTTGAAGAGGATTTTATTTGTAACATTAGCAAAGTCCAATTAAAATACCTCCTCCCCTTTGCAGAGAGAGAGAGAGAGAGAGAGAGAGAGAGAGAGAGAGAGAGGAACATTTCATACTTCAAAATTTATATACTGTTTTACTTCTATTCTCTCAAGAAGACAGTTTATATTCTGGGAGCTTGTTAAGCTGTAAAACACACACACACACACATATAATTTATTTTGGTTTTTCGAGACAAGATTTCTCTGTGTAGCTTGGAGCTTGTTCTGGAACTAGCTCTGTAGACCAGACTGGCCTCAAACCCACAGATCCACCTACCTCCATTTCCCAAGTGCTAGGATTAAAGACATTAACGTGTAGTTTTAAATGATACTCCTCATGATAAAATTCCTAAGAACTTTATTTTCTTATGTCATTCTTTATTTGTTCATCAATATGGCATTACATTTCTTAAATATATTCATTAACAACAGCAAAGTCCAGCGCCCGGGTACTTAGGGAGTCAGTTGGTTTGTGTATGACATTTGCTGTTGTTTTATCATAGGCAGGGAGAGCCCAGATCCTGAGGGGTGGAATAAATTCTCAGCAGTATTTTCATGAGCTGGGCATGGTGTTTCTTGGGAGGCTAAAGCAGGATGATTACTTGAATTTAAGAGTTTGAGGCCAGCCTGGTAAGGTCTGGTGGCACACACCTTTTCTCCCAGCAGGTGGGTCTTTGGGAGCCTGAGGCCTGCCTGGTTTCCATAGTGAGTTCCAGACCAGCCAGAGCAACTAAGTGAGACTCTGTCTCAAAGAAAAAGGCAGACCAGACTGGTCAGACATATTAGAGCCCTGTTCTCGTTTCATTCTTGTTGTGAGAAACACCCTGACAAAAGGCCACGAGAGGGAGGAATCCCAGATTACAGTCCGCCATTGAGGGGGCTCCAAGGCAGGAACTTGAGCCGCTAGTCACCCACCCAAGTAGAGAGCTAAGAGAAACAGGTGTACCCATGCCGCCTGCTTCCTCTTACAGTCAAGGTCTCCAGCCCAGGGGATGGGGCCGCCCACAGTGGCTGTGGTCTTCCAACGTGAATTAGAAGTTAAGATGGCATAAACAGGCCACTGCCAACCGGATCTTAACAGTTCCTCAGTTCAGGCTCTTGTGGTGATTTTAGGTTGTGGCAGGTCGACAATTAAAAATGTAACAAACCCCATCTTAAAAAAAAAACAACAAAAAAACCCCCAAAAATAGTACCAATAAAAAATAAAAATAAAAAGAGACAGTAAGAAAGAGAAATTGTGTCATAGGTCAAAATGAGAAGCCATGAGATAAAACTTAGGACATTCTTTTATTTAGAGATGGACTAGAAAGGGCTGTGAATTTGCCACATGGGATTAACGTGTTGGTAAATCAGTTATGTATGTATACACACTCTCTCAGCTGCCACACGGGGTTAACGTGTTGGTAAATCAGTTTTGTATACACATTTTGAAGATATTAACAGCCTTGTTCTATTTTGTTTCTCTTTCCTATGTGCCCTGTTTTATAAAGAGCCATTTCTTTTATTTTTGTTTTTTTTTTTTTTTGTTGTTGTTGTTTTTTTTTTTATTCGAGACAGGGTTTCTCTGTGGCTTTGGAGCCTGTCCTGGAACTAGCTCTGTAGACCAGGCTGGTCTCGAACTCACAGAGATCCGCCTGCCTCTGCCTCCCAAGTGCTGGGATTAAAGGCGTGTGCCACCACCGCCTGGCATAAAGAGCCATTTCTTTTAAGAGCTTGGAGATTAGTGGAGTTAAGGGGTGGTGGGATCTTGACAGACCTAAGGAAGACTGTGCCAGGAGCGTGTCTCCCACTGTGGAGTCTTCAGAGCTGGGGCAGGGCAGTGGCAGTCATCCCACGGACTTTCCAGTGGGGCTTAGATTTGCCCGAGGACCATTGAAGTTTAATCCCTTACGAACGCAGCTTCACCTTGCCAGGGGCAGCTCTGTGTGGGGGTGCTGAGGGATGCAGGACTCAGTGATTCTCCCTCAAGAAGTTTATAATCCAGGAGGCAACATGATAAAGTGGAAGCATTTGCTTAGTTGACAGGGTGGAATGAAAGAAAAATAATGTCCCCGTCTGAGGACATGTTGCCTTGCTCTCTATGGCTTTAATTGCTCGATGAGTTGGTGGCCTCTTTCCCTCTGTAAGTAGATGCCTCCCCTCCCCAGTCCCGGGGCGAGTCTTCTTTATACTTTCAGCAGTACCGTAACTGGCAGAAAAGAAGCCCCCAAAGATGTCCATATGCTAACTGCCTTGGAGCCTGTATACTTTACGCAGAGGAGACTTTGCAGAGAAGTTTAAAGTTAGACCTTGAAGTGGGGCGATCACCATTATCCCAGGGAGCCTGGTGTAATCAGGGCTTGGAGGGCTGGGCTTGCAGACGAAGCCAGTGATGGGATGTGGGAAGCTTTTCCTGGTCCTGAAGATGGCAGGTGGGGAGGAATATGGGTAGCCTCTAGGAGTCAAAATGCCCCCAGGAAGGAGCATAACCCTGAAGACAACTTGAATTTGACCCAGTGGGCCTCCCTGGGCTACCAAACCCCAGATTGGTGAGGTGTCAGATGTAAGTGCTAGCACCTACTGGGCCAAAGTTACCTGATAGAACCCATGAGAAGTGGACCTTACGTGGGCTGGGATGGAGGGGGCCCAGCAGGACAGAAGCTGAGACAAGTTTGTTCCAAGCAATCAGACTTCTTATCCCTTATTAGAAACAGAATACAATGGCAGTTGCCGGGATGCTATGATGTTTGCAGGCTATACAGCGTATATAACACTAATGTCTAAGATGATTGATTGTTCAGCCAAGAGTCTATACACTTCCCTGATTTCTAGAGAACACAGTTGGCCTGAAGGCATCACCGCCTCAGTGGGTGCCCCAGTCGCTCAGGAACTGGAAGGCACATTATGCTCCAGGAGCCACAGACTGTAACTTGACAAACTTATGACACATGCCTCTCAGGGCAGCTGGACTACCCAACGCCCTGGCTCCCCAAAGGCAGAGAAATGTATGTGTCATTTTAGTCCCACAGAAGGATAAAGAACTCTCCCCTTCTTCCTGCAGGGCCTGTCATGGAGTTCGATTATGTGATCTGTGAAGAATGTGGGAAAGAGTTCATGGACTCATACCTTATGAGCCACTTTGATTTCCCAACATGCGATAGCTGCAGGTAACTTGTTTTTGTGGTGCTAGCGACAAGCACTCTAGGCAGCCCAGCTGCTGAGCCACGCCCGCAGCACGTTCTTAGAGCTCTGCCTTTAGCATTGCCTTTGCCAGCTTCCTGCCTCAGCCCTCCAAGTGGCGATCTCCTGCCTGCTCTCTGCCCCCACCCCTCCCACCTTGCACCTCTTGATTCTTGTCTCTCTAGAGCAGCGGTTCTCAATGTGTAGGTCACGACCCCTTTGAGGTTCAAATGACCCTTTCACATGGGTCACCTAAGACCGTTGGAAAACACAGATATTTACATTAAGATTCATTACAGTAACAAAATTATAGTTATGAAGTAGCAATGAAAATAATTTTATGGCTGGGGTCACCAGAGCATGAGGAAACTATTGTGGGGTTACAGTGTTAGGAAGGTTGAGAACCACTACTCTAGAGAATTTTACTCCAAACTGTTAAAACGGTTTTTAATTCCATTTAGAACAAACATGTCTTCATCGTGGCTGCAGGTCCACAGCTGCCTCCTACTGCCTCTTCCCACTGCTCGCCATCACTTACTGCGCGTGTGTGCATGCATGTGTGTGTGTCTGTGCGTGCGTGTATTTGTGTGTGCGTGTGTATGTGTGTGTGCTTGTGCTTGCGTGTCGTCCATCCTGCCCAGCAGCTTCTGCAAGCGTGGTGCTCTGCATGAGAGCTTTTTTTTCCTGCCCAGTTCATGGGCATAAACTCAGTGGTCCTTCACGTTCCCACTCTGCCACTGTTCTTACCTTGGTTTTGGGCCATCGGAACCCAGCCGTGTTTAGGAGGTGGGATCTGTGTGTTGACATTTGTTTCTTACCATCTTTTAGAGGCAGGATCTGTGCACCCCCGGTTGGCCCTGAACTTTGAATCCTCTTTCCTAGCCTCCTGAGTGCTGGGGTGATAGGCATGACCTTGTGATTCAATTTCCAGTTCCTCTCTCACGGGTCCTCTCTTTCATCGTATCTTCCCTTTCTTACTTTAAGTCCCTTCTGGAATAAGAGGAACTTTAAGAAGATTTTTAAATTGTTATATGCCCGGAGTCTGCCTGAGTTTTTATGACTCTGATCATAAGAGCCAAAGGCAGGGAAGAGACGTTTGCATCTTTGGGTGTGCAGACCTATGGTTGCCAGGCTGTCTGAAAACTCAGTTGAATTGAAGTCGTTTACATAATGCTCTTAATCTCTTTCCAGAGATGCTGACGATAAACACAAGCTTATAACCAAAACAGAAGCCAAGCAGGAATACCTTCTGAAAGACTGCGATTTAGAGAAGAGAGAGCCCGCGCTTAGGTTCATCGTGAAGAAGAACCCTCGTCACTCACAGTGGGGTGATATGAAGCTCTACCTAAAGTTACAGGTCTCTAGTAAGCTGGACCTGGGGGTGTGGGTGAACTTCCAGCAGGCTGACCGAGGCTTGCTCAGTAGAGACCACCTCTTCTCGGTTCACACGTCTGTCCTAGTCACAGCTGGTGTCCGCTCAGAACACACTGCTTTCTCACCTCCCTTTCGCTGTGGTAACTTTGCCATAACCGTGTTGCTAGTGGGTGATGTTAGGAGTATAACTTGGACATAGAAAAGGTCAGACCTCATTTGCCTATCAGTCTTTTTTTACCAAACAAGAAAAAGAAAGGCTCTCAAGATGATTATTGTTTCAGTTATTTCACAAATGCCTGAACCAGATGAACTGCATTAGGAAATACAATCTGGGATGCTCCTGAGTGCTGGGACTTGCACAGCTCAGAGCAGCTTTCAGTGCCTGCTCTGAGCAGCTCACACATGTGCCACAGCAGAGACCCACTTACTGGTGTGCTCTAGTGCCCAGCCTGGTGCCTGAAGTCCCAAGTATCCTCCTGTATCTACTCCAGGATGGCTTAAATATTTTAATGTTTATTCTCTTATATGAAAATATGGAGAGGCATTGCTTTAGAGCTGCTTATACAGAAATATTCAAGAATTATTATTCTAGTATTATTAGATAATTATATATTTGTATATCTAGATTTATTATATATTTAATCATATTTAAATATAATTAGATATAAATATATATTTAGTATAATTATATATTATATCTATAATAGAATTAAGCCACATTGCAAAACAAAAACATATACTAAATTTCATTAAATATGATTATTGATTTAAAAATTCACCATTTATCTTATGTACCATTCAAAATAAGTAAAAATGAAGCTAATTAAAGCAGCCCAGGTTTTCTTATCACTTGATGCTTTGTGCTTAATAAAAGTGCCTGTAGGCTTTATTTCAGTCTCATGCACCATGGTCATGCACACCGGGGAAACAGGACTCTCATGGCACTCCCTGCCCCTCGTGACCTCATGACCGGATCTTCCATTTTCTTTCCCATGGAGTCTTCTTCATTTATGTTTCTGTACTCATCATTTCAACTCTTTCTGGGAAAAGTGGGACTTCAAGGGACTTCTTCAGCTGTGAAATGGTTTCACTCCTCATGTGACATGATGGCATCTGTGAGGTTAGGACTTCATGCCGTGCAACTCCGAGTCCCGAGTAACTCAAGTATTAACTGTGCTCTAGGTTGTCAAGCGGGCTCTTGAAGTTTGGGGTAGCCAGGAAGCACTGGAAGATGCAAAGGAAGTAAGGCAGGAAAACCGAGAGAAAATGAAGCAGAAGAAGTTTGATAAGAAAGTCAAAGGTAAGTGGTGGAATTTCCTGTCGCTGGATTCACCGCAGAGCAAAGGCATTGCGGCCTTCCTGTCTGGGGGAGGTGCTGGGGTGTCTTTTCCACAGGGGAGAAAAGTGGGTTTGAACTTTGGCCTCAGTGGGTTGATGTGTGAGGCTTGGCTCAGACCTCAGAGTACTACATTCCTGAAGGCCATCGTCTCCACGGCAGTCATTTTTGTGCAGCTGTGTGACAGGATGGGGTAGCGGGATGGGTCATCAGTCAGGTCTTAAGTGTGGCCTGCAGGTTTTAAGAAACAGTAAAAGTAACAAGACTCTCAGTAGCCACCTCCCTGCTTGAAACAAAACATTCCTCAGATTAGTAGCTGGAAGGAATAATAATGTTAGTTAGTGTCTTTATTTAAATATGACTGCGGAAATACCCAGAAAGACGTTTGGATTGCTGTATATGGTGGGACAGTTGTCAGGTTCTCTTCCTGAGTCGTCTTCATGTGTACAGTCCTTCCTGCATCTGTGCATCTGGCTCCATGCAGTGTTCCTCCCCCTGGTGGCTCTGTCTCTGCATCCATTACCCATGTTTGTACCCATGCGTGCGTGTTTTCATCAGTCTGTCCATCCATGCACACATCTAGTATTAACCATGTGCCAAGCACTGCGCTAACCGAGGTGCTGGATTGAGTGTCAGGAAAGAAACTAGAGATAGTAATAGGGTATGTTGATAGGTGCCACACCAGGGATGAACCCAGGGTGTGGCCGGAGCATTCAGGGCTGTAAACACAACTCCCAAAGAAATGTCTCCAGGAAGTAACCAGCTCATATCCTTCATGTGGTTGCTATGTAGAGAACCTGTGTGGTGCCCACTGTGTTCAGGTAACATGATCCTACACATAGGATACATCACTATACATTACTAGATCCATTTCAAATCAGTATTCTAGCCATGTTAGTTTTTCTTGTAATTTTAAAATTTAGAAGAGGTTTTACAGGGTGAATGGGATAGCCCAAATGTCTTAAGAACAAAGAAAACGGGGTGGTGGTACATGTCTGTAATCCTAGTACTCAGGAGGCTGAGGCAGGAGGATTGTGAGTTGGAGGGCAGCATGGGCTATAGAGTGGAGTCCTTGGCTCAGAAAACAAACCCAAAACCTACCCCCCCCCCCAGCTAAACAATAACAATGAAAAGCCAACCGATCCACTAACCAACCAAGTGAAAAGACTGAACAAAAAGCAAAAGCAACACAAGCCTTCATGGTTTCCTTTTGGGGTTGCCCTCCCCTCCCCCAGTTTTCATTGTGTTGGAGAAAGGAAGTCCTGCTCCGTGACTACCCCTTTTCCAGCGCAGGCTCTTACACAGTTTGAAATAAAAATAGTAGCACTGTCAAACACTAGTAGTATATCGAGACAACTCTACCGAAACCCTTTTGCCCAAGTGACATAATTCCTGAGCAGATAGGAAGCCCACGTGTAGGCTTTGCTGAGGTTTCCTGTAGCAGACTGCCATAGAAGAGCATTTCATTGAAGTTCCCCAGGCCAGCCAGAGCTGTGCCCGTGTTCAAATGCCAGCGACTCCTCTTAAAGGGACCTTTCTCTAGTCTCCCTAATGTTATGCACTGGCCTCTCTGACAGCAGAGCAGCTGCTAATAGATAAAGCAGGGAAGAGGTGTATTAAGGAAGGGGTGTGGAAGGAGGCCTCCAGGTTAGTTATCTTCTAGCTCAGGGTGTGTGTGTGTATGCATGCAGTACCTGTGTGCTGTGCACACGCCAGTGGATGTGCATTTGGAAGCCAGAGGCCCTTACTGCCTCTGTGATAGGGTCTCTTCACTGACCCTAAAGCTGGCATTGGCTGGCTAGCCAGTGAACACCAGGATCCAGGATCCAGCAGTCCTGTACACCTCTCCCACCCCCAGTGGTGATAGCCAGCAGTGTTCTACTTCACTTTTTTAAAAATGTGCTGCCCGGGAATTCAAACTCAGTTTCTCATACTGGCTCTCTTACACCAAGATGGTGTGTTCTGGGATCACTGTAGTTCAAGCTTTCTCCCCAGCCCAAGTCCAGGGATTTAACCCAGCTATCAGAAATCAATCTGATCCTTCAAACCTCAGATGATACTTCGGTGCAGACAGTGAAATACGAATAAGAGAATAAGTACCAGTTAGAAATTTTCTATCTGTAAAGCGTTGAAGAATGCTGCCTGAAACTTTTCCTTACACACTCATTCTGTGGTCTGGTCAAGATGTCATGTAATGGTCAGTAAATTCCTACAAATTGACTAGCAAAAGACTATGAGATGCACTTAATTTCTTGCCTTTTTAATATAATGATTCTGTTTGGATATGCATATATATTTATGTTTTTCTTTTTCTTTTTTCTTCTTCTGATGCATGTGACTAATCTGGTGACTGACTGTGCCAGAAAGTTCACGGCCAGTGAATAAAGTCAAGGATATGCATATATATTAGTACAGACAAAAAATTTCTACAGTTTCTAAAACATGAACTTAATTGGTATTTGCTTTTTGGTCACTGTAGCTCACCAAACTACCACAGGTTTTCCTTATTCCTTAGTACAGTTGACACAGAATTCTTTTTTTTTTTTTTTTTTTTTTTTGGTTTTTCGAGACAGGGTTTCTCTGCGGCTTTGGAGCCTGTCCTGGAACTAGCTCTGTAGACCAGGCTGGTCTCGAACTCACAGAGATCCGCCTGCCTCTGTCTCCCGAGTGCTGGGATTAAAGGCCACCAACGCCCGGCCCACAGAATTCTTTTAAAGGGTTTATTTCTTGTTTGGGTGAAGCATGCTTTTTAAGGAAGTGTTTGCGTGTGTGCTCTCCACGTGTCTACAGATAAAAGAGTGCCTGCATTTCCTCCTTTGCATGTGACTGAGCTCTGGGTGGCCTGTGTCACCCCTTCCCTTGGGGTGTTCGGTGTGCTGAGGTCAGTGTGCCGCCTTCTTTAACTGTGGCTTCTTGTCGATTCACTCTAGCGCTTGGTGGATATGTTCCTGTCCTGACTAGGCCACAGAGGGCTGAGTGGAGTAGACGGTAGAGTAGACTCGAGGAGCTGATTGTGCAGTTGGCTCAGAACAGAGAGGAGTCAAAGCCAGTCTAAAGGCTTTTTAGTTGGAAAGAAATTGGAACATGGTTCCTCTTGATGCACAGCGAAGCTGACGCAAAGCTTTCTTCTTTATGGGAAGGTAAGCAATTCCATCCGCCCGCTTTTGACATGTGGTTTATGTTAGCGGTTACAGCACTGAGTTTGCTACAGAAAAAGTGTGACTACCATAAGTACATAGACAAGTTTCACATCTCCAAGGCAGAGCCACACGCAGGCCCGCTGCTGCCTAGGGTAACTGGGCTTTTAAAGACACATCACTTAGTAGCAGACGTGAACCCTGAGCTGGTGGGATACACAGAATGGTTTTTGGTCTGCATACTTTTTTGCCTTAAATAACTTAGGACTATGGGTGTTTCGTCCATGTTACATGCGTAGTTCCAGCAATTTCTCTCCTGAAAGGCTAGTTGGCTAACCTTCATTGTTACTATGCGTGGCTCCCACCCCTGCAAGGGGCAGGTAAGGACATCCTGTTTAGAGGTGCCTTCTGGGTTTGGGGGCGTTGCACACTGGCCTGTGGATATATTTATGACTGTTGTGGAGTTTGAGGGGTACAACTCCAGCCTACTTAGTTCATGGAACACCAGCTTGTAATCTTTATCCTCCAGATAACAAGGGTAGCTGTCCTCCTGCCCAGCATCACTCAGCTAGCCCTTCTGTACGTTCACCTCAGAAGTAGCAGTGGGTTTGACTGCAGACAATTTCTTTTTCAAAATGTAGTTTCTAAAAACAAGCTTTGAAGTAGTATTGATTTTTTTTTTTTCACAATAAGCATTTTGGGAAAATCCCTTTGGGTGACCATCCTAAGCAATTTCTGAGGCTCTCAGTAGCAAGACTGGTTATGCATTTCCAGGAGAGGTAGTCTTTGGGCATCAACTGTCTACTGCCGACTAGGCGGCTGCAACACGGCAAGCCACTCACCAGGTTCTCCAGGCTCGCATGGGCTCCAGTTTTGTACAGCATATGTACCCTGGTTTCATTCCCGAGGTGTGTTAGACCTGCCCCTGCTTCTGTGTACTCTAACCTTTGTATCTCAAGAGACAACAAAAGATAGTTGATTGCGTCTTTCATGAGGGTACAAATGTCCCTTATGAAAGATTTTTGGGGCCAATGAAATGGCTCAGTGGGTAAATGTGCTTGCTGTCAATCCTAATACCGAGTTTGGTTCCCAAACCTATTTGATGGAAGAAGAGAACTCACTCCTGCCAAGTTGCTGTTTGACCTCTACACATGCACAACACTGTGGCAGGGCGAGCATGCACACTCTCTCTCTCTCTCTCTCTCTCTCTCTCTCTCACACACACACACACACACACACACACTCACACGCATGCGCTATTTTTCTGAGTGTTGACATTTGGCCATTTCTAACCTTTTGCACTCACATACACTTGGCTAAGTCGTGAGTAACCTATAAACATTGTGATTCTTACAAATCTGTGACTAAGCTCACCATAATCAAGAAACTTAAAAAGCGATTATGTTGTTCCAGTGACCCCTCTCACTTCTGTTAGACCCAGGAGCCACCTTCAATGTCACCCTCAGCCATTCTCTTTTGCCCCTGGGCACTTTGCAGCACCCAGACCAACTATGGGACAGCACACTCCTGCCCCTGGACTGCTCAGCCTCTTGTTTTTGCTAAATTAGATTCAAGCCGAATGTCTGTGGGAGGAATAGTTCCTAGGAGATAAAGGACACCATTTGAGACCTACCAGTTTATAGAGAGGTGACGGTTGTCATTCTCCACTAAACTACTTTCTTTTGTAATTACACGGCTCTGTGGATGCACCACCATTTTACTGAGTGTTTAGTATCTGGAGATGATTCTTAGCTGAACCAGTTTTGTGTATGTATGTGTGCATTACAAATAGAGATTGTTTTCTTTTGAAACAGAGCTTTTCCTTGGGCTCTACTCTTGTTTTCTTGAGACAAGGTTCCTGTAGCCTAGAGTGGACTTGACCTTGTAGCAACCCTCCTGTTTCTGCCTTCCAGGTGCTGGGATTACAGATAACCATCACCAGGCCTGTTTTGTTTTGAGATAGGAACTCTTCTTTGTAGCTCTGGCTGACCTGGAACATGTGCTACCTAGACAAGGCTGGCCTCCAACTCAGAGATCCACCTGCCTCTGCTTGTCCCAGTGCTGAGACTAAAGGCCTGGGTTGCTCTGTCTGGCCTTGGTTTTGTTCTGTAAAGCATCATCTGGGACTGCCGTGTGGGTTCTTCTCACATCATGGCAGTGCAGGCTCCTCCTGTCACTCTTCATTTTGATGCTCAAATTGTCTCAGGTTTGGCTGGCGGAGTCTCCTTTAAGCTGGCTCCTGTCTCTTCCTAAAGCCATTTTTATTTGGAAAGAATTTCAGACTCGCAGAAAACTGCTGGACTAATGGAACAGAGGACCACACACATACACACCTTCCCCAGACTGAGCTGTTCTCATGTTGCTGTCCGCGTCATGTGTGTGCTCTCACTGAAGACACTTTTCTGGACCACTTAAGAGTATGTTGCATAATCACTACCCATATGTGTTTAGTTTCCTAACGCATTGTTTTCACCAGTGTGACATTAGCAAATGTGGATTTTAATCTAAACTGCTGTGTTCTGCTTCTGCTTACTAACTGAGCAAGTGATCCCTCCTAGAGTGAATCTGGTGTAGGATAATGTTTTAGGCATTGAACAGGTCTTCCTTCCTAACCTGTTCCGATTTTCACTACCCTTGCCTTTTCTGCCTCCGACGTTGTTACAGTTTGTTTCCTTTTGTGGATTTCCTGATAATGGAGTATCTCGAGCAGTTGCTAACTTTCCCAGAGCCTCACATCTGCAAGATACACAGTGCCCATCTGCTCTCAGTGGTAATAATTTGATTTTTATCCCATAAAAGTATGCAAATAACCACCCCTCCCAGCTCCAATTCAGCGGCTGTCCAGGGCAGACTGCTGGAGCCAGAGCTACTGTGATGGCTCGAGCACTCTTAGCGCCAGCCAGCGGTCTACAGCATTAGGATCCTGAGTTTTCCAGCGTTGTCTGTTCATTTGTCTTTAATTTGGAGCTCAGATTTGGTCCACTGGGGACTTCATCATATATGGGCTGCCGTTTATGCCTTTGACAAGCTGAACATGTGCAAAGCATGTATGTCTGTCCTTGTGTACAAAAAAACCCTGAGTGCATGCTGATATATACCATTTTAATCCTCCAAATTCCAGGGTTCATTTTATGCAGGGAGGAACCTGAGAACCTGGATGCTTAATAGTAAGGAAGTGATACATCTTCCATCCCTCCACTTCCTGTCCTGGTGGCACCCTAGTCCTGTGCCTGCTCTACTTCTGCATGCCTTAGGCTTTGAACCTACTGCTTGGAAAAGAGAAGGGCAAAGAAAACCCAAACTCAACAGTATAGCCCGTTAGACATCTGTAATCTGAAATACTGCCAACAAGGAAACCCCATACCCAGACACTAGAAAAAATAAGGTACATCAAGCTATGTGTTTTGTAAAGACTCCATCAGTAAGACATGTTCTGTATATGCAAGTACTTCAAAATCTAAGAATATCCATAAATCACTTGCAAGAGTTTTGGATATGTGATACCTAGCCCATGCTTCCCTTCTACTAGGACATCTATGGGAAGCTCTACAGATCCAGCATCATTCGTGTCAGTGAACAGCGTCATAGACTTAAGATGGAGAAAAAAAATGGCAGTCTTCAGTCGTGACTGGAAAGCTAGGTGTTTCATGTATGTAGTATGTATGAGAAGAAAATAATTCTTACCTCTTCCCCAAGTACATATAACATTCAAATCTGGCAGAGAAGCGAGCTTAGTCTGACTGAGGGATTTTCAGAGTGAGGAAATCAAGGAGAGAGGCAGGACATCTTCCCCAGCCAAGCTGGGAAGCAGGGGCCTACACAGGAGACACTCTGCAGTCAGCAGGGACACTGACTCCCTCAGGCAGCAGCCAGCTTTGCATACACTTGAGGAGAAGCCGGGGCTCTTCATGTATGAAATGACCATGATTTGAGTCTGAGTGACTGGCCTTGTAGCAGATGATGCTACACTGAACCCTGTAAGCCTCAGAGTGGTGAGAAAGGCAGCACGGCCCAGTGAGGGTGCTGCCCAGGCCAGCAAGACTGCTGGGGCCCCAAGCTGGACTGCACCTCTGCAGTTACACAAAAGGATATAGAGGAAATGCATCGTAAGTGCTCAGCCCAGTGTCCATCCAGTATGTCACCTGTCTTGGTTTTACTCATGAAATGTTATGGCTGGAAACAGAGATTGAAGTAGTGCTTTGATATTAGTTACAACAAAATGTCTCAAGGAAAATGAGCAACCCCCAGACTCTGAAGGTATTGGCTGTGAGGCAGTTGACATGGGTGCTCAGAAGCAATCTCAAGTCCTCTGGAAGAGCAGTATGGGCTCCTAACCACTAGGCCAGCTCTCCAGTACCTGGCAGTTTATATTTTGCTAGTTTTGTTTTTCTTGAGACAGGATTTCTTTGGAGCCTGTCCTGGCACTTGCTCTGTAGGTCAGGATGGCCTCAAAATCAGAGATTTGCCTCCCTCTGCCGGGATTAAAGGTGTGTGCCACTGCCCAGCCTGGCAGGTTCTTTTTAAAAACGATGGTGTTGGTACAGAAATGTAGCTCCAGATTAGCATGCACAGAGCCAGGGCCTGATTCCCAGCACCACATAAACCAGATGTGGTTCTCATGCTTGAACAGTTGGGAGTGAAGGCAGGAGTGGCTGTGGGCTGAAGAGAGTTTGAGCAGCCTGGGCCTACAATGAGACTATCTTAACAAAACAAAATAGCTAAAACAATGCTGTCATTTTATAAGCAGTTTTTCTGAGATGGAGACACATCAAGACATTACTAGTCGTGCGTGGCTTTCTGGTAAGCAGAACTCGGCTGACAGGAGTTGCTGACTGAAAACCTTGGGATCCGAGCTGTTCCCACTCTTTGCTTACCTCAGCTGACTTTGCAGCTCTGGCATCCTGTTCCGTCCCCCCAAACACACCCCATTCTGTTGTTTCTTGTTGCTGCACTTCTAACCAACCCACACAGCCACTTCTGTCAGTTCATACTGCTTGACAATGAAGAGAGCAATTGCAGACTGAGCAGGCTTGCCACGTTTGTGCAACCAACACAAAGAGCTAAAGGAAACCATTATACACATCACACACACAAATGCCTATGAAAGCCTCATTAAATTTATTTTGTATTCAGCTGAAAAACTTTTCTTCCCCCTTAGAACTGCGGCGAGCAGTAAGAAGCAGTGTGTGGAAAAGAGAAACAGCCGCTCACCAACATGAGTACGGACCAGAGGAAAGCTTAGAAGATGACATGTTTCGCAAGACTTGTACCATGTGTGGCCACGAGCTGACGTATGAAAAAATGTGACTTTTAAAAACATTTATATTCAAATAAAGGCTCTCTTCAGATGTATCACAGTGTAGTCTTTTTAGAAACGCTTTTTAGAAAAACCCTCATGTGATAGATATGCTTAAAGAAAAATGGTCCACAGGTACACCTGTACATACATGCGCACACCTCTGTGTGCCCCTTTCCTTTGCACACATGGAAGTAAAAATCAAAGTGACAAGTTAGAACTACTCCACGGGGAACAAGGGACACAGTAAGTCCTAGCCTGGCATAGGAGGAAGCCCTTTCAGGGTGAGGCTAATGGAACTGAACTTAGCTCAGGGAGCCACAGGTCTGATGTGAACTGCTGTGAAGTCTTCAGCAATGGCAACAGCGAGATACCTACAGAAATGGCACCCTGCCTCAGCGGGTGCCCAGGGCCCCATTCTTCAGGATCTTCACGCAGCAATTTGGAAATGATGGGTCAAAAGGGAAAAAGGCTACTTTCAAAGTTGAGTACCAAGACTTTCATCAAAAGCATTACACTAACACTTGAGTACTCTTATCTGCCTTACAAGTTCTCATCTAATGGTAACAACTTGCTTCCATGTTTAATACTTCTGAGGTTGGAATTGACAGTTCAAATATTATTTCTCTATAGCCATTTGTATCAATTCAGCTAGCCAGATTTTTCTTCAGTCTTGTTAAAAGTACTATCAAAAAGTACCATTAAAAACAACTATCAGAAGCAACCATTATATGTGAAAAAAAGATCAAGAGAGCAGGCAGTGGTGGCACACACCTTTAATCCTAGCACAGAGGCTGGCAGATCTCTTGAGTTCAAGGCCAGCCTGACCTTGCAGAGCGAGTTCCAGGAGAGCCAGACAGGGCTACACAGAGATCAAAGAACCAAAAAAAAAAAAAAAAAAAAAACCCCAAACAAACAAAAGAATACATACAGATTTCTCTAGAATGTAGCTCGGGTAGAACTAGCTGAGGCCGAAGCTGCTCTGAGAACAGAAGCCACTTCTAACTAATAGCATATGTACTGTGCCTAAGCATCAGGAAGGAGGCCTACTCTAAGAATCATGTAGCCAAGGGCTATGCATCATTTTGACGGACACCCAAGATGAGATAAAGTGGGTGTTTTCATCCCTCAGTGCACACTAGGAAGCTTGTACAGCTCACTCTGTAGTTCAGCAGCTGCACTTGTAGAAAGTCAACCCAAATAACATAGGCCATCATTACTAACTGTACTCTAGAAACATTCACTAGGAACATTCTGTTTTTCATGGCTGGCATGTTATATGTGCTATGCTAAATGTTACACCTCAGTAAAAACTGATCTTGGACAGGCAGCCAAACTTTCTTGTAGAGAGAAGTTTCTAGCCTGATGACAGGATGTAACTTGGAGTTCTGGCTGCTGTTAAGTATTACTGCATTGTGGGGAGATAAGGTGCTCCGAGACACATGGACTTAACTTCCTGGCTGTGGATTGTAGACAAGTTTTCCTGGGGTTTGCTTCTGTCTGTTGGAAAGATTCAATATGGTGAACCTCGTAACCAGCCTGTAGCAGCCAACAGTTAATGAACGCTCGCTGTCAAGGCCAACACAGTGCGATCTGATTGGCTATATGCCTCTGTTCTCTGGCTGTACCAGATATTACTCATAGCTCAGGTTGGTAAAGGTTTCTCACACTGTAAACTTTTAGGAATGATAGAGTTCTTAGGGAACTAGAACCTCTACCTTGGCAAAAACCTGCTACAGAGAATCAGCACAACGTCACAGAATGCAGTGACATGTCACCTGTCTTTGGGAGCACCCCCCGAAGGAGCAACTGCTCTCTGCTTTTGCACCTTTTCTTCTGTAAAATACAACAGATGTCGGTGTTCCAGCCGACACAGCAGGACAGAGCAGGGCATATTAACAGTTTCCAGAAACTACCACCGCACAGGAGGATCAAAAGAAGGGAAGGAGAGCACAAACTTGTAGCTGTAGTGCAAGGATAACGGAACTCCACCATGCCTCAGTAAAGGATACAGTTACTAATGCCTTCAATAGTTAGTTGTTTGGCTACTGGAGGACCACAGCCATTTCAAATCAGTTACAGCTTGAACTGTGTTAAATGGGAAGGAGGAACAGTGTAAACAGGATATTTAACCAGGAACCCAGGTTTTATCTTTCTGAAGTTCTTGCCATCTAACCTTGCTCTACTGAATTCAAATGATTAGATGATACTCCTGCTTTAAATGTGGTATTTAAAAAGCCTAGGAATTCCCATGTAATAAGACATTGTATTCTACAGCCACTGAATGTATGGTAATTAAAGACCCATATATCCAAACAGACAATTGTAACGTATTCTTACTAGAATATAACATATACAAAAATAACAAATGCACAAAATTACTACCAGTATTTATATCATTATTAGCAGATTTTTCTAAGGTTTAATGAGAAGTTTAAAAATCCTAGAAATTTGGAATGTTAGGAAATGCATTATCTTACACTCATTTCACTCAAGCTTCAATAGGCTCAGGGAACAATTATCTGCCTCAGAACCCAGAGACAAGCCCCAAGCCACACTGAATTCCAAGTCCATCTCAGCTCATTTATCGCTTGCTGCACATCAGTTTGTGACATTATGGGATCTTAGACAAATCATTCTTGGAGGGCAGGGCATGACCAGATGCTTTTCCACAATGGCTGCCAAATTTGCAATCACTTGAGAGGCAGAAAAACTGCTGCCATCGCCGTTGTATGTAGTGATATTTTATTACTGCACCTACCAACCTTACAGACCAGGCAGTGGTGACACACACTAGTAGCCACAATAGTTTGCCACAGAAACCTGGCGGTAGTGGTGCATGCCTTTAATCCCAGCCCTAGAGAGGAATATAAGAAGGGAGGAGACAGCTCTCAGTCTCATTCTGAGATTCCTGGAGGCAGGATCGCCATTTCAGACTGAGGGAGAGGTAAGAGCTAGGGGCTGGCTGTTCTGCTTTTCTGACCTTCAGGCTGAACTCCAATTTCTGTCTCTGGGTTTTTACTATTCGTGCTATAATTGTACCTCGAGATCACTGGAAGCTGGGTGGCTTCCAGTTTGGCAAATTTGGGGATTAGTAATAATAATTTTTTATTCTAACAAGTAGTGTCATAAGATGGTTACTCAAAAGCATTTGCAAGAAAGCTTCAGATAGAGGCTAAGTACATCTCCTAAGAAAAGAGACTAAGATAATAAATCATGAAATACCAAAGTTTAAAAAACAGAACTTAGGTTTATTCCAGCCATGTTGCTCAAGAGCAGAGAAAAGCTAGGCTCCCTGGTGTCCATTGGTTGTACTCACTACTTTGCAAGCCTGACCTTGCATTGCACACACCTTAACCCTGCTGTTTTGTGCCCTAAGAAGAAGTATCAAATTCATCACAGGAAAGCTGTGTCTCACATATATACAACGTTACGGCCACCATAACATTGCTGTCATCAAGCAACACTTGCCCTTCAGGGCAACTAAGGGAAATGTCATACTCTGGGCTCTCCTCCCCTGGTTCCGTTAGGAAGTGAAAGGCTACTACAAGAAAGCAAACATTCAAACCATCAAAAATAAGACAAATTATTTCAAGATAACAAAAAGGGAAGAAACATGACTATTAGGCCTGCAGAGCACAGAACTGCTGGAACACAGCCAGGATGTGAGGGTCTAGCTCGGCAGTGAAAAGCAAGTTCTCCAGGGTCACCATGTACTGCTGGATTATCTGGTGATGCTGTGGACACAGAAAAGAGCCCTGGGTCAGGAAACCAAACACAAGCAACTTTGACCATTTTCCTCACAGCCCACCCATGCTGAGGAGGGACAAAAATAGGGCGAACATCTCCAGAGAAGATTTGAGAGAGCAGGCAGGGAAAGGAGCAGAGGGATGTACAATGACGTAAAACCAAACCCAGTTTTAACAGCCTTCTTATGGAATCCTTGATGCAAGGCACGGCAGGAAGCCGCAGACAATTTCAGAGGGCGTCCTGAAAGTCAGGACACAATACATTTACAGCTTTTTTTTTTTTTTTTTTTTTGAATTTTCGAGACAGGGTTTCCCCGTAGTTTTTGGTTCCTGTCCTGGAACTAGCTCTTGTAAACCAGGCTGACCTCAAACTCACAGAGATTTGCCTGCCTCTGCCTCCCGAGTGCTGGGATTAAAGGCGTGCGCCACCACCGCCCGGCCAACATTACAGCTTTTTGAAAAGCAGCCTGACTAGGGAGCCAAGGCATCAAAAAACGAGAACCTTTTCTCTGAAGACTAAAATGCACTCAAAAATTTCTAGAGGACTAGGGGCTCTAGGTTAGCTTTTGAACTGGCTAGTCACTACAAGTGCCTGGGAGAGAATTACTATTTGGAGGCTCAAAGAATAGAACTTTAGAATGATTACTTTAGAAATGGTCAGTTTCCTAGAACAAAGGAGAACTTAGGGAGTTAATGCCTTGAAGAGGAAAAAATGAAGCTTACGCTCCTACACATCAATGTCTGGAAGCAGATGTTGATACTCTGTGTCCAGAGACCCCAGGGGTTTACCTTGCTCCTGTGGACATGTTTACTATGGGAATTTAAGATGTTAAAATACCTTTATGAATCTAATCCCCCTCTTACATTTTAGATTACAGCTATGCTGGGCTCCCTACCACGGAAAATGGCAACCAGAGTATGAGTGATATAAAACCAATCTGTCTAAATATTCTGATGAACAGTAGTGTCAACAAATGGACATAAACTAAAGGGCCTATAGGAACTACATAACCTCATACCCTCCCTCCTGATATACTTTATGAGGACTTTTTGTGGTCTTATTCATGGCAGACAAGTGTTTTACCACTGAGATTCCTGAGGATTTTTTTAAAATCAGAACGCCTGTGTGACTGAACACAAACCTGCAGGAAGATCTGCTGCAGCCTCTCTATGCAGTTCTTATACCACGGGGTCAATATGCTGGTGCCATCAGTTTCACATCGTACCAAGTGCTCAGTTAGGATCATGATGAAACGCTGGAAAGGATGGCAGTGGAGGAAGCATTAGAGGGAGAACTTAACTGCTGAACAAATCCAAACCCAGAGTTCTCAATGGTCTTGTTGCTCCACCAAACTGCTGTGTACTCCTGACTTTCAGGACTGTCAACTTAGCAAAGGAGAGATTTAATGTTAAATCCTTTAACCTCAGGTTGGAGAGATGGCTCAAAGGTAAAAAACACTGGCTGTTCTTCCAGAGGTCCTGAGTTCAATTCCCAGCAACCACAAGTTGTCTCACAATCATCTATAAGGAGATCTGGTGCCTCTTCTGGCATGCAGGCAGAACACTGCATACATACAATCTATGTACAAAAATGTTCACAGGAAAGACGGCGGTCACCTAAATCATCAACCGTAAGAGATAAATGACACAGATACGTAAACAATGAGCAGACAGCACAGATTCACTGCAGCCTCCAAGCAGTGACACTATTCTGCAAAGTTCTGTATCCTCACTATTTTCGTGATTAAAAACAGCAACTTTTCAAACCAAGGGAATGGCTCCTTTTTTATCCCATACGCCAAGCTGGCTTACCTGGAAGATGACGAGGAAAAGGTTCTTTTGTTCACTCTGAGCAGACTCTACTTTCTCCTGCAGTCGTTCTATTTGCTCCTCCAGGGCCCCATCTTTCCTATCACTGCTTCTGTCATCGTCATCACTTCGCTACAAAAGGCATAGGAACAAAGTAACAATCCAATGCGCAGAATCCATCAAGAAAGGTGAATGACTATAACGCCAGGCTTTGCTATGTGGCTTGGGTTGGCCTTGAATCATGCATAATCTTCCTGCCTCCACTTTTGAGTGCTGGTTTTGGGGGTGGGAGCTCAGAGATGCTAGGCAAGTGATTTTTATCACTGAGCTATGCCCCTAGCCCTGGGGAAGGGTTTTATATTAAAGGGCTTTTATTCTTGTAGCGATAGCTCTGGGAAAACTTAGTGGTACTAGTCGTGGGGTAATGACTATGAGGTGCATCAGCTATGGCCAGCTCAGTCATTAAACTTACTAATATCTTTCCCCTATCTTCTACTCTGGTGGAAACACTAAATACCAGGGAATACTGTAATGGAGAACACTCACTATTATCATTTATTTATTTACTTATCTATTTATTTATTTTTCTGGGACAGGTTTTTCTGTATAGCCCTGGCTGTACTGGCCTGAACTCAGAGATTGTCTTGTTTCTGCCTCCTAAGTGCTGGGATTAAGGCATGCACCACCACCACCCAGTGAGAATACTAATATAAGTCAGGATCCAGCCAGCTCACTGCTTCCCTGTAAACCAGTGCTTCTCAATTTTCCTAAAGCTGTGATCCTTTAATTCAGTCCCTCATTTTCTGATTCCCCCAATCATAAACTTACTTTGTTACTACTTCATACTGTAATTTTGTTACTGTTATGATCATAAGGTAAATATCTGACATTCGACCTCCAAAGCAGTTGCAACCCATAGGTTGAGAACTACGGTTCTAACACAATTTTTATTTCCATGAGAAGTACTGACAAGTTGGGACTTGAAACTGACTTGCACCACCTCTCCACATAGCATCTATATTGTCTCCCTTCCCCTTTGTGCCAGACTCAGAAATACACACCGACTTTTCTGGGAAGCCATGGTAGAGAAGTAAACTAGAGAAAAAAACTCTGTGATCAGCGCCAGTCCCACGGCACACAACTGTCAAGGCATGGACTCCCACTACCCTGCAGACTAGGTCGTAACCTCTAACCACGCAGGATTCAGCACACGACTTACTCGTTTGTGTTGTCTTGCCAGTTTCTCTTTAGCTTCTTCGAGCTCTTTCTGGATCTTTAAAACATGTTTGTTCATCTTACGAATTGTAGAGTGCAAAATTTCCCAAACAAACAACCTGAACATAATACAGCAGTTGGTTAATGTATGCTAAGCTACACTTACAGAGAAAACATCAGTTTTTCAGACTACCATTCCTAAGGGCTGATAGGGCCTTCTATCCCCTGGGCAGAGTTATGCATTCTCCAGCAACACTTAATTCACCACTGCTGTGAGTTCTGAGAGCGTCTAGCTCCATTCACCTGACTCAGGTGGGCTCCCAGAAGGCAGTACCATACCAGTACTTGTTTAGCCCTTAAAACATAGAGTTGGTTTTCTTCTTCCACCAGGTGAGTTCTGAGGATCAAACCAGGAAACTCAGCTCACTAAGCCTGACAGGAAGCTCCACGACCCACTGAGCCATCTTGTTGGGCCTGTTAAAACTTCTGAACACATCTGTCACCTCAGGACTCAGTATATTTTGGACCAGCGTGTGCTGGCAGTAACAGGTATAGTGGAGAAGTTAAAGGGCTGTCGCAGAGTTTAATTTGATCTCATTTGCTTTCATTGCATGTCAATCTCGGCTGTCCTGGTTCTGATCATCTTTAAAACCTGTGTAACTTCATAAAAATGTTACCAGGTGATATGAACTACTTCACACAGGTTATACGCACTCTAAATTCTGGTTCAAACCTTGTGAAGTCACGAGACAGCTCCGATGAGAAGATCCAGTTTGCTACTGCTGCACAGTCAACAATCTGCGTGCGAATCATCTTATCAACTAGGACAGCAATCATCTACAATGGAAAAAGAGACAGGGTCAAGCTTGACTGATAAGTGGGCAAAACGACAATGCTATGAAAATAAGTTAGCAGGGCTATAAAATTTGATTTCAATGGCGATGGAACTGACCAGTTTAAGCAATAGGTCTTCATTTTTATTTTTTCTTCTAGGAGAGTCTCACATAGCTAAAGGTGGCCTTGAACTCCTGATTTTTTTTTTTTTTTTTTTGCCATTTCCTCCCAAGTGTTAACAATTACAGGGATGTGCCACCACTCCTGATTTAACTAGTTAGTCTTTAGACTTAGTTTGCTCTTTGCTAGGCTCTAAATACTGTAAGAAATACTGTGTTAACAATAAAGATTGCATGAAAAGAAATTCTGGAATTTAATAGCACTTAATATCTGGGAAATTTTACTTGATAACACTTCTATAAAATATGTGTGTATATAATTTCAATTGAAATCTCCAGTTGAAAAACAGCATCTTATGGGTCTTGTTTATAGAAATGGATAAACATAACTACTTTCTACAAAATACTGCTGTCCAGCAGCAGTTTTCTCACTCAGCATCTAATATGTGTGGGAATGCAGTAGCACAAACCAACCACCATGCCGTATGAAGAACATTAGCAAGGGCTGACGAGATGGTTCAGTTGGCTAAGACACTTGATGCTCAGCTTGACAACACAAGTTCAATACCCAGGACCCACTGGGCGGAAGGAGAGAACTGACCTAAATTTGTCATCTGACTTCACACAAGCTCTGTGGCTTTCCCATGTACTCCCAGTCAACAAATCAATATAATTTAAGAATTTATCACAAAGAAGGTATCGATTATTTCTACAACACGGAGTTTACGGATTTAATAACCATTCTACTGGCGGATTCAAATATACTTAATATCTAATCTGCACACCTACATAGCCAGGACATGGTGTGGGAAGTCCTTCTGTATATGTATTGCTATTGCTGGTTAATGAATAAAGAAGCTGCTTTGGCATATGATAGGACAGAATAGAGCTAGGAGGGAAAACTAACTGAATGCTGGGAGAAAGCAGGTAGAGTCAGAGAGGCCTTGTAGCTGCCAGAGGAGAAAGACGCAAGCTGCTAGCTGGAACCTTGTCTGTAGGCCAACCTCACAGTAAAATATAAAATAATAGAAATGGGTTAATTTAAGATGAACAGCTAGCTGGAAACATGCATAAGTTAATAGGCCAAGCAGTATTTTAATTAATACAGTTTCTGTGTGCTTATTTTGGGTCTGGGTGTCCAGGAAATGAACAAGCAGGCTCCCCCGACACTCACTATGTCTAAATAAATAGTTGTTACCTGTGGATGATTCCTCCAAACTTCAAACATAACTCTCAGCACATGTAACTTCCCCTCATCACTTTCTGCGAGAGTTTTGAAGACTTCATGAAACCTTTAGACGAAGGTGAAAAATACGACATGTAATTACACAAAAGCCTTTTCAAAGTCCCTTTAATCTTACTCAATTTAAAAACATAATATGCAAATGCAAGATAACCAAAGTAATCCCTAAATACATAAAAGCATACTTTGGCCTGCAAAGAAGCTGCCACCAACTTATGAGAGCACTCTCTTTTACTCTGGATGCTTACCACATCTGCTCCCTCTTTAGAGGCCAACCTTGGGGCGGGCTTTCATTTCTGCTCTATCTCTTTGGAAAGACAGACAGGCTGGACCTCTCTGCCCACCTCTCTGCCTATGTGAACGACTGTACTAGCTCACCTGCCACACGCACATCTACACTGTATACTCAACCATGGGGAGCATTCTGCCACCACAAACCGAATCTCATGCTATCAAATTATGTAGTAAGATCTTCATATTTAACAATTTTAGGCAAAAATTACTACAGCATTGGTATTCAAATGCACATACTTACTTTGCAAGAGCACTGAAGGAGTGACTGAAGGATTTGGCTGCCAAGTGCAGCAGAGTCTGCACAAAGACCTCTATCTTCAATGGGTTAAAACTGAAGCCTTCATCTGAAAACATTTACAGTACAAAATAAACATTAAGTACAGTAATTTATTGGTGCCAAACCCAGGGACGCTAAGCAGATAGTGTGCTCTTAAGACACTCATATAATAATCTGTCAGTAAAAGTAAATAATCAAAGTCTACTCAAAATATAAGACTAGGCCGGGACAACCAAACTACATAATGAGACCTTATCTCAACCAAGAAAGCATACCCTTAATTCTCTCTTTTTTGGAGTAATTTTCTCAATTCTTCTATAAAATTCAGTGTTTTGGTTTTTTTGCTTTTTTAAATTTATAACAGGGTCTTACTATGTACTTCTGGTTATCCTGGGACTTGATATACAGACCAAATCTCAAACTGCTTGGATTATCGATTATCAGGTTTTCACCATCATGCCTGGTTTAAGACCCATTTCCTTAAAAAAAAAAAATCCCATATATCGCCTCCTTTATATTCTGTCTAGAAGGTGTCAAATATTAATTAAAGCAAAAGCAGCAAACCTTTTAACCACTATATTAAGATATCTGCCAGAGTCTAAATTTAGTATTATCATGGCTGGCTGACACCTTCTAGGTGTACTCCCCAACCATATGGCGGGCTCTGTAACTTGTCATCTGCTCTTATCATCTGGCTTTGTGTGCTATACACTGGCTTACTTATTCTAAGTAACTATTTCACCGCATGTTTTAAACAATATTAGAGACCTCTTGCAGTACTTCTTTCCTTATCCACTCACAAATCAGGTAACTTGTATGTCAGTACAACTCTGCCAATTTCCTCATTCATACCAGGAAAATACAACAAAGCTAAGATGCTGGCAGAAATAGCACGCTATATACTAAGTAAAGATTAGGTATTATTAGTGGTGTAGTAGTTCAAAATTTAGAGAAAACATCAATTATATCAAAAATATCTAACACACTAAGATTTCCCATTCAGCAATCCAAATATATACTAAAAGCATAAATATTAAAAAAATCCTTGAATAAGCAATGTGTGATTTACTTTGTATGTAGGACATGTTTTTTTTTTTTTTTTTTGTTAACTGTTGCTTGTTTCTGAGACAAGCCCTCATTATGTAGTTCTGGCTGGCTTGAAATTCATTATGTAATCATAGGAATCCACCTGCCTCTGTCTCCCAAGAGCTGGGATAAAAGGCGTGGACTACCACATCCAGGATGGTTTATATTCTTAACATAACTTCACAGGGATTTTAGGGCCTCTTCGGTAAGGGGGTGAATATGCAGGTCCTAAGAGCAGCAGATCTACTGCTGTATGAGCACCCACAGGATTTGATAGAGCTCATGTTTCAGCAGAGCTGTGGATGCTTTAATGTGGCCTATGTGCCTAGGCTGAAGAAGTAAGTTTCTTACCGTTATCATCATCCTGGTTAGGATTTGGTACGTCCTTCAGAATGCTGAAGATTTCATCATTAGTTGCCTTACTTTTAAAAGCAACAGATAAACAGAGTGCCACGGAATGTCCAGGAAGAGAATCTAGATACAGAGCAGAGGGGAAGGTAGATCAAGCTGGCTCTATAAGCAGCTAGTAGCAGACTTTCAGTTATTTCCTTTTAAAATAGGATACCCCTCAGCAAAGATCAGCATTTAAACCATTTATGATACTATATATGAAAGCTTCACCCAATTCAATGTTTTGTTAGGTTTTTTTTCTCTATCTAGACTAAGAGGCTCTGTGCTTACTGTTAGGGTTTTGTGAGTGTGTGCTCATGGTATAGAAGTCATGTTAAGAGCGAAGGCATCATCAAAGTAACAGAAATCTACTTTCAGTGCAGACAATGAAGACAACATTAAGACCTGTAATGACTGATGTCTATTGCAACAGGTCACAACAAAGACTCAGCTAACACCTGTTGTGAGCCTGTCCCTGAAAGTGGAAGAAAATTCTATGAAAACCAAACAAACAAAAAAATAAATAAATAAAAATTAAAAAAAAAACACCAAGAAAATAAGAACTCTTTGTCACCAGGAAATTTACTTCAGAAGTAGACAAAAAGCATTTTTATGAAATAGGTTAAATAAAGATTAAAATTATTTTACAAATAACAAGCTTGGGCCAGACCTAAGGAAGAAACAGGAACTAGAGATTAAAGAGCTTTCTATATTGAGGTAATATAATTGCACAAAGCAAGGACGAGCAGAGTTTTCAGACACAGAGAACTTCCTTGCAGCACAAACCATGAGGCTCATGAATGAACTACAACATTCAGTGCAATCGCAACAGCACAGCGGGATAACCAACATCTACCTCGGTACCACTGGCCACCACTGCACATACTGCCTTCACAAAGCATAAACTATGCAAAGCAGAGGGACCACAGCAATTCCAGCACCTCTGATTCAAGGTGCAAGTGGTAAAAGTCATGTTTGCAAATTTACTTTTAGAAGCAGACTGCCATGTGCTCCCAGCTAGTCTCATGTCAACTTGACACAAGCTAGTTATCTGAAAGGAGGGAACCTCAACTGAGAAAATGCTTCATAAGATCCATCTGCAGCATTCCTCTATGGCCTTTGCATCAGCTCCTGCCTCCAGGTTCCTGGTCTGCTTGAGTTCCTGCCTTGACTTCCTTCAATGATGAGCAGTGATATGGAAATATAAGCCAAATATACACTTTCCTCCTCAACTTGCTTTTGGTCGTGGTGTTCCATCATAGCAACAGTAACCCTAACTAAGACAAGATGATAACCAATTTAAGAAGTCTCCATCGTAACAAATATACACTTTTAGTTTCTGTACATTCCAGGTATAAATTCATCTTACTATTTTTTGTACCATATTAAAATGTCATATGTAAAACAATGTAAACAATATAAATAGATAAACGCTATAAGTTAATAACTACTAATTAGATAACAACAAAATCCGTAATCTAGTGACTAATGATGGGTCACTTTTCAAATAAAGAAATTCAATTCTAAGAAAAAGTTGATTTTTCCTCCTATAACTAACTGGCTTCAGAGCATCATGGACCAGTACTTTTTAAGGAGAGAGATTTCAAGTCGTTTCATTACTTACTGCTACTTTCATCTCCATACTTGTAAATGCAGGTTGGGTTTGCAGGACACAGAGCTGAGAAGGTGGGAGGAACAATATCTAATATATGTTGATGGTAAGACAACCTACAACACAAATAAGAGCCTCAGAAAAGGTCTCATGTTTTAGTCTTCGGTAATACTCAACTTGTCCAGAGAGCCAGGATCCAAAATCCCAAACTCAGTGGACAACCAAGAAGCAAACAGGGACAAAGTACTCCAGGCCTTTGAGTAAGTCAGCACAAGTAAACCCGACCTGTCTCAAAACGCACTGACTTTGCATTGAGGTGTATGCTGGGGCATTCCCCAGTCGGGTGGTCAAGGGGTAAGGCTGGCATGGCTGGGAGGCTGGTTGTGTTGCACCAAAGAAAGGAAGAGCCAAGTTTCTTACCACCTGACAAAGCGTTTACACATCATGTTATAGATAAGGGATGGCTAAAAACAATGTTGGGTTGGATGTAACACAGAGAGAAAAGTATTTAGAGATAAATGTAATTTGTGTCTTTCCAAAGGCCTAAACCTACTTATTCCTCAAAAAATACACATTAAAAGCTCAGATCACAGTTCCCCCAAAACATAAATCTATTTTTATAAGCTAAGGCTTTTTAAATAGAAGACTCTAGAGGAGGAATAAGAAAACACAAATTAGATAAAAATACAAGCTTAGAAAATGAGAAAATTCTCATAAATGTTGGGGGACATTAAAACTATCTTTTGGTTTAATTCACATAAAATCCAATGGTACAGTTGATTAATTGCAGCCCAAATACTAATTAAAATGTGAGGTGGAAGATGGACAAAGACCAGGATTTAACAAAGAATACCGTGGACATGCATCAGAAATGCGAAGGCGAGAGAATCAGATGCTAACCAGTTCAAGCCATCTCCTCAGGAGAAGCAGAGACCTAAATCAAGGAGGAAGTACACAGGCTTATTTACCTCATGCATTTTTCTAGAACTTCTCTTACAAACTTTGGTTTGGGACTTTCGAGATCCTGAGTGAGACAATCAGACCTAAGGAGGAAATGTTCTTTTTTTAAGTATATATATAACCTTTGTATATATAATCTTCATTTCCTGACTTACAATAGGGTCTTCCTACCTATTATCTCATCCATATATAGTAACTAATACTGGAGACAACAGACTTTGTTTTGTTTTTTTTTCCCAAGACAGGGTTTCTCTGTGTAACAGCCCTGGCTGTTCTAGAACTCACTTTGTAGACAGACAGGTCTCAAACTCAGAGATCCACCCGCCTCCACCTCCCAACTGCTGAGATTAAAGGTGTGTGCCACCACTGCCCAGCACAACAGATTATCTTTAAGTGAGTTTTAAATAGGAAGGTTCTTTTGTGTATGTATATATTCATGTGCTGTTCTCCTGGTGTGCTTACTTTGGTTTCTCACTAGGCTGGCTTAGTCAGTGAACTTCAGGGATCTGCCGACCTCTATGCCCCTAGTGCTGGGAATAGAAGCCCATGCCTCCATGCCTGGCTTTATTTTTTTAAACAAACAAACAAACAACAACAAACCAGGATTTCACTGTGTAGTGCTGGCTGGTCTGGAACTTACTACATAGACTAGGCTGGCCTTGAACTCACAAAAGATTGATCTGCCTCTGCCTTCTGAGTGCTGGGCTTAAAGGAGCGTACCACCATGCAGGACTCAATAGCAGCCTTTTAAACATGGGCTCTGTGGCAAGCACTTTACAGACTTAGAGATCTCTAATGTAAGTTTCTGAATAAGGTAGAATAAAACATTACACTTACCAATCTTCCCAGCTCCAACGGAACTGGAAGTTACTTAGATGATGAGAAAACCAATTAATAAACCTACATTGGGGAGTGGGGCAGGGGAGAAGAGAAAGGAAGAATGCAATTTAGACCAGCAATTTATGCGTCTTTCACACCCCACTCGCTACTTGTGGCTCTTTGACTGTTTTCTCAGCAAAGACTCTAACTTGCTGTCTTATAGTCCCCAGCTATCTCAGTTCACATGACGGTGCATCCTTTTATTCTTGTTAGGCAACAGACATGATTTAAGCTCATACTTTGTGCAAAATATTCATAAAGATTCTCACAGCTACGAAGGAGTATATTATTTTTTCTCCTATAACTGTTGATAAATGGAAGCAGTAAAAAAATGTAGTTAAATGTTTATAAATAATTGACAAATAGCAGAACCAAAGTAAGCCTGTCATATGTTGTTGGGAACTGAACCTGGGTTCCTGGGAGAGCAGTCAGTGCTCTTAATCACTGAGCCTTCAATCCAGCACTTAGTTTCTTATATTTATATTATGACTTTTTAAAAAACTTTAATTTATGTGTTTATGTTATATGTGCACATGTATACAGTGGCAGAGGCCAGAGCGTGGTGGATCCTCTGTAAGAGCAGCAAGCGCCGTAACTGCTGATCCAGCCCTCCACGCCCACTACAACCTTTTCATGACAGTCTATATGCATTAAGTCCCACTTAAAAATATACTTAGTTCTCTAGTCAAGAGAGATCTTATTGTGTTAAATAGTGCTGTGAAGGTCAAAAGAGTACTCAAAATGTTTACAGAATTGATACTCTACTAGAGCAGAGACACTGGAAGACACTTTCTTAAAGCACTTCCATCAAAAATCTGACTTCAATCACTTGAATTTTTCAGGGTCACTGACAAGAGTCCCAATTTTAATAAAGAATTTGGGTAAAAGATATGGAAATTGGACAACTGTTCAATCTTCTTCCAATCTGACTTGGGAAATGGACAGAAGGAAAGAGAACCAGCTGGCAGTCACCCAGACACTGTCCCAGAAGAAGACAGTGAGAGTGAAATGACCACGCTGTAACAACCCAGGACAGGTTCATACATTTGTTTAAAATAAACGGAGTCTTACAGCTGCAGGTTTGAAGATACTCCTCTGGAATTAGTTTCAAAACAGATAATCTGTAAGTGTTTATATATAATAAATATAGTACTAAATTTATCATTCAAAGTAAGCTTAACTTAAAGACTTACACATGCAATTAAGTAGTGAAAGTTAAATGATGCCTAAGCTTCAAGTGCTCAAGTAAGAACTGGAATTAAAGAGAAGAACGGGCATCATCAGAGGCTGAAACAGACTAGAAGTCATGGTGTTCTAACAAGCAAGCTGTCACACAAAGGGGTTTGGAAAACAGGGAACAATTTGGGAACCCTTAAGACAGCCTTCTGATAAACTCTTGAGGGTGCTAACATAACCGTTAGTACAGAAGTAGCCAAACCAATGCTGTACCTGTCTACACATGTAGTACTCATCGTGTCCAGACGCATATACAGCATCTCAGTCGCCTGTGCAAGCTGTGCATTGAAGATAAGGAAAACTCCTTTCCACTCTCCTTTAGAGTACACTGTGACGTGAAAAACAAACCGTGTCCTCTCAGTCTGCATCACCAACAACTTCATGTGCCTTTCATCCTTTCACATCACTCATATTGTTTCCCGAGCTCTGAACTGAAACTGGCCATGACATGCAATAAATCTGACTGTATCCACCTCTGTAAAATATCAGCTACTATTTTCATCACCTCTACAATTTCCCCAGACTTTTGTAATTCAGTCCTTCCTCAGTCATTCTAGACCTCTCCCCTCAAGCATCTAATGGTCTCTTGTCATTAAAGGATTTTCACATTTTTCTAGAATTTTACAAAAACAGTATCAAGACCTGTGAATCTGTTATCTTTCCTTCAGCATAAATTATTTTTCAACTCATGCTGTCACTGTAATAAAAACAAGTTCTCTTTGTTGAATATTATCATTACAAGAAACAAACTGTTTATCCAAGTGTTGTTGGAGATTCAGGTTATTTCTGGTTTCAAAATATTATAAATAAAATTTATAAACATTGTGCCCAGTTCTCTCTAAAACCTCATACCAAAAACCAACATTACCATAAAACAAACAAAAAACAAATACAAAAATAAAACATTTTCTAAAAACTGTAGCAACCATCAGGAAGAAACCACCTTTAAAGAAAATTTCATAGGAAATAATTAGAGATGGACGCTCGGGACATACAAAAAGAAATGGACACCAAGAATGATAGGGACAGATACATCTAAATGGATAGCATGCATATTTTTTCTTTCAAATGCAAAAAAGATAAAATAAGCATACTAGAAGGGGTTTTCTGATCTTTTTATTATCAGAAAGGAAGGCCAGAACCGAGGAGAAAGGTATGTCTGTTATGCGTGTGTGCACAAACATACATGGGGAGGGGACAAAATGTAGTAACAACTAAAACACTTTATAATCTAAGAATCAGACAGTAAGAAAAATAAAATGGGCATGAGAAATAGCGTGCGATCAAATGACACTGTCACACTGGAGAGGAGTGCAGTGGTTTACAAGACACACAGGGATGGAAGGGTGCAGCAAGCTGTAAGGAGAGTTATCTTAGCTAAAGAAAGCCGTTGATGCTTATTATTAACAATCCAGAAGCACCATGGATCTATGTGGAAGAGGAAGGAGGTGGAGAGACTGAAGAGACAGAGGTGGGGATGATTCCAAGGACACAGCAGAATCTTCCAGACACCGCAGGGCTGAGACACAGGAGCTCCCAGAGCTGCGACAGCATGCACAAGGCATGCCCAGGTTCAGGTCAGACAAAATCCCAGCATAAGGAGGGCAAGTGGACACAGAGCTGACCCTAGCCAAGACTCTCTGCAATTGATACCTGCTGGGAAAAGCAGCTGTCTCCAGTGGAGTGTCACTGGGTTATCAACCAGACTCCAGGGCAGGCCATGTGCAGGAGCTGGCTAACATGAAACAAACTCCATGTTTGTGTATGTGTGTGTTTTGTTTTAATATTTTCTTTCCCCCTCCCAATTTTCATTTTTTTTCTTGTTTTTGTTTTAAGAGACAGTGAGTTGAGTGGTTAGGATCTGGGAAAAATTGGGGAAGAGGACAGAATATAATCAAAATATACTGCATGAAAAATTTTTGATGAGAAAAATTATCTATCTGGACAGCTGTGGCACATGCCTTTAATCCCAGAACTTGGGAGGCAGAGGCAGGTGGATTTCTTTGAGTTTGAGGCCAGCCTGATCTACACAGCTAGTTCCAGGACAGCCAAAGCTGTTACACAGAGAAACTCTGTCTCAAAAAACAAACCAACCAACCAACCAACCAAACAAACAAACAAAAAATCCAAAACAAAAACCAAAGAACAAATCATACACATACATATATTTAAAAAAAAACAAAAATAAACAAAAAATAAGGCCTTTTAAGACAAACGCCATGTAACATAAGGTAGAACCACTCCAGAGTGGTAAAAAACTTACTTCACCAAGGGCAAAACAAATTTGACCAAATTTGTACCAAATATCGACAAAGCAAAACTGATGGAACTAGAGAAATGAGCAAACCCACAGGTATAATGACAACTAACATCACTCCTAGTAACTCATGGAAGTAGCACAACACACACGCATGCATGTGCGCGCACACACACTGCAGATATGGAACTATTTATTCAAATAACACAATCAATGGCACTTATCTAATGGGCTTATAGAAGACCCGAAGTCCTGAAAAGGCAGAATGTAATTTTCTTCAAAAAACTGTTATTTTAAAAGGCAAAGGAGCCAGGCAGATCTCTGTGAGTTCAAGGCCAGTCTGGTCCACAGAGTGAGTTCCAGGACAGCTCAAACCCTGTCTCAAAAAACAAAATGGCAAAGGAATAGCTGGATATGGCCTCAAACCTGTAATCCCATCACTTTGGAGGCCGAGACCATCCTGGCTACTGAGTATGACCCTATCTCAGGAAACAAACACAAGTCAAGGGAATGGGAAGTAACACCAGCACTATTAGTATGGCATGAAAGCAGAGGGATCCTGCGGGGAGGACAAAGGAGCGTGTATGCCATAGCACCACGTTCTATTTTAAGCAGGGGGAGATGATGCATGTCAACTTCATAAGCATGTATTTTGTCTGGTCTTATTTTCCATCATCCCTAAAACCCAAAGCACAGGAAATTGAGAAAAGATAGCTCCAGAATGTCATCTTTTAAAAAGCACAGCCAAGGGGTGTACATTTGAAAACACGAAAGGATACAACTTGGGGCAGAGAGCCTGGCTGAAGCTTGCACAGCTCGATGAGCAGTGTAGTGTACATCACATCGATGTGAGGGGGCGCTGGGAGCTGAAACAGCTCTGCGAAGATCACCTGGAAACATAAGGTAAGAGAGATCCACACGTTACAACCTAACCCTAAGTCCATGGCACCTGCAATGGAGAACGAATTACCTTTATCCTTAACAATTATGCTTTCCGAGATCTACAGCTCAACAACATAATGAGCACCCCCTTTTTCTATATCAAGTGTCCGCTAGGTGAAGGCTGCTGTGACCCACACTGCCGAGACAAATGTGCAAAAATAATCCATCCTTTGAAGTCTATATCAAAGGATGATAGAGCTGCATTCCTGTGGGTACTGAGAACTCTAAGTGGACCAAGGATTGAGACAGCTGAGTATTCTACGTGGCTACTCACAACAGACCCCAGATCTTTTTGGCATGCTATTTCCTACCCCTTCCTCAAAGTCTAAAGCCCTAGTCTCAGAAATTCTATATATTTTTTTTCATATTTAAAAATATGACTTAGAGCCATGATAGCACATGCCTAAAGTCCCAGCAAATCAGGAAGAGTTGGCTGATATGGTGACATCTAGTCTTTTTATACCTCTCCCACCCCACTCCCATTTTCCAAAACAGTGTTTCTTTGTGAAACAGTCCTAGAACTTTTGTAGACCAGGCTGACCTCAAACTCAGAGATCTGCCTGCCTCTGCCTCCCGAGTGTTGGGGTTAAAGACACATGCCACTTAAAAGAGGTGATGGGGGGGGAGAGGAAGAGACAGAGGAAGGGAGGGAGGGAGAGAGGGAGGGAGGAAGAGAGGGAGAGGGAGAGAGGGAGGGAGGCAGGGAAGGGAGAGGGAGAGAGAGGGGGAGGGAGGGAGGGAGGGAGGGAGGGAGGGAGAGAGAGAGAGAGAGAGAGAGAGAGAAGAAGCAGGTGAGGCCAGCAAGATGACTCAACACGTAAAGGCTCTGAGTTTCAATCTCCTTTCTTCCTTTTACTAGCAAGGCTGAGAACCAAAACTGGCAATTTCCTTGGTTTTCTCTTCATTCTCAGAGCCTGGTAAGCAGCAAGGAGAGCACAGGTAAACAAAGCCAGGAGGCCCCGTAGAGTCCTCAGACAGACTGGGAAAACCAGTTAGCACCTCATGGAATGCATACCTCAACTATGTGGTAGTTCAAGGGGATCTTGTTCTTCCCTGGGTAGCTCACCAGCTGTGCAGCACTGTAAGAAGTGTGAGTCCAGTTAGCTAGCAAGTGTACAAAGACACACACAAAACCCAACAGCTTCAAATGCAGTGAGCTTAGCCGAAAAAGAACTTGCAGTAATGTTCTAGTGTTGGGTTATTTATTAACATGGTATAAACTGTTTGTCTTCCACACAAAAGGAAAAGTAATAATACCAGCACCTGCAGATCTAACTCAGCACATTCTTACAGGTGGTCCACTCCTAAAGACAACACTTCTCAAAACTGAAGCCAAAACCTTCTAGCTGTATGAAAATGTATTAATACTTAGGTTTCTAAATGTTAGAAAACAGAAAAAAAAAACATTAGTAAGCTTTAATTTCCATACATCCAAACTAAAACCAGCCTACTGTTTCACGTTAGCATATTTGGAATGTATGTACCTGTGTGGGCTGAACAGGAATGTGGAAGTCAGAGGTCCAGAGGTCAGTGCTGAGTGTCTTCAGTTACTTCTAATATAAGGCCTCTCATTAAAGCTGGGGTTTAGGGACTAAAGAGATGGCTCAGCAGTTAAGAGCACTGGCTGCTCTTGCAGAGGACTCAGCTTCAATTCCCAGCACCCACATGACAGCTCACAGCTGTCTGGAACCCCATTTCTAGGCGACTCAAAGCCATTTCCTGGCCTTTGAGGGCACCAGATTGATATACATGCAGGAAAAATACCCATACACATCAAGAATATTCCAAACAAACAAAACACCTGGGGCTCACGGGTTGGCTTGACTGGATGGACAGCGATCCCTAGGGATACTCCTGTTTCGGTGTCTCCAGAACTGAGATACAGGTGAGTGCCAACTGTTCCATGGGTGCTGGGCACCCAAACACTGGTCCTCATGCTTGCTAGGCTATCTCTTCAGCCTTACACACTCCCAACAGATTTTTATTGTTCTTATAAAATCATCAAAATGGTTTCCGACCCCCTTTAAAAGGACCATGAAGAGACTCTCACCAAGTTTTCCTTTCCTTCCAGTAGGATTTTATGATGCAGTGAAGGTTTTCCTCTATGACAAACCTCTCCACCGAATGACTCCCTGGCATCACAGGACCCTGGAAAGAAGACCAATGTGCTCATGCACAGAATCACAAAACAGATCTCTTTCATTTATTCAATAAATACCCAAATCTGGGACTGAACTGTCATGTTAAATACCTACCACAGAATCAAGAGTGCATAGTGCTCCTGATTCATCAAATACCCACCAGGCCCATTTTACAAATAAATTAAGACAAAACAAAACAAAACAAAACAACCATCTATCTATCTACCTACCTACCTATCTAAAAACTCATTCCATTCACCCATCCACCCAGTGTGGGTGTGTGCTGCCATGGCACATTTGTAGAGATCAGAGAACATTCTGTGGGAACTGGTTCTTTTTTACCATGCAGGTTAGCCAATTATGATGGAACTCTGGTGCCAGATTTCATGGCCTGTGCTTTTATCCACTGAAATATCACCCAATTTCTAAATTTTTTTTTTTTTTGGTTTTTTCGAGACAGGGTTTCTCTGTGGTTTTGGAGCCTGTCCTGGAACTAGCTCTTGTAGACCAGGCTGGTCTCGAACTCACAGAGATCCGCCTGCCTCTGCCTCCCGAGTGCTGGGATTACAGGCGTGCGCCACCATCGCCCGGCCCCAATTTCTAAATTTAATAAACACTTCTTAAAGACACTATCAAAATACAAAAGAATGCAACATTTCCATTTTGAGGGAACTATTTTGGGGTACTTATCTTTCTGACAGAGGGAGGACAGGCACAGAGTGCAGCACCAGCAGGAATATAATACATTCTGAGGTCAAACTCTTGTTTCCTTTGCTATAATAATTCATCACAAAGACTAAATGTCATGAATATAAACTAGATTTGCAGTTGATAACCCTAAACTAAACATCATGTAATTGTGAAGCTAAGTGTTTTCTTATTATTTAATACAGCAAAACAGGCAACAAGTCCTCCCACCATTCTGGGAAGGCTGGACTACTGGACAGGAACCAAAGCCAGGTGTCAAGTTAAACCAAGCCTTTCCCACTATACTCTGGTCATGCTCTGTTTTCGGGCTGAGCCAGGGAGGAAAAGGCTGAAACTCAGACTGAAGAGCCGGGAACATTTGGAATCTCTGCTTTATTTCTGTCTGCATTCTTTTTTTAAAAAAATATTTATTTATTTATTTATTTATTATGTATACAGTATTCTGTGTGTATGTCTGCAGGCCAGAAGAAGGCACCAGACCGCATTACAGATGGTTGTGAAACACCATGTGGTTGCTGGGAATTGAACTCAGGACCTTTGGAAGAGCAGGCAATGCTCTTAACCACTAAGCCATCTCTCCAGCCTTCTGTCTGCATTCTTTAAACAAATAAACAAAACAACAAAACCAAAGTCATGGGCAGTGCCATTTCATCCAAAGACAGCTGATTCTCTAGATGCACAGACACGAAAGTTCACTCTGGGATTGCATGTGTTCTCTAAGTAATTTGGTACATACACATAGCTAGTTATCCGACACAGGCAACAGAGAAGTTAGAGCCAGACCAAGTACCTTGTAATACATAGGCCAGTGCTCATTCACAAATACATACCCTGAGAAATCATTATTATGAAGTCAATCTAGTGCCTGGCACGCACACGTTGAGATATAAAATAATTAATGTGTGCTTAAAATGTTAATTTTTACTTCCAATACTCACAACAAAATCATGTTCTCCTGTTAAAGGGTTACTAACAATATGACTTCATAAACACTATAAGAAGTATCTTTAAAAACTAGAATGTTAAGTTGAAAGGTTGACAAAAATCCACATTAAAAGCTATGTCAAGTGGCACATGCCTCTGTCCCCAGTGCTGTGGGTGGGCGGGCTCAAGATAGGTAGATCCCATCCGGTCTGCTGGTCAGCAGTACAGCTACAGTGGTGAACTCCAGGTTCAATGAGAAACTTGTCTCATTGGGAAAAAAGGTGGTGAGCAATGAAAGGCGGCTGAAGTCAACCTCTAGTCACGACACACACAACACAGCCTACCCAACAGCTAAAATTCATGTGAGTCACTGTTCACTTTTTACATGGGATCCATATTATTATTGTTCCTCTGGGAACTGAGGCACAGAAAGTAAACAACTCACTCATGCTCCCAGGCAGTATTTGCATTAAAACGCTAACCAATTAGGCTCTTGACTGGTAAACTATACTGTCTCTCTCATTTATATGAGCAAAACAATTTTTTTTTTGCATAATGAGGTAATATAGTTAACTGAATCAAAGCATATAATTGATTTTCATTAATCTTCTTATGTTAAAAAAGTAACTGAAAATTAAAAGGCTATTTCAGAGTTGTGCTGGGCAATGTGAAGGCTGAGGTAAGGGAATCTGTGAACTTGAAGACAATCTGGGCCAACAGAGAGAGACCCTGTTTCACAAGGTCCCTGAAGGAACACACCTCTATTGCTGGTGGGAGTGCAAACTTGTACAACTGTTTTGGAAATCAGTATGGCGATTTCTCAGAAAATTAGGAAACAATCTACCTCAAAAACCAGCAATACCACTTTTGGCCATATACCTAAAGGATGCTCATAAGGACATGTGCTCAACTATGTTCATAGCAGCATTATTTGTAATAGCCAGAAACAAGAAACAACTTAGATGCTCCTCAACCAAAGAATGGATAAAGAAAATGTGGTACATTTACACAATGAGTACTACTCAATGGTAAAAAATAATGACATTTTGAAATTTGCAGGCAAATGGATGGATTAGGAAAAAAAACATATTAAGTGAGGCAACCAGACCCAGAAAGACAAATATAATATGTACTCGCTCATAAAGCAAAGAAAAACCAGCCTACAGTACACACCCCAGAGAACCTAGAAAACAAAGAGGACGCTAAGACATATGTGGATCTACAGAGGAAGGAAAAAAAGATAAGATCTCCTGAATAAACTGGGAGCATGGGGGCCATGGGAGAGTGTATTAGGAGAGGGGGAAGGAAGGAAGGAGTGGACAAAAATGTTTGGTTTAATAAAAACAATAAAAAACAAAACAAGTCCCTGGGAAAAAAAAGGCAAAATATCTAGAATACGAGTCAAAGGATACTAAATCACAAGGACAGCTGCAAGCCAGGTCCTTCCTGGAACGCTTTGCCACTCACGTACCTCTGGGTCATCTGTGTAGTCAAACATTCTGAAGATGACCCTGGGCATCGGGTACACCGAGTCCTCCGTGTGAGGTGGTGGTGTGAAAGGAGGCAGATTGTGCTGTAACGCTTCACAGAGGATGCTGTCAAAGGCAAGGTAGGGTCTTAGGATGTGCCTTTCCTGCCACCGGTCCTTTTTCAATTTCTGAATCTGGGCCCATAGGCAATCTAAATACTAAAAGGAGATTTTAACATTTAATATAAACATTTTGGCTAGACAGTTCAGAAAACATCTTCTCTCTAAAATGCAGGACAAAGTAGACTAATTTAGTATTTCATATAGTAGAAAAGAATGGCATTAAGTTTTTGTTTTTCCTTAAAATTTTAAAATTAGAGTAGCGTGCACACACTTGCCACATTGTGCACAATGAGGTCAGAGGACAACTTGAAAGGTCTTCCTCTCTGTCACTACGGCCCGAGCTCTAGCTCAGGCTGCTCTACCCATGGAGTGGCTCGCTCTCCATTTTCACTCCACAGCTTGTTTCAGAAGCACATTTGGGGCTGTTTACGCTGCTATTTAAAATTGAGTATTTAGATCTAACATGTGTCAAGTCTGTGAAAACTGATATTCTAAAAAGCAAGGGACTATTTCAATTACATTCTAACATACATTAAATACCCCTCTATGCTGAAGATTCCGAGGAAATGAATTCCTTACTGGAAATATTTAGAAACCTAGCTAAGATATACAAATGCAATAGTTTGAGCGTTTTAAAAAATCGTGGCTTAATGTATTTGTGTGGCACATGGGCCATAGCGCACGCTCAGAGGTCAGAGGACAACTTGTAGGAATCAGTTTCCTCCTTCTACCTGTGGATCCTGGCAACTGAATTCAGGTTGTCAGGGTTGGCGACTCAGTTGAGTATGCTAAAGAGATAAGCATCACACAAGAACTGTGTGTCTATCACGAGACGGAAATCAATTCACCTCTTCTTGTGGATGTGGTTTATCGGCAGTCCAAACTTGTAACATGGGCACATGAGTCTTCTGGCGTCTTCTAAAGGTAAAAAGGAAAATCTACACTTAGGCTTTAGAAACATAAAAGACACTCAATGGTTTTCATGATTAGTTAAAGCAATGAAAAACATTTTTATCCATCAGATAGCAACATACTGATAATGGTCTATATGTCATCAAGATAATGTGAAAAATATCATTTGAATAAAATTAAGTATATTCTCTCTCACTTTCACACACACATGCATGCACGTAGACATGGAAAACAGTCTTTAGTTGCCATATTTATTTGTACTAAATAAAGCAGTTAATAATGGTGTCCACACAAGTATGACATGATCAACCTGTGAAAGCTAAAGGAACACACAGCACTGTCATCATCATGCTATGAAACAATTAGGCATGTTTACTAACAAGGCTTATAACTTCATTTTATCTAACAAGATAAAGCAAATTCTTATGCTGACACGGGAGAAGGGTTTGGTTTAGGATTAATGTGTATGAAATAAACCTTCGTACAAGGGCAGTGCTTCTCCTCATAACACATTAGTGATCACATGTCTGAACCTCTTCCAGTCATTCCACAGCCTGGGCAGAAGTGTGATTCTAAGTAGTCCAGGTGACCTTTAAGCATGTGAACACTAGGACACTAATGGAGCTATTCCACCATGGTGTTCATGTCTTTCACAACCATATGTGAAACAATACCGACAGGATACCAACTTCTTACACTAGCAAGTACTGAGAGTTATGTGAGTTATGGCAGCAGGAGAATGACTTTTAATACAGAAAATTTTCAGGAACTGAACTGGTGTCACTGCTAACAGAGAACTTAAGACATTTATTATACCAGCATGATAGCTTTACACAAACAACAAAGAACATGTGAACTATGTGCCCTTACTTAAGATAACTTTCAGTGTTGGAGAAGATGCGGTCCATTTCTGCATCTTTCTTTTCGTACAACTCTTTTCCAACCCAGGGCAAAGACGACAGAAACGCATACACATACCAATCCCGTCGCACCTAAAGAAAGTTTAAAAAGGAAAGTTAAAAAAGAATGCTGGTTAATTTTATTCATTCATTCACTATTCTTTCTTTCCAGTGTTAGGGATCAAACTCAATGGCTAACAGATGCTAGGCAATCATTCTGCAACTGAGCTAGACAACTCCCCAGCTCCATCTTTTTTTATTCGAAAACGTGATCCTGGGGAGGCTTTTAATAGGGCTCAAATAAAATATCTGTCTCGTCTAGAGGATTTCTAATTATACAGTTATAATCTTTTAAAATCATTTGAATTAACACAATGATGTCAAGAGAATCCACTAGTAAGCCAGTGGACTTGCCCTTCAGATATTAAGCATTATAGTGTGATAACCTGTTATTGTTATTTTGTTTATTGCTGCTAAAGAGTTATCAGTGGGGTGGGGGAATCTGGTGCAGCGCTTCAAGGAAGAGATTCAACATAAAATGTCTTACTTGAGGCACATCTTCTTCCTGAGTCACACTTACAAAATTCTCAAACATAGCAACCATAGATGGGGCAGCAATCACATGACAATTCACAAGATCAGACAGAAAACGGACCTGTGAGGACAAAGGATAGCTGTATTACACCTACAGTCATTCAGATAGCCACAGAATAAACAACCTTGTGATGTCTGTGAAACTAAAGCCCATGGCTACATTTAACTTACTTTTTGTCTGCACAACCTAAGAGCCAAGAAGTCTCTAATCCTTAAAACAAAACTCACACAAAATGACATGAATTCAAATTTCAGTGCCTATTATAACCATACTTGCAGAAGTTCACACTCATTCAGATACTTATTGACCACAGTTGCTTTTGTGGTATAGTGGCAAAGTTGGGTAGTATGACAAAGATCTTATGCTGGATAGGAATCTGTGATTTTGTGGGTTTCCATGCTATGCTACATTAGGTACTCAGACAGCCAAATATTCTAGATACTCCATTTTACTAAAGTAGGCTGGTCTTTTTGTCTGGCTAGGGATAATATTCACTACTGAAATATAGAAATGGAAATTTTAAGAAAAAGAGCTATTTACTGGGTGTCCTCTCTGGGCCAGGGTCAAATAAACACTATCCAAGATACTGTTTAAGGGAACTTAATAGCTTATTTGGGACAAACATAATCTCAACAAAAAAAGATGACTCCTGTACCAAAAGGTAAATTAAAAAGTATCCTTGGAGCTGGGCGGTGGTGGCACACACCTTTAATCCCAGCACTCGGGAGATCTCTGTGAGTTCGAGGCCAGCCTGATCTACAAGAGCAAGTTCCAGGACAGGGTCCAAGGCTACACAGAAAAAAACAACAACAACAACAACAACAACAAAAAAAAAACATGCCCTTGGGACCAGTGACAAGGGGAAAAGGATAAGGTTATAAAGGATGAGCACAGCCCTCAGTGGGGAGTGGGAGGAGCATTCTTGGCAGAGGGTTGTGCAAGTAATTTTATATACCTGGAAAGTATACAGAGGACAAGAGAAGGCAACCATACTGGGGCAAACATGAAACTTAATTCCATTTCGTTCTATTCAAGACACATAAAAGTTCTGTGTTGCACAAAGAATCTAAGAACCAGAGGTTGGGGAGGAGTCTCTAGAAGGAACATGGCCACACCACTCACAACCTCACAGTAGCTATACAAAACCTACACAAGACTAGGCAGGTCAACATTCCTTCATGGACAGGGATGAAGCTCATGAGGCCCCACCCCTTCCTGAGGAGCTGTGGCAGCTAACAGTTTCTGAGGAAGGTGTTTTCCTCAGCTGTGTAGCCATTAGTAAGGTGCCCATGTTCCAGTAAATAACCACCTACACTTGTATGTAAGCAACTCTAAATTAAACATGTGAGTCACACATGTATAAAAAGACACCAAAGTAGAAAAAGAACTAGAAAGGGTACAGAAAGAGGAGGTAGAGAAAAGAGATAATGGGAGACCAATGTGACCAGAATATGTTAAATACGTATATGAAACTGTATTAAAAAAAATAAAAGGTTCTAATGTTCACTCCCTGCAGCCCAATGAATCATTTCATGTATCAGAATTTTAAGACCACCTACTATAAAAAACAGGAAGGAAGTGAAGGAGCAGAGCTTACTTACACAAAGGCCACTTTGGTGCTATTACTATGGATAGATTCAAAGGCAGAGACTTCCGATGGACAAATGTCAAGTAAGGAAGCAGCTAAGAACACAAAAAGTTACAAGCTGTGCTAGATAGAGGCCATGGGACAAAGAAGGGAATCTAGGAGAGGAATGAGAGGGAATGGAGACAGAAAGGAGGCAAAGAAAAGCTAACAATTAATGGAAGATTTCTGGATGTCTTATCCAGCGGCACATGAATTTTGGGACTTGCAAAGACAAAATCTCTGGGCTCTATTTGGGATACTGGTTTAGAACTCAGGAAAAAGGTTGAGGTGGGAGATGGTTATAAATTTGGGGTCCCCATCAAAATAAAGTTGGTTTATATAGCTATTAGAGTGAATGACACTGATTCAGAAGAGAAGCTTAAATAAAAGACAGAATCATTGTAAAAAAAAAAAAAAACAACAAAAAACATTTAAGGGGCTGGAGAGATGGCTCAGAGGTTAAGAGCACTGGCTACTCTGTCCTGAGTTCAATTTCCAGCAACCACACACATGGTGGCTCACAACCGTCTATGAATCTGATGCCCTCTTCTGGTGTGCAGGCATACATGCAGGCAGAATGCTGTATAAATAATAATAATAATAATAAAAGACTGTCAACTCCAAATCATGTAAGGTTCTGGCAATTAAAAAAAAAACATTTAAGGAATAAAAGATGACAACCCAGCAAAAGAGAGACAAGAATCAAAGACAGGAGCAATGTTGATGCTATTATTATTATTATTATTAGCAGGTTTACAAAGAGTTGTGCTGTAGAAGCCAAGATATAAGAAAATAAGGAATCATATGCTGCAAGGAAAAGGACCAGGACTCAAAGTAAACACAAACGACCACATTGAGTAGTAAGCGACAATGGCTCCCAAAGAACGGCTACGAGATGAGCAAGGACCAGAATTCATGATAAGAGCATAGTTAATTGGCTGTAGCTTGTTTCCTCCACTTTAACACTAACTTATAGCGCGCGCACACACACACACACACACACTTACCAAATAGACAGCTTCGTTATAGTTATTTGCTTTTAGTGATTCTTTCAGTTGGCGAATCATGGCTTCTACAAATTCTCCACCAAAGTTGTAATTTCTGGCATTCAGCAGTCCGACTAACGTTGTATAAATTGTCAACTTCTCAGGTAACTGGCGTGCACTGATTTGAGAACCCATACAAGACAATCCCAAAGCAAAGGTTTTATGTTAAGCTGTTGAATTGTACATGACATTTTAAACATCAAATGGCTTTGGAACAAAATTACTTTTAACTGTGTTTTGAAAACGATTTCAGAAATGACATATGTGTTACTGAAAAAGTATGCAGATATAGACCCCAATATTTTTCACTGTAGTTAATTCAAGAGTTAAGTTACTTGTGAAGTTATCACACCAAAATTAACACAACTAATGTTAGACCAGTTTTTCTTCAAATGTATTGAGTGGAAATAACAATTCAACAGAAAATGGTTTCCATGGCAATGTAAAACAGATTCTTTAATGTAGAATCATTAAGGGGAACAGAGTACCGAGCGTTTCTAAACTTGGCTAACCAAGTACCGTGGGACCAGAATTCCACTTGGAGAGACATTATTGGATTGCTTATAAAAGATAAAGAATTAAAATCAGCTTCAACCAAGTTCTTATAAGAAATGCTTAACAGGGTATGCTAATATAGTTGAGACAACGCTAAGGATAGTTAGATGGCTCAGCGGGTTGAGGCTCTTGCCAAGCTGAGTTCAACCCTAGGGTCCACATGGCAGAAGGAAAGAACTGATTCTTCTGCATGTTGTCTGACCACCACGTATTAAGGCACATGTGCACCCACATGTGTGTGCACACAAAATAAATAACTTAAAGGGATAGTACAGGTCAGCCTAAAAGAAGTCAACAACACTTCCTACGAAAAGGAAACAGTACTAATGTAATTCTGTGGAGAATTCGTTCATACTGTTCCCCTCAGGTACAATGCTGACTGAGTACAGGGCAGGACTTAGACCTCAAAAAATACATGTATTGAAAATAAACCTAGTCCCTAAGGCTTTCTCTAAGTAAAAAAAAAAAAAAATTGAAAGGACACTGTCAATCAATACCAGCCCAGCCTTAAATAAACAAGCATGACTTCCAACAGTTTCAATAGCATAACAATTCTGTAATACATACTATCAGAACAGCGGGCATCATATGGGTAACTATAATAATATAATTGTTTTCATTGTTTCTTAGTCTAGAAAAACATTTTCCTGAATTGATTGGATTTCTTTGAAAACTGAAAACAAAATTTAACTACGGGTCTGGAGAACTCAGCAGTTGAGATCTTGTTCTTGCAGAGGACTCAAGTTGGATTCCTAGCAACTACCCATACCTCCAAATATACGGTACCTAACACCCTCTTCTGACCTCCACAGTCACAGATGTTCAAAACATTCATACACAAGAAAGAAATCTTTTTTAAAAAATTAACCATTAGAAGTTTCTGCTTTGTATGCATATTTTTAAATTAAAAATGAACTACAAACAGGTAACAATTATTTTGAAATGACTGAAATGGTAACTGTAGCATCAAGGACACTTATGTCCTCAAAAAGATTCAAAAGCATCTTCAGTCTTCAAGGAAGGCCACTCACTTGATTTACAAGTTGTCCAATATATTTGGGTCTACTGATACAAAAAGGAAAAAATAAATAAATAAATAAATAAAACCAACTCAATTCTACTTTAAACACATAAATGTGCATTCCTTGGTGGGGGAAAGGGCTCTAATTGAAAAAAGAAAGACATCTACTTTCTCATATATTTTCTGAGTTAAAAAATTAACTCAAATGATTTTTAAATTCTAAGAAAGAAAACATATGAAAAATACTTTATTTTAGTTCTGTTTAATCACTTAAAAAATAAGTTAAAAAAAATAAGTTCAGCAAAGGGTCAAACAAAAATGAGCATTTCATGAGATGAGTTTCAGGACAGAAGGGAGGCCCGTGACATGTAATGTAAGCACATCCTCTGCACATCCCCCAAAGCATGTAAGAGTAGATAATACATCATCACCTGGATCCACAAATCTTTTACATACATACACTGTACAAAGAAGCCTTAAGATCTTGCTCTTGTAGTTAGGAAGATCAGCTTCCAGAACACCAGCCAAGCCTTCTAGATTGCTCTCCAAAGAGCAGGCACTCTGCAGAGGACATATGTTAATATCTGTTAGCATTCAAAGCAATCAGTGAACTAAAGTTAAAATTCCTAGATGACCATGAAAACACTAAGGTCTTCCTAAGAACTAATGACAATTTTGTGAAGAAGTCTCTTAGCATCAATCAATTCTAGTAGTTATTGTTCATTAGAAACACATTCTACGTAAAAAGAGCCAACAAAATCTTCAGAATAGTCTAACATCTGTCACTAGCAACCCACTACTGTCTCGGGCATCCAAGTCATCACATTGAGGACTATCCCTAGGTCTATTTTAAGGTTTGTCTAATAAAAATAACTTGCTGAAAACCCTTAACAATCTGAATCCTAGGAGTTCCAAAACACATTCACATTGGGATACAGATGTGCAGTAATAAATCAAGCTTTGTCCATAACTTATATTAGCCAGTACAACTTCAGAAATTAATCAAAGCTGTCAATCACAACCCTAACCCCTGGGCTTGGTGCATACCTTTTCCCCTACTTTGCATATTAAAGACTCCAAATGATCTTCAGTTTCATTTGCATCAGAGGTCTTCCTCCTTTTGTGAGGCTGCCCACCTAGTTCAGCAACATTAAAAAAAGTTTTAAAAAAATTAAAAAAGCTACATATGATGTTAGATAATGAATCACTATAAATATTTTGTCACCTTAGGCTTTAATCACTTTTCTATCAGGCCGTATTTTTAAGAGTAGCTCTAACCAATAGTGTCCTAACTAGGCTAGGTACTGGGACAATTTCTATCCCGCATTCTTTTGTGTGCTTGTGTGTATGTGAGAGGATGTACACTCACATAAAGCCAGGAGAGGGTGCTGGGTGTCCTCCACCACACTAGTCCTTCAAGGCAAGGTCTTTCCCGAACCTGGGGTCTCACTCTTCTTAGCTAGACTGATAGCCAGCAAGTCCTAGTGATCCTCCTGTCTCCACTCTCCCTTGAAGCTGGGGTTAAAGGCATATACTGCATGCCTAGCTTCTGAGAGTGCTGATATCCAAATTCCAGGTCTTATAATTGTGTAGTAAATGCTTTCAATGGTTGAGCCAACCCTCCATCCCCCCATCTCTCTATATATAAACTTTTTAAATTTTTTATTATTTTATATGTACAGATGTTTGGGCTACATGTATAACTATGTACCACTTATATGTCTGGAGCCTGTGGAGGCCAGAAGAGGACATCATATGCCCTGTAACTGGAGTTATGGACTTCTGTGAGATAAGAGATACACTGTGAGTGCTAGGAACTGAACCCAGGTTCTTGAGAAGTACAGGCAGTGCTCTTAACTGCTGAGCTATCTTCCCAAGGCCCCACATCATCTCTATTACTGAGGTCACTATAAACAATACTGTCAGGAAGCATTTTTTTTCAGTTAAATTTTGTATAAACAGTGTCCAGGCAGCTATGTCCATTTCTGTGGATACACTGGGATGGCACCAACATCTAAACACCTGTAGTCTGAAGACTGCTGCTCCTGTTCTTTTAACTTGCTTACTGACCCTTATTGTTGGTTCCTCAACCCGACAGTGTCAATAGTACTTGTTAATTTGATGACGTAACTAAATTGCTGCATAACCTGATGAAGTAGCAAAACTAGTTGAATCTTTGGAGATTTATTTAAACTATGACCCTAAACATTAACAGTGCTGATGCCAAGAAACAGCCTCAGAATGCACAATGCACCAGCCGTGCTCTTCATTATTATTCAGAACCAGATTTTAGATGAGATTCAGAGAATACAAAGCCAAACACTAGATGAATGAGAGCAGCTAAACCTTACTAAACTCTTTCCTTCCTTCTGGTCCATCTATTATACCAATCCGTTATCACATCCCAAATCCCTCCTGATGATGATGATATTATTATTATTATTATTATTATTATTATTATTAACAACTTGTTCCAGTTTACAACCATTTCTGTCTTCAAAACAACCCTTCCGGGTCCTCTTGTAAGCCTTTTTTATGTCAACTTGACACAGCCTAGTCATTTGAGAGGAGGGAGCCCCAATCGAGAAAATGCCTCCACAAGACTGGGCTGTAGACAAGCCTGCAGAGCATTTCCTTAATTAGTGACTGATGGAGGAGAACCCACCCATTGCAGGTGGAGCCATCCCTGAAACTGGTTGGTAGTCCTGGGTTTTACAAGAAAGCAGGCCGAGCAAGATATGGTGGAGCACGCCTTTAATACTAACACTATCAGGAGAGAGGGAAGTGGGAGGTGGATCTCTTGAGTTTGGAATCAGCTTGTCTACTTAGTGAGTTCCAGGAGAGCTAGGGCTATGTAGAGACACCACCTCAAGAGAAAAAAAAAAGTGAAGACAAGACAAAGAAGAAAGCAGGTTGAACAAACAATGAGGAGCAAGCTAGTAGGCAGCACTCCTCCATGGCCTCTGCATCAGCTCCTACCCCCAGATTCCTGCCCTAACTTCTCTCAATGATGGTAGTATATACTTGGAAGCATAAGCTGAAATAAACCTTTTCTTCCCCAAGTTGTTTCAATCATGGCATTTCATCACCCTAACTAGATAAAAAGAAGCCAGTACAGCCATGCAGTACTCCCCGCCCCACACACCCCCTAAACTCAGTACTACGGGGAGTAGAGACATGAGGATTGTTGGGGCTCACTAGCCAATCACAGTGGTGAGTTGCAGCTTCAGCCTAGTAAGGCAGAGGGTGATAGAGGAGGGCACCCAATGGCCTCTACATGGCACATACACCACGTGCACATATACAACATCCATACTGTTTGGAAATGGGGGTGGCTCAGTGCCTGCTGGGCAACCATGAGAATTACACCTGTCTGTAACCTGAAGGGGGCAGAGAGCATGGAAATGGGCAGATCCCTGGAGCTCCTTGATCAACTACCCTGGTCAAATCCATGAGGAAAAAAAAATCAGCTGGAGTAAGAAAAAGGCAGGTAGATACCTCAGACCAGCAGTTCTCAACCTGTGGGTCACAACCCCTTTGGAGGTCAAATCTCAGATATCAGGTATTTACAATTCATAACAGTAGCAAAATTAGTCATGAAGTAGCAACAAAATAATTTTACGGTTGGGGTTACCACATGAGGGTCACAGCATCAGAAAAGTTGATAATCACTATCTTAGACACTCTAAAGAGAAAACTTAAAACACTCTTTGGGGAATGAGTTGAACATTTTTATACCCTGAACAACGAATAAGAAACAAGTCTATGGTGGCACTATAGTCCAAAACAGGCTTTAAAACACGGCCAGGTAGGTTTCACAATAGATTTGTTAAAATTACATGTTGCTATACACACTAGCTAGTGCAGAGAAGAGACCTTTGCTAACGACCATCCAAGGGCTCTTAAAACAACAAAAAACACCCTGGCATGATGGTGCACACCTTTAATCCTGGCACTCTGGCGGCAGAGGCAGGCAGATCTGAGTTTGAAGCCAACCTGGTACATACAGTCAGTTTCAGGACAGACAGGGCCACCCAGGGAAACCAAATGGTGGTGGAGGAAGTAACAACAGAACAAACAAACAAACAAACAAACAAACAAGACACCAAATAATGTTCCCACTGCAATGTGAACCTAATCTTACACAGATACATGGTACTATTTCCTATACCCTTATTAGGATCAGATGTGTTTGGATCCACAAAGTAGACAAAAAAACAACACCATAAATAAAAGAAAAAGTAACAAAACCCAGCCAAGAAAAGTAATATACGTTGACTACAGATATAAAACAAAAATTTAATTGATTAAAAATATCACCATTGAGAGGGAAGTGGGAGAAGGAAGTGGAAATTTTGATTCCTATTATTTATAAAGTAATAAAAAAATTATCAGAGAAACAAAAAAGAAATGTATTTCAAGATGGCCTTAATCACTGCCCATCGCCCTCCACCCCATGCAGCACCCCAAATTTGAGTTGTAGGGCTCCAAAGACAAAACCGGAAAGTAACTAAGAATTACTGTGTTGAAGTAATTACTGTGTTACAGTAATTGAAGAGGTTCAGAGACATTTTAAAGGAATCGATGACTGCCAGACACAGTGGTCCACATCTTGGAGGAACATAGGGGCAGCTAACCTAGGCTACAACCAGGACATGGTAGTTCCAGCCTGGACTACATACTTCCAGACAGCAGGACTACAAGGCAGTCACATAGAGCCCGTCTTAAGTGTCTAAGACTACAATAGATTTGGTATTTTTCATTTAGGATGGCCCTTTCTGTGTCTCTAAATAAACTACAGGAACTTTATCTGATACTACCTCCGTGACTCTCCAATACTATATTGTCCTAGCAGAAATGTTTAAAATGGCCCAGAAAGGTAAGAAAGAGCCTCATCTAAATTCTCTGCTCTATCTCTCATAACTTCTACCCCTACTTTCTCACTTCTACCAACAACGACCTCCTTGCTCTTCTCTGAACATGACAGAAATCTCTAACCTGAGCACTACCCTCATGGTTTCCTTTCGACCTCTGCTTTCTCAAACATCCATATGGCTTGTTCCTTACATCACTCATGTCACAGTTCATCTGCAGGGAGGCCTTACCTGACCAGTCTCTCTCTGTGGTCCCTATACCCTTTATCTCACTTTGTTCTCCACAATCCTGTGATCATAGGATGAATTACGCTACACTTCATTGATACATGGGAGGGAGCCTCCACTGTTATACGGTCTGCTACTGTACTGTAAGTAATTAGGAAATTGTTCAGCAAGTCCATGAGGTTCCAACTCAGACACCGAAACTTGAGGATACTCATGTCCCTTCTATAAAGTGCTGCTGGTATCTGCTCATGATCTATGAATATTGTGATACTTTATATTATCTCTATACTACCTAATGTAAGCGTTATGTGAATAGTTGTGACAGTGTATCATTTAAGGAATAAGGGGGGGGGGTGACTATACATTATACATTCAGTACTGAGGCCTTTTCCTTCAAATATTTTGTAACCAGATTGCTGAATTCAAGGAGAGAGAATAAAGATGCAGATGCCACAGCTCCACAGCCCAAGATAGGGAAAGTCAGAGTAGTGCTGACAATAACCCAGAAATACTCAGATCTATTTGATGCCTTTAAAATCTTAAGCCACCTTTATAACAGCCATCCGAATTTTTTAAAATTGTAGATACTTCACTAAAGAGCACCACATTTTTTTATTTAGAACACTAAACTATTTATCGAACTCTAACAATGTTTCCAAATGTGTACTACTGGAGAAACTGTAAACAGCCTTTCCACTACTCAGTGACTTGCTAGAGTGAATTTTGATTAAGAGATGCTTAATTTTACATCACTTTGTCCTAATTATTATAAGGCTTCTGTAGTCAGACCACTCTGGGAAAATAATGTAGCTGCTAGCTGGGGTAAAAAAAGCCAATTATAACCAAAAAGTTATGCAAGCCTCCCAAACCAAAACAAAAGAGGTTTTCTATATATTTATATCCTAATTCTCCAGTTGGTTCTCCAGTAGCCTTTCCCCCTCACTTCAGAGGTAGCCTGGAAGTGAGAAAGAATGGAGAAAAGAAGTGTAAAGTGAGGAGAGAGAAGGGGAAGAGCGAGAGACAAGGCCAAGGACAAATTCTCTCATCCAAAGCTAATTAGTACACTAATCAAATGCACAGCAAAGAAAACCTTTATTTCCTGTGTTCTGTACATGCATCACACAAGAGACCACCATGTTAAAAAAAAAAACAAACCCAAGCACAGACGGTAGTTATGCTGACCGATGTGGCAGAGAACTGACTTGCACTGGTGCATCTGGGCCCTGACAGCCTAGGCTATTCTCTCAGGTACCCCTTAGCAGAAATCTGGGGCTTCACTGTTAAAAATTCTTACAATATGTAATTCTACTTGATGGTCTTAACATTCCAAGAGAGAAAGCTAATCCAATTGCATTGCTTCGGTTTTTTTTTTCTTATGGTGTTGGCATTTATCTGTGTATATTACCTCTGAGACATTAACAGTTGATAAGATAAACACAACGAACTATTGATGAGTACAGTATCTCATAAAAGGCTTAATATTACTCCACATTATAAACTCAGGTTTAAGGAAGTCATGTGACTCTGGCAAGATCACATAGTAAATAGCAGCTGTCGAGTTTTGAACCTAAACCCTTAGGTTCTAATACTCAAACAAGCTCTGCGGACTAGGATGGCCTTGAACTCACAGAGAACCACCTGCCTCAGCCTCCCGAGTGCTGGGATTAAAGGCGCACACCACCACCCTGCTCCAGGGTAGACTTACTGGTCTACTCAGGGTAGTTTTCCTGCACTTTCTTAAACAAAGGAACATGATTAAGGCCAATTCAACGGAACAGCACATGTCTGTTTCTTGGGGTGTTGGGAAGACACAAAATTCTTTCCTTGACATTTAGAACAGGGAAATCAAAGTGGCTGGTGGAGGAGGAGTAGGGCTCAGATTGCAATTCAGCCGACCTCTGTCATAGCTTTGTTCTTTTCCTGTCTTCCCAGGGTCCCTTCCAGGTGCACCCTGGAGGGTTAAAACGGAAACACTGGTCCACTACATCCCCGTCACTAACTGATCCTAAGGGACAGCCCCAGACACACGTGCATTTCCAAGCTCAGCAGTGAATGGTTAAGTCTTACGTGTTGGCGGACACTAGGTCGGGTCTGCCCACGGGGCTCACCAGGCCTTCCTTCCCCGTGACCGAAGGAGCTGGGGCAGCGGGAAGGCCGTCGTTTTCCCGAAGCCACTAGCCACACCCGAGCCGCGCCAGCCACCTCCTTCCCGGGCTCCCAGAACCCTTCCCGGGGAGAAAGGGCTGCCTATCTGTTCCTTAGAGACCCGAGGATCAAAGCAGCCTGGCCTCAGTTCTCAGCCCCCCGCGGCGGCCACGCCGAGGGCACTTACCATCGTTCTCGTAACTATGCCGCCTCCGCGACATGCTGCTGCTCGCGGGTGCGCAGCCGAGCTGAGCTGCAAGTCGCCTGCAACCCCAGAACCGTCGGGCCGCTGCCGGCCGGCCGGTGCGCGGTCAGCGGCGAGGCGCGCGGAGTGTCCGGCGCGCAAGCGCACTCGTTCACGACTCCTGCCGGAAGAGCAAGCGGAGAGGTACCAGGTGGGCTCCGCGGCGAAAGGCCGGCGTCTGCAGGTCCACGCGCGGCCGCCTCCTCCCGCCTTCCACGCTGTGGCCTTCCCGAGGGCGAGCTAAATTATCCCGGCTGGGGCGATCCCGCCACAGCTTTGCACCGGCCCGGCGTTGTTTTCCCGGCGGCCCCTGCGCCGACGGCTTTAGAGACTTCCGGAGCGAGGTGACGTTTTCCCAGGGACTTTCTGCGCACGCGCGCGCCGGGGGCGTGGACTCGAGGGAGGGAAGCCGCGCCAAGTTGGTGAAGGGAGACCCAGGAAAGGCCTAAGACCGGCGGGTATGTGTTCTCACTCTCGCCGCCCGGCCGTAGCTGCCTCGGGAGACTTGGGCGGGCGAGAGGACAAACCGCTCCCCAGCGGTAAGGAAGCCAGGCCGCCCGGCCGAGCCGGCTCCTGGTCGTCTTCCCGCCCACTTCTCCCAGTTGACGGATGAGGACGGTGCAGAGCGATCTAGTTCCAGTTGTTCTTCTGTCACTACGCACGTGTACAGTATGTGGGTGTCCTCTGCCTTGATGTCTTTGTTGGGCACCAAACTGCCTTGCCCACGTCCTTGTCTGGCCGAAACTCTTCCTTCAGTCTTACTGGTTTCAGTAAAAGGACGTTTCTGTCGTTTGCTTAATCCATGAATTTAGGGAGGAGTCATTGGATCCTTCGCTTCCTGTGTAACCCTTTATGCACAGACACTGCCCGCTGTACTTTGAGAGCAAGTCCGTTAATCAAACTTATTGACTACTGTGCTTAAAACTCTTCACGGACTTTAAAAATAGAAATGTTTTATGTCTTTGTACCTGGGTGCGCAGGAGCCTATGGAGACCAGAAGAGGGCATCAGATCTCCTGGAATTGGAGTTTCAGATACTTGTGAGCTGCCATGTGGATGCTGGGTGCTGATGGGGGGGGGGGGGCGAAATCACGGGTCCTCTGCGAGAGTAGTAATCGTTCTTAACCACTGAGCCATCTTTCCGGTCCTACTTTTTTCTATTAAAAAATATCTTTTATCTGTTCATTCATACGTGTCAACAATCCATCTTCATCATATGCCCGCCAACTCTCCGGAAATTTTTATTGCAAACTCCAAACTAAGGCTTCTTGGGTTCTGTCCCCATCGCTGTGTGTGAACCACTACGTTCTTCTGATAAGTCCAGCTTGTTCATAGTTTAGGAATCAAGGCTTATTGTTTCCTTTACGTGATGCTCTCTGCTTCGAAATCTACGTGGCTGACCATCAGGTGCCTACAGAGTTATTTCTCGGACTTTTCAACTCACGCTTCATTTCATTCAACAAGTACTACGTTGTGTTAGGTAGCATTTGTCACCTTCTGTACACAAGGCAGTGTGCGGGCTACTGAATCTACAGGTGAACAGAAGGAAGCCTCATCTCTTTGAGAACTGAAGTCCTCTAAACGACCCGTTCAGAAATGACCACAGGCACTGTAGTCTGACATATAAGTTGGGTTCAGAGAGGCAGGTACAGATTGTCCGAGTAGATTGAGCCTTTGGAAAAGTCCTCCAAGAAGATAGTTAAGCACCAGTAATTCAGGCAAGAAATGCTGGAGCCTTGCACTGGGGTGCTGGTGAATGCAGTTCAAATCGGATTGCTAACTTTAAAAGGAGGGCGAAGCTTAGGGTCTGTTATTCTGGATAGTAGAGGCAAGGGGAGTCTCAAATTCAAGATTACTAGGGGTTCAAAGCCAGTCTGTTCTACACAGCAAGACGTGGTCTCAGAAAAATTAATTTTAAAAATTAGGTGCTGCCAAGATGGCTCAGCAGGGAAGCAAGCACCTGCTGTTGAAGCTGATGACATGAGTTTGGTCCTGGAGCCTGTGTAAATGTGGAAGGAGGGAACTGATCCTGAAAGTTGTCCCCTCTTCTCCGCATCCATGTGTGGTAGTTGTCCTGGCACAAGTAGACATAAAGTAAATAAAATGTAACTAAAAAGAAAACAGCTCATTGGTTACAGTGTATCCATTTCAGTAAGATTTGGCCGCAGTGAGATTTGAGAACAAAAGAAACAAACTGGTGTTGGTTGATTTTGGATGTACATAGTACTGTCCTAGTCACCCTGTGTTTTTTATGTGGTTAGCTTCCTAATTCATGTTTCTTTGACATTCTATAGCCTCAGAAAGCCCTTCCTTCTCCTCTGTGTATAAAAAGACCTGCCTCCTTACTCTTCTTATTTTTCTTTAAAATATTAAATTTAAACCCTGACTTTTTAAAAAAACAATGTATTGGCTTATCTTTCCCACTAGGTTGTGAACTTAAGAGGACAGACTTTTTCCTGTTGCATTTACTGCTCTATTCCCAGTGCGTAGAAGGGAGCTTGGCCAAGAATAGTTGTCACAAAAATACTATTGAGTGAGCAAGTAAATGAATGGCAGCTTGGGTTATGCATCCACTGCTAATTCATATGATTAATTAGCTTCATGTTTGCTTCAACAAGTACTCAAAGAGCTGAGCGTTGCATTTTCTCTCTTATGTCTCAGAAGATACTCGACTGAAAGGAATCTACCCCACTGATCAATCCAGATGCCTTCTTCCACTTCACCAGATGAAGAAGATAGCCTGCAGACCTGTGTTTTAAAGTTTGCTGATCTGGACTTAAAAGAATCAAATCTTATTAGCCCCAGCAGCAGTCTCAAAGCAGAGTTAGATGGCAATCTAAAGAAGAAATACTCATTTGCAAAGAAAAAGGTAAAATTGCTGTCAGTGTTTTCATGATCATGTATATAAGGTTAGTTTCCTCACTTGGCTGTAGAAAGAATTCCAGGAACTCAAAACTGTCGTGTAAGAAGGACAGGTATTAGGGCAGCTGGCATCTGGTGAGGTTGTTGCTGAATGCTGCTGCTATCAGGGAGTTTGGTCTCATCTTGCTAGCTCAGTGCTTTGAAGAAAGGCCAGCCTCACAGGATGCTGCAGGGCTACTAAGAATACTGTGACTAGCCTATAAAGAGGTGGTATTGATGCCCTTCGTCAGCTATGTATCTTATTATTGTTGAAACCATAGACTGAAACCACCTTTTCTTAAAAGCGGGGAACCAGAGGCTCATTGTTAGGGAACTGGCTGGTTAAAGAAGTATAGCTGAGAGCTGACTTTCTCAACTTCAGCCTGTAGTTCTCTTAGGGAGCCTCTTTTTGTCTCTATGTCAGTGAAGAATAAATATCTCTCTAATTTCCCAGCTGCCACCTTCAGTCAGTCTTTTTTGTTATTGTTTTTTTTTTTGTTTTTGTTTTTATTTTTATTTTTCGAGATAGGGTTTCTCTATAGCCTTGGAGCCTGTCCTGGAACTAGCTCTTGTAGACCAGACTGGTCTCGAACTCACAGAGATTTGCCTGCCTCTGCCTCCCGAGTGCTAGGATTAAAGGCATGTGCCACCACCGCCCGGCTCTTCAATCAGTCTTATAATCAGACGTGTCCTGTTCCTGTCCTGACTGCCTGGTCCCAAATAACCAACACAGAGGCTTAATATGACTTATAAATGCCTGGTCCGTAGCTCAGGCTTATTACTAGCTAAGTCTTACCCTTAAATTAACCCATAATTCCTATCTCTGTTTAGCTACATGGCTTGTTACCTTTTCTCAGTACATTCTCATCTTGCTTCTCTGCCTTTGCAGGCAACTCTCTGACTCCATCCTTCCTCTTCCCAGAATTCTCCCAGTCTGGAATCTCTTCCTGCCCAGCTACAGGCTAGTCAGTTTTTTATTAACAATGAGCATAATCCACAGCATAGTCTTATAAAGATTTCCTTGAAAATGAAATTCAGAGGTTACAGAGGTCCTTTACCAGTATTATTTTTTTATTTTTTTATTTTTTTTTTGGTTTTTCGAGACAGGGTTTCTCTGTGGTTTTGGAGCCTGTCCTGGAACTAGCTCTGTAGACCAGGCTGGTCTCGAACTCACAGAGGTCTGCCTGCCTCTGCCTCCCGAGTGCTGGGTACCAGTATTATTTTGCAATAATTTCAAACTTAGAGAAATGTGAGAAGGATTTTATAAATAATGCACATGCTGGCCTTGTCCATTCATCTCAATACAGAAGGCTCACCTGGTTCCACAGAAACTGAGCTGGTTACAGCACCCACTCCCTGGGTTTGGTTGCCACACCTTAGTCCTTCCTTTTTGGCCAATACTGACCTTGAACTCATACCTCCATTTCCAATGATCTGAGTGCCAGGCACCCGGTTACAGGCACACAATACCATATTTCGCTTGGTCTTTAAACTAGAACACTAAATTTTTCTCTCAAGTCATAGCCATGACGTTCTTGAAAATTATAAATAAGAGTTGTTTTGTAGATGGATTCAGTTTGGCTTTGACTCATATTTCCTTCCATGAGATTTAGAGTTTGCTTTCTTTCGGAAGCCGTGTTCATGTCGCACGTTCTCCCAGGTGCTCCACAGTGCTGATGCTCCGTTACCAACTCTGTTCATTTCATTTGGATAGTAGAGGGAACTGTCTGCTAGGTCTCCCATTTCATTCGCCAGTGGTTGGGAAGGAAACCACAGTGCTAACAGTGCCATCTCCTTTTCTTCTGGCCTGCCATGAAAGATCAGCTCTAAGAAACACTAAAAAAGCCCCACCCTGCAGACGGCAGACCCAGTCTACCCAAGAGGAGAGAGGTCCATGAGTGATGTGCTTCACCTCTGACACAGCCCCGTGGCCCATGTAGACGGAGATAGGGAGGCGGGGAGAGAGAATTGATGCCATAGAGTTGTTCACTGGCTTTCAAGTGTGCACCATTGATGGAGGAAGGTCATTGGCTAATAAAGGAACTGCCTTGGCCCATTTTATTGGTTAGAAGATAGGTGGGAGGAGTAAACAGAACAGAACGCTGGGAGGAAGAGGAAGTGAGATCAGACTCCACATCTCTCCTCTCGGGAGCCCTCAGAGAGAGACGCCATGCCCCGCTCCCGGGCAGACACACGCCATGAAGCTCCGACCCAGGGTGGACTAGGCTAGAATCTTCCCGGTAAGACCGATTCTCACAGATTATTAGAGATGGGTTGATCGGGATAACAGAATTAGCTAGTAAGGGCTAGGGCTAAAGGGCCAAGCAGTGTTTAAATGAATACAGTTTGTGTGTTGTTATTTCAGGTAAAGCTAGCCGTGCGGGCGGCTGGGGTGCTGGGGACGCAGCCCCGCCGCCCTCATTTACAACACACCATGGCTTGTGCCCCTCCCCGCAATTATAAAGTTTAAATTTTTTTCAAAAGGAAAACAGATAATACATTAACAGGTCAGGAAAAGTAGGAAAAAAATTCAGCCTTAGTACTAATTAAAAATACACAAAAATAAAGTAGCATTTATCTTGCATTTTAGCAGGGAAGCAATATTTAAAATGTTGACAATAAAAAAAATTAGATACCAATAAGACATAGGCCATTTATATGCTTTCTGGTTGAGAGCATACACTGACCCATGCATATAGCTTCAAACTTGGTCCGATTTGATCTACCCATTTTTTCTCTCTACACCTAAGTGGATAGGTGATGAAAGCGACATAGGTTCATGCTCGTTCTCGGTGCTTCTACCTGCAGGTACTGGGAGCCCCTCAGTGGGTTTCAGTTGATAATTAGTTTAGAGAATTTTGTGTTAAATTTTATTTTTTTGCTTTTTTAAAATTTATTTATTTTATGTATATGAATGTTCTACCTACATGTATATCTTTATGCCAGAAGAGGGCACTAGATCCCACTAGAGATGGTTGTGAGCCACCATGTGGTTCCTGGGAATTGAACTCGGGACCTACCTCTGGAAGAGCAGCCGGTGCTCTTAACAGCTGAACCATCATCTCTCCAGCCCCTTGTGTTGAATTTTTTAACAATGACCATAAATAATGTTTATGAAAACAATGTGATACTCAGCTGTAGATGCCAGGAAGGAAGGAGATGCAAAGAGAAGTCAAGTCTCAACACCATTGCAGTTAGTTTCTGGGGCAGAGGGACAGCTAGACACCAATGCATTCTCTTCTGGTCTTTCCTAGTGTGCCTAAGGTGTCACTGGGGCTATACTGCGTCAGCTGATTCTAGTCAGGAACATTTTTCCATGAAAAGCTTCATACTAAACTTGAAAACTATTTAATGCCCATGGAAAGTAGTACTCCATAATTTATGATTTCCTTTTTTAAAAGGAACACTGTCTGTTACTTGCAGTGTTTTACTGATATATACCTGAAATTCAGCTCCATTCTTCAGAATAGTCCCTAAAATGGGTTAAAACATTTGAATATTTTGAGATTCTTGATGTCTTCATTAGATAATTGGTAGTGTTCTAGAAAGAGAAATATATATTTCCTTCTGGTAGTATATTTTGCTATCTGTTTTATTTTTACCTGTGGCAGAGTCAAGTCATCTTATAGAAGACTTTATGTATAGGTAATAATTATGTAATAGCTGTAATAGGAACTTTACTAGATACCCACAAACTTTTACTACAGTAATATAAATAATACATTAAATGATGCAAGTGTTATAGAGAAAAGTTAGAGAAGTTTAAAGAGATTTCAGCTTGTTCTCTAACTTAGAATGGTCAGAAAAAGTTCTCATCAATAGGTGAGATTTGAAGATGTATAGAATGACAAACCATATGGACACTGGAGGGAGAAGGATCCAGTGTAATACAGAAGCCTGCAGGCTGTGTTTGAGCAAAAGCCAAGAAACTGAAACGGGATGGGGTAGGAGCAGGGGAAGGAGTCAGGTTATTGGGGACTTCCTAGAGGATAGAAAGAGAGCCTCTGGGGAATTTTGAGCAGTGGAATGATATCTGGTCTAGGTTTTTGTTTGAATTTTTGTTTGTTTGTTGTTTCAAGACAGGGTTTTTCTGTGTAACCCTGGCCATCTTAGAACTTGGTCTGTGGACCAGACTGGCCTCAAACTCAGAGATCCGTATGTCACCATGCCTGGCTTGATCTAGATTTTAAAAGAAGCATTTTGACTGAATGGAAAACAAGTGGTGACAGTATGGAAAGAGGGAGGCCAAGAAACTATTATAATAATCCAGGGAAGAGTGATGGTGGCTGGGGTCGGTGGAATGGTAGCCAAGGGAGAAATAGATTTTTGGTGTCTTTGGAAATAGGAGTTGATGGATTAGATGTAGGATGTGGAAGAAAATGTTCTGTTAATGTTTTTTATTTATTTTTGGAGGTAGTCTTACTTTGTAACCTTGGCTGGCCTAGAACTCAGACTCTCCTTGAACTCACAGAGATCCATTTGCCTCTGCTAGGATTAAAGGTGTGCACCACCCTTCGTTTTTGTTACACATGTGTTGATACACTTGCTCCGTGTTCTTCCTCATTAAGTCTTGTAGAAATTTCTAATGTATTAATTGTGGTAGCCAAGGCTCCAGTAACAAATGGCTTCATACCTATAATGGATAGAGCACATTAGGAATTTGGACTTGGGATATGAGGCATCTTCAGTAACACACAGATTGCAAGAATCCAGGCTAATGTTACCTCTGCAGGCCTCAACATATTTCCAAAGTTCCCACTCCAGTAAAGCTGGAAGAGAGAGAGAGAGAGAGAGAGAGACAGACAGACAGAGAGACAGACAGAGAGAGAGAGACAGACAGAGAGAACACAGAGGAGCACACATGGCAGGGTTTTATGGACCAGAAGAGGAGTTGTAATATGCCACTTCCATGAGGAAAGAGTTGTGCGGCCTTAATTGCAAAGGCTAGGAAATCCAGATTCTCAGGAAGGATCTTGATGGATGAGCAGTAAGAAGTTGTTACTTTAGAACAGTCTTGCCTCAGTATTCCTGAGGGATACTTATCTTATTTAGGCTGCAGTTGCCTTAAGTGTATGCTTCAAAGAATGGGCATCTTTTCAATTAGATAAGATTTTGGTGACTTACAAAAGAAGAGCATTCCAGAGACTAAGCTGAGCATAAACTAGGCTGGGGGCAGGGGTGTTGAAATAACACTAAGGAACAGTAAAGAAACTGGTTCATTTGAGCTAAGATTGTAAAAGAAATAGAAAATGATGAGGCTGGAAGCAGGATGGGAAACACTCGGGAGTCATTGTGTCTCTGTTCTGTATTAGACAAGGGCAAATTCTATTATGATGCTTAACATTTATGTAATCCTTTGATTTACTTTTTCCAAGTAGAAATTTGGCACCCCCAGGCTGAATAACTTCCTCACATTTGTTTTCAAAGGCAAGTAGCAGAACCAGTATTTACAACTAAGTGGAAACATTAAAATCGTAATTTTATAAGCATCAAGTAGAGAAATAGCATTTTCTAATGTCAGAAGGGCCTCTGCAGTGACCTTTGGAGTGTTTAAAAGTGGTTCGACAGAGCAGCAGTTCTCCACTTGGGGCCGCATACCAAATATCCTGCATATCAGATATTTACAGTATGATTCATAACACTAGCAAAATTACAGTTATAAAGTAGCAATGTAATCGTTTTATGGTTGGGGTAACCACAACGTGAGGAACTGTATTAAAGGGTCACAGCTTTAGGAAGGTTGAGAACTGCTGTCTTAGAGGAACCAGAGGACTCTCCCATTTCAGAGACCTGTGTGGACAGGGACTCTGGAAGGTAGAGGCAGTAAGGAGTCCAAATTCAGAAGAAGAACATAGATGTTGAATGCACAGGTGTGGAAGACCAGGATACGAAGCCATACCTTACCTTCTCAAAGTCAGTGTATGAGGTTGCTGGAAGCAATACAAGCCCATGTTCTTGCTCTTGGATTTCTTCATAGACTGGCAGGATGCCAAACTAGAACCTCCCTATCCCCATGAAAAGTAACATAAGAGATTGAGTGAAACTTTTGTTACCCCTAGACCTATTAAATAATGAATGATGTTATTTGAAATGTGAATTGCAGGCCTTTGCCCTTCTTGTCAAAACCAAACAAGTTCCAGCACCTTCTTACGAATTTAAAGGAAAGCGGTGGAGATGCTGTCAGCAGCTATTTGTGGACCAGATCAGCATCCACAGACATGTGGCGACACAGCATGCTGAAGAAGTTTACCAGCAGACTGCTTCTATTCTGAAGCAGCTAACTGCAGCATTGCATGCTTCACAGAGTCTTACATCCACAGACAAGAAGAACCCTCCCAGTCAGGAAGTGTCTGCTTGGCTCCCTGATATAAGTCGCTTTAGCCCTGATGAGCTGAGCAGGTAAGTTTTTCATTCTGTATTTTGGTTTGCTTTTAAAATATTTTCCAACCACAATGATATACTACAGTTAACCTACTAAAATGGATAACATTAGAAAGACCAACAACCTTGGCAAATACGGGTGACATGGTGAAGCAACTAAAATGCCCAGTCACTGCTGGTGAGGGTAGAAATGGTCCCACCATTCTAGGAAAGAGTTTGGCAGGTTCTTTTTAAAATTTAGACATTTTCCCAGTGACCCACTCCTGGGTATATAACAAAAATAAAAATGTATGCCCACAAAAGCCTAAACATGAATGTTTGTGGCAGTTTTATTTGTAATAAAAAACTATTGGAAACAGCCTATTATTTTGTCTGATAACTAAAAATAAACTAGTTATATTTTAAAATGATAGGAACTTGAGAAATGATTCACTGGGGAAATGCTTGCCCTGTAAATATGAGGACCTGAATTTGAATCCCAGGATCCTTGTAAAGCCAGGCATGGTAGTGCTTATGGACAATCCTAGTACTCCTACAGCAAAATGGAGGCAGGAACAGGATCACCAAAAGCTCACAGGCCAGCAAGCATCGGGTGCACGCAATAAAGAACAAGAGACTGTCTCAATCAAGGTGGAAGGTGAGGACTGACATCCAAGATTGTCCTCTGACTTCCACATACACATTATGTGCCTGCATTCACACATAAACACATTCATACCATATACACACAAAGATTAAAAAATAAAAATAATTTGAAATAGGAATTGGAATGCAATTGAATTGGAGTTCAGTTGAAATGGAAACAATTGTAAATAGTGATAGCAGGAGCATGAAAGGATGAATGCAGCCATGTTAGAATATGGAGCACTGCCGGACGCCTTTAATCCCAGCACTGGAAGGCAGAGGCTGCCAGATCTCAGCTCAAGGCCAGCCTGATCTACAGAGCGAGTTCCAAGACAGCCAGGGCTGTCACACAGGAAAACAAAAAAATAAAGAGCATTGTGCAGCAAGAGCCGTGGACAGTGGGTGACACAAGGCTGTGTGTGAATGGTTTGTCAAATCTTTATGCCGAGAGGCCAGAAGCCACACAGAAGAGTCTGTGTGTGGCTGCATGAGTGGAGGGCAAAGCCATTCTGTAATGATAGAAAGCTTCTTTCTGAGTGTTTGAATGGGAATGTAAGCTTGAGTTTCATTGTAAGTTATACTTTGATTTAAAATGTCTAAATAAATGGAGTAGGCAAGAATCAACAGATTTGTTTGGTCCATGTACTGATGAATTCAGAACTATACTTCATCATTCATCAAGATGGGAAGGGCTTGGAGAGATGGCTCAGTGGTTAAGAGAACTGACTACTTTTCCATGGAATAAACCTGGTGGCTCACAACTGTCTTTAACTCAAGGGTATCTGATGCCCTCTTCTGGCTTCTGTGGGCACTGTATGCATATGATACACAGACATACATGTAGGCAAAACATCTTATACATAAACATAGTAAATACATAAAATGTTTTTTAAAAGATTATTTGGAGAATGCATTATTCCACATGCTGAATTTTCAGAGTCCAAACTTTTCCTTTGCTTTGAGTTTTTTAAGTCTAGTTTAAAACTATATTATACTCTTCTCTGGTCTCCTAAAGTATTGATATCTTCTTAGTGCTATTGTGTGAACGTGCTGACAGAAAGGCTTGTCTTGTATGGCTAATACTAACTTATCTCAGCTGGGCAATGGTAGTGCATGGAAGGCAGAGGCAGGTGGATCTCTGTGAGTCAGACCAATCTGGTCTACAAAGCAAGTTCCAGGACAGCCAGGGCTGCTACGCAGAGAAACTCTGTCTTGAACCACCCCACCCCCCCAAAAAAAATTTTTTTTAAATAACATGTCTCTTAGGTAAGTGGATTATATAGAAAAATGGAAGTCAAACTTTTTCATCATGAATCAATGGCCAATCATCGTGGCCAGTCAAACCAGATGCTGCCTTCTGATTGAGGATAAGTCACAGTGGACTCATTTCCAGCTTGCCATAAAGGGGTTAATAATATCTGTCTCTTGGGTGTGAGTGGTAAGTGAGGACAGTAAAGCAGATTTGCTTTCTGTAATGTAAGAAGTAAGTCCTATGCAGACCCTCTCCTATGTAGAGAAAATATGAAAGAGAATGTTAGGAGAATAATAACAACACAGGTATGAGTTGTTCCATCTTTGCCTTCTCCCATTTCTGCATAGATTTACTGGGAACTGTGACCTCCTTGTGACTCAGGTGCTCTTGCCCTCTGACTTTCTTTTTGTAGTGACCAGAGCAACGAGGATGGGGAGGTACTCCTGTATTACTGCTACTGTGACTTGGAGGACCCCCACTGGGTTTGTGCCTGGCAGACAGCTCTATGCCAGCACCTGCACCTCACAGGCAAGGTAAGCCCTGCTACACATGTACCCTGCTGCATACATACACTGCACAGCCTTATCCTGTGCCCTTAACTCTGGACTGCAGGAGCTGTGCTTTTTGTGGTAGTTTTCACTCCCAATTCTCAGAATAAGGGAAATCCTGCTTGGCATTCTAGTGAAGTATTAAACAGCTGTTAATATGTTATTTTATAGACCAGGAGTCAGTCAACTACACCTAAAGGGTCATATAGTAAATATTTTGGGCTTTGTTTAAAAAAAAAAAAAAAACCTTACTCATTTGATGTGGGATTCCCTTCTTTATTTGTGTTGCTTTTATTGGTTAAATGAATAAAGAATCTGCCTTGGCCTGTGATAGGGTAGAGTAGAGCTAGATGGGAGTAGGGGAGAGGGAGGGTGACGTGACAATGACTGAATGCTGGGAGAAAGAAGAAGGAGTTAGGAACACCATGTAGCTGCCAGAGAGAAATGATGGGAGCTGTCAGCTAGAGCCTTGCCGGTAGACCACAACCCTCATGGTCAAATATAAAATAGGAAATGGGTTAATTCTAGATGCAAGAGCTAGCTAGCAATATGCTTAAGCTATTGGCCAAACAGTATTGCAAATAATAAAGTTTCTGTGTGATTATTTCGGAAGTCTGAGCAGCCAGGAAACGAACAAGTTGCCTCCTACAACACTCATTACTGTTGTAGATTGAAAACATTCATGCGTGGTACTTAAAGGAGTAGATATGGCTGTGTTCTGATACATCTGTATGCTGACAGTTTGCTGATAGCTGAGACAGAGAGATGTCTGTACTCAAAAGCCTCCGCATGTAGGATTGATTTCGAAGTATAGCATCGATTTTCCTAGAATCGGGTCTTTCAGCACCTCAGGTACTGGCATTTGTACCTCCTTCTCTTTATAAGGCCTCTCCTCCTGGACACGCCTTATGCCCTCTCAGAGTGCTGCTCCAGTGCTGTTTCCTCAGAAGTACAATGGAAATTGTCCTCACAACTCTCTGCCTGTGCGCCTGCTCAGAGACTATCACAGCCTGACAGTGGAACCTGTCTCACTCACAGCACAAGGCCTCATGGGGCCAGCAGCTTTATCTCAGTTGATGTAGTCTTAGTGCTGGTGCAAGCACATACCGGGTACTCTGTAAGGACTGGAGACTGTCGAATAAAGGGAAGACTGCATGTTCCTAGCATATCCACGAGTGTGTATGTGTGTATGTGTGTGTAAAGATGAGAGGAAGCATATTCCCAGATGGTAATAATTCATCTCTGCATGAGAGGACAGCATTTATTTTTGCAAAATGCTGTTTGTGATCTATTCTCCATGTATATGTCTATTAAATAATTTTCAAAATTTAAGTCAGAAGTAAGTGAAGTAGAAACCTTTTGAGGTTCTTCCACGCCCCAGTTATTAATAAACTGATTGGTCAGTGACATTTTCCACACCCGTGTTTGACAAGTACTGGTACTGCTCGCCCCGCTCAGTTCCTCACCACACCCTGGCCTGCAATAATCCCCGACTCCATTTACTTCTCTTCTGCCACCCTAGACCAAGCTGCCACTCTGTCTTGTCTTGTCCATGTGGTAACTTCCAGACAAGCCTCCAGCCCCCAGTCCACCCTCCATTTAATCTGCTTTCCACACAGAATAGTCTTGTTAGAGCAGCTCCAGCAGCACCAGGTGGGCCAGGCCCGCTCCTTCACAGCTTAGCTACCATAGTGCTGGGCCTTTGGCCTTACTCACTCTCCACACTCCAGTGTGTCCTTCAGTTTCCTGGGACCCACCAAAATTTGTTTTGGTTGCCTTTTTTGCACCCTTCTCCCACTGTCTGTGTCTCAGATTCGGATCGCTACTGAAGGAATCAATGGAACTGTTGGAGGAAGTAAAGTGGCCACCAGACTCTACGTGGAGGTCATGCTTTCCTGCCCGTTGTTTAAGGATTACCTGTGTGAGGAAGATTTTAAGGTAAGAGAAAAAGAAAGTGAACTAAAGCTAGAGCAGTCTGCTTTTGTGGGCCATTGAAGGGTGCGCACAGAGCAGGACAAATGCCTTCCTTTCCCTTTGAGTTCCAAGCCAGTGCAGTAAAACAAGCGTGCTTGTCACTGTTTCCATCTAGTGACTGTGTCACCTTGGATCAGTCAGTACCCTTCCTAGACCCTAGTCTCCCTTCCTAGAAGGATGTTACAGTTAAACAAGCTGTTTTTACTGGAGAGACTGTTTTCTCAGATCTCTGTGAGGTACTGATGTTGGAGTCCCCTCTGTATGCTGTGATTAACGTTAATGAATAAAGAAACTGCCTTGGCCTGTTATAGAGCAGAATGTAGTTACGCAGAGGGGACTATGGTTTTAGGAAACCTGAAAAGAAAGTTGACACCACATGAGAATAAAGTTGTGGTTCTTTCAGCAAAGGTGCTATGTCTAAGAACTTTATGCTTCATCACAGTACGTAGTAAGCTGGCGAGAGCACTTCACTAATTCTTATGCTGATCACAGCAAGACACTAGCTGTCATTGCTCCAGAGCAAAAGCTGCCTGCTGTGTGATCACATGTGAATGGCTCAGTGGTGCCGAGTTACATGTACATAGCCATACAAACACAATGTTCCTGCATGTGGAAATGTCACAGTAAGCATTTATTAACGTTGAATCATTTGGAACATTCTGGACCACAGCTTTATCTCCATTGACAGTTCCTTTTTTCTCCTAATTTGAGGTTTAAAACTTCAACTATCACACTCTTAAAACAGACCATAATTCTTACATTTGGCACTTGTCTTTGACTGGCAGTGGGGGAAGTAAACTCTGTCTTATTTCTCCTTGGCTAGAGCAGCAAAGGAGGAGCTCACTGCTTCCCGGAATTGCGAGTTGGTGTGTTTGAAGAGATCGTGCCTATGGGGATCAGCCCCAGCCAGGTCTCCTACAAGAATCCCGGTATGCTTATGTTTTAAAGAACTGTGCTTTCTGTCATAGACAAACTAGAAAGACACTGACCAGCAGAAACTGTAGTCAGTCTTCTATTTAAAATAGCCGTAGGGTGGCTAACTCTGCCTATCCAGGACTTAAACAGGCGTCTGTGGTGCTTATGGTAACTAAAGGCTCACTTTAGACCCACCAGCACATTTTTCTTGGTGATAGTTTGGCAAGAAGTTGTTTCCCCTTTCCAGAGAGAGCAATTTGAAAGCCGTGTGGTTATTACCTACAAATAGTTCATCAGCAAAAACAGCACATGGGCTTTTACCATGGTAAGCAAATAGCTTTCAGAACCAAAGCATTGTTCTTGAACATTCGACCCCTGCTTCCCTATGCTTGCTATAGATTACTGAAAAGCATTTGTGTGGTGGGGATTTTTGGTTTTGTTTTACTTTTTACCATGAAAATTTCCAAACATTAACCAGAGTAGGGGAAATAATAGAATGAACTTCCATATACTCACTCAGCAGCCTCAGCAGCTACACATCCATGGCAATCTGTCCTCTGACCCCTCCCTTTCTCTCACCCCAGGTCACTTTAAAGAGAACCTCCGTGCTATATTATTTCACTCCTAAATGCTTCAGTAGATACCTCTAAAAGATTAACAGTTAAGTTTTACTAGTAACCATGTCTAAAACATCTTAGCAGTAATTACTTAATGAATATCTTGTCAGTGAATTCCCAGTTGTGTCATGATTAAGTTTCTATTAGGATTAAATAAGAGGAGCTAAGATGGGTCACTGGGTAAAGCACTTGTCACTCAAGAGTGGGGACCCAAGCTCTGGTCCCCAGAACCCATGTAAAGCTGGTCCAGTGATGCACATCTACAGTCTCCTGCTGTGAGATGGGAAGCAGACACAGGAGACTGAGGCTCAGGCCAGCAGGCACACAGATGGAAGGAGAACTCTGATGCCTGAACTCGTCCTCTGACCTCCACACAAACAGAAAACAGATTGAAGTAAGATCTCTTCAACAGCAAAAAAAAGTCTCTAAGTTTATATATTCAGCTCTACAGATTGTCATAGTCACTTGTTTTGTAGAGTCTCTCAGAATCTGGATAGTGTTAACTGTATCCCACGGGGTAGTCCTCAGCTGGCTGTATCTCCTGGAGATACACTCATATATGTGTGTGAGTGTGTGCATGGGCTTGCAGGCTGCAATGAGCATGTGGCAGTCAGAGGATAAGTCATGAGACTGGAGGCAAGTTCCTTTACCTGAGCCATCTTGCTTACCCTGCAGGTTGGTTTTGAAGGCACTCACTCTTATGTCTGTAGAGTTCCTCAGTCTTGGAATAGTACTAACTCTATCCCGATAGGGTGGTCCTCTGCTCAATGATCTCCCTAGATTGCTATTTAAAGTGAGAGCTGTGCTGTTTTGTAGAAATATAGGAGCCCCATTACATTAGTTTTCAGCTTCTAGTGTAAGTAGAAATAGGTGAAATGAGCAAACAGAACTTGTCCAGTGCATGTCAGTATGTACTGAATAGAAAACTATTAGTGAGTTTGTTTACTTTTTCCATACTAAGTCCCTGAGATACAGTGTGTATGTCATACTTACGGTCACTTTCCTCAGAGTACACTCAGGTATCTGTCAGCCACACTGATTAGTGACATCTGTGTTTGACAGCTCTGTGTCAGAGCCTTGATCATCAGGCTTAGTCCCTTTCTTTCCTTCCACTCTCACATGACTGCTTCCTAGGTAGTATTGCTTTCTCTCAAAGAACAAAGGGCCGTCTGCCTCTCAGGTATTCATTTTTAATAGGTAAATATCAAAAAGAAGGCCAAGAGTTAAGTTAAAGGGAAATGGGGTGAGATACAAGCATCTTAGAATAGGCTCATGCACAAAGAGATAGGACCCAGGTAGGGATGTCTCTGTTTGGTGTCCCCATCTTAGCAGGAGGCAGGATGACAGCAGCTCTCCTTGGTGTGGCAGAACACTGCTTGGGAGCTGAGGGGAGACTGGCCTGGGCTGCCTTCAGCTCAAGCAGGTAGTTTAAAGGGACCTCTCGTCAACATGTCCATCTGGGTCCCTTTCTGTTTGGACCCTCTCTGCCAGAAGAGCAGCAGTAGTAACAGCAGAAGCAGGGAACACATTTGGCTCCTGAAACTCCCTGCCGGGAGAAGGCAAAGAGAATTTCCATGATTCTCATCACAGTTCTGAACCTCATTTTTGACATCATTGTTTTGGGACCCATGCAATTATGTGATGCTACCTGAGTAGCATCAGACCTGGTTACATTCTATAGTTTTAGCTTCGAGAGTTAGAAAACGAGACTGTGATCTCCAGGTTTGGAGAGTTATCGAGCGGTTGTTGGGATTCATGCCCAGTAGAGTCAGGCTCCGATGCTCACAATTGGTAAGATGCTGGGATTTCTGTCCTGAGGGTCTGGAGACAAAGCTCACAGACTAGAGTTCCTTCTCCACCCTTGTCTCTCCTGATGTATGGCTTCTCTTTTCCTCTCACTTCCTTTCCACCCACCTTTTTCCCTTTTGCGTGTACACAAATTTAGATACATTCTTCTTACCTATTATCAAGCACACGCAAGCTCAAACTTTCCATAACATCATGCTCTCAACTACCTTAGTCTAAGCCGAGGTTCTAGCCTTGAATTTGGGGTCAACCTTGTTACTTGACAGTTTGTAGACTGTAGTGAATCCTGAATGTATTGAAGCTCCCTTGTGGACACTGACAGTAGGACACTGTCCATTTCCTGACTCACTAGTGACCACAACCGCACATACCAGAACAGCATTCCAAATAAATCCCCAAGCATGTGGTTTAAGAAAACCTTATTTCTTATTTCTGAACTGTTAGAGCTCTGTAATCTCAGGTTAGAGCAAGGAGATGGCGATGCCTGGGACTGGGACATTTTATCCTGATGGTCAGATAGTGTCATCCGTTTCCATGGTAATTGATGAAAGGAGGGTTAGGTGGGAAGTAGCTGAGTCAGCGCTTCAGTCAGGTCAGGACAGTTGTGATTAGATTTCCCTGTTGTTTTAATGTAATTGTTTGGCTTGATTTTAGGAATCCATTTATCCCCTGGTGAATTTCATAAAGAAATAGAAAAGTTTTTATCGCAGGCAAATCAGGAACAGGGTGATACTATCCTACTGGACTGCAGAAACTTCTATGAAAGCAAAATAGTAAGTAAGAGCCAGAACTGAGTGGCATGAAAGGGTGGGTGTGCCTTGCACAGCACAGTGTATGTCCCGTGTGGAACCTTTAGCCACATCAGTCTCCTTCCTGTACCAGCAGCATCAGGGAGAACGTAAGTCCTAAACTCCAAGTCTGTTGAGAAAGTCTAAGTCTGTTAAAGAAATCTTGGCATATAAAGTGATTTTGTTTACCATGAACCTCCCGTTGGCATGTGCTACTGACCTTGTAAAAGCTGCCACTGTAACCTAGACCATTCCCCTGAGGGATCTGTAAGAAGGGAACCCACAACCCCAGTCCTGTGTCTAGTTCCAGATCTTGAGGTTAAAGGGTAAGAGTGTGGGATGCAAACCTCGGGTAGCAAATGCTTGTTGCTGTTGCAAAGATGGGGATTGTTATACAGACTGAGTTCCCAGCAGGTACATTTTTCTAATCATTTCCTTCTGTCCCTATGTTGTAGGGACGATTCCAGGGCTGCTTAGCACCAGACATCAGGAAATTCAGTTACTTCCCTAGCTACGTTGACAAAAACCTTGACATTTTCAGGCAGAAGAGGGTGCTGATGTACTGCACTGGGGGCATCCGCTGCGAGCGGGGTTCTGCATACCTCAGAGCCAAGGTGAGCCTCTGCAGGCCCAGCACATGGGTGAGCCAGCTCCACCATCACCGGCCTGTTATGGAGCCTCCCACCCTCACTCCCACCCCTTCACCCCCTGCTCAGCCCCTCCTCCCCTAGCCGGCTGAAGGATTTACTTTCCTGGCACAGCTCCAGCATGGGGTTTGTAAATCTAAATCCGAGCTTCTTAAGTCTCCAGCACTTAGTGGTCTTGAAGACTCATTAAGTACAGAAGAGCAAGCTTAGCTGAGTGGCTCCCCTTTCTTAATCCGTGTGCCTGATCCCAAGAAGAGCAAATTCAGTAACATTACATGTCCCAACAGATGCCCTCCTATATTTAGGGGTAGCAAAAATAGTTAGGCTTCCCAGGATCTTAGAAGGTGAAGGGCCCAACTGCTGTCATCACCCATCTCCCCAGAAGGCAAGGTCTGGCCAGGTGGTTCTTTGACCCTTTGGTCAGCATTTTCCACACTCTCGGGAGGCCATGGGGAGCCCCTGACTGATGGGCACAGGCAGTGTGGCTGCACTGCTTGGGCACTCACCACCATAGAGCTGCTTCCAAGTCCCTTTGTTTCTTTCAACATCTTGATATATTTTTTTGTCTATATCCAGGGAGTGTGTAAGGAAGTGTTTCAGCTCAAGGGTGGCATCCACAAATACCTGGAAGAATTTCCTGATGGGTTTTACAAAGGGAAGCTGTTTGTTTTTGATGAGCGGTTTGCCCTGGCCTACAACAGTTCTGTGGTATCAGGTAAGTCAGCCCAGGTCCAGAGCCTACATTGTGTCAGGTCAGAATCATTCACCATTCTACACCCGCTGCTCAGAGAAGGCTGCCAGGACCTGAACATGACATGGAGAAGTGGAGGTCACTGTGCCACCCCTTTGTTTCCCAGCAGCTGGAGATGCAGGAATTAAACAGGCATCAGATGGTCCTGGCCATGCTGTATACTGAGTAGGCAAGTCCTTTAAAGTGCAGGCAGTGGACAGGTTGTACCAGACGTCCTAGGTCTTTGTCGCCATAGAATTCATAATACTGCCACATCCTTCTGCTGCTGCTGCTGCTGCTGCTGCCATAAGGAACTTAGCATGGCGTTATACTCACCGCAGTCTCCCACTGGACGTAGTCAGGCCTCCCACTAACTCTTTATTTAATGTTACAGGTAACTCAGCTCTTGTTGTATCACACAGTCTGAAAACTGTTTTGCTATTTCAGTCATTACCAGGCTGCCAAGTAAACCCAGGGCAGAAGAGTAAGAATTAGATGCTGTGGACGCAAGTGCACACTAGGGGGTTTGTTTAGAGGCCCTAAGGAGAGCACAGCAGCTGGCCAGAGACTTGTCCTCTTTCGTATGGGGAAAGTCATCCTCATCAGCTGAGCTGCAGCATGAGCAGGGACACATGGAGCCATGAGGGAGGACGGGGACACCTGCTTAGGCAGCCAGATCAGCCAAATCAACCCTGGCAATCAGTGGGGTGACAGATGCCACAGTCAGATGCCCTCGTGTCCCCAAGTGCGCATTTGAGGGAAGGTGAGAATGGAAGAGCAGGAGCAGGCCGTGCGGTGGCTGCTGCACTGGTTATAGTTGGCCTGCAGTGCTGGGCCCACACAGAAGGGAGGAGAAGGAGAGGCAGTCCTCCAGAAGGCGAGTTGCCCTGAGTACTGCAGTTCAGTAGTATCTGGATGAAAAGTCCTAGGCAGACAACCTTCATGGCTCCTACAGTTTCTAAAACACTTGTGAACACAGGCCTCTTAGATAGTAAGATTCGTCTTCTCTCCTTCCTTTCTGGTCTTTGTAAAAAAAATTACATTTACTTACGTGCTCATGTACATTCTTTTTTTTTTTTTTTTTTTTTTTTTTTTTTTTTTTTTAAAGATTTATTTATTTATTTATTATGTATACAGTATTGTCAGTATCCTGTTTGAATGTGTGCCTGCAGGCCAGAAGAGGGCACCAGATTTCCTTGCGGATGGTTGTGAACCACCATGTGGTTGCTGGGAATTGAACTCAGGACCTTTGGAAGAGCAGGCAGTGCTCTTAACCACTGAGCCATTTCTCCAGCCCCGCTCATGTACATTCTACAACACACATGTGGAGGTCAGAGGACAACTTACAGGAATTGGTTCTCTCCTTCCACCATGTAGATCATGGGGATGGAACTCGGGCTATCTATCATTCTTGGTAGCAATTGTTTTATCCACTGAGCCATCTTACCTGTCTACCTTTCTGATCTCTTTACTCATTATGGTGGTCTAATATTTGTCTTATTTTAAACCTCAAATAGTAAGTAAAAAGCAAATGAGGGATTTTATAGAAGAAATACCTGCAGGACTTGAATATCTGCATGTGACTTTGAATGTAAGAAAAAGCCCAAAGGTAGCATAGCCAAGCAAGGGGAACTGTGGTATTTTGGAAGATAAGCTGGCCAGGAAACATAGGCTGAAAAGGAAGATAAGGTGCAGTTGGGGAGTCAGGTGGTAGCCTGGGGTAGAGAGCTCTGCATTCTACAAGGTGGATGAGATGTGGGGTCATCTGTATTCAGGTGTGCGGTCCCCCTGGGCAGGGAGGTTATATGGGGAGAGCCTGTGTAACGTGGGTAATAAGGTGTTTCAGAAGTGCTCATGAGAAAGAGATGAACCTGTTTTCCGGATGGGAAAAAGGACAATGGATGGGTGAAGGCAAGTCAGAACAGTTTCCAGAAGCCTCTCCACACCCACCCCTCCCCCAGCAGAGGCTTTTCTCTTTCCTAGAAGATAGGAGTGCTATTTCCTTTTGATCTGTTTGTTTCTGTTCTGAGACAGGGCCTCACTGTGCATGTAGCCCAGGCCAGCCTTGAACTTGCAATCTTCCTGTCTCAGCCTCCCAAGGTGATAGTTGCTGCCACCCTGCTTGACTTGGAAACATTCCCTTGGACCAAAAGAGTAGTGAACTTAGGGTTATATTTGGGAACTGGATAAGCACCTCTGTGTGTGAGAGACAGAAAGACAGAGGGGGTGTGTGGAGAGGCAGTGGAGCGGGGAAAGACTAATAAAACTCTTTCTTCCCTAGAATGTTCATACTGTGGAGTCCCGTGGGACCAATATAGACTCTGTTCTACTCCGCAATGCCGCCAGCTCGTTTTAACCTGCTCTGCCTGTCAAGGACAAGGATTCACAGCCTGTTGCATCATGTGCCAAGACAAAGGGGGCAAACAGGCTTCGGGCCCTGCCCAGGACAGTTTTAAAGAAGAATGTGAGTGTACAGCCCGGAGACCACGCATCCCACAGGAGCAACCTGCATGACACCCTGTGAGCCTGGAGCCAGGGCCTGACGCTGGTGAAGCTGTGTGGCATCTTCAGCATTCCCTAAGCTTCACAGTGCAGGCTTCAGTGTCCATGCGTAGATTGTCAAGGCTGTAGAAACAAATCGGGAACTTTCATGTGGTCAGATGGCCTCAAGCAAAGGGGACAGGGAGTCCAGTGTTAGCTACCTAACCTGCTTGTTTTGATTCGGAATATGCTAGAGCCTGGAAAAGAGGTGATCCGTGTGGGATCCCAAGGACGTTAAGGGAAAGAGCCTTGAGCTCGGCTGCGCCATGTCTTCTCTGCCATGCAGCCAGGTAGTAGACATTGCTCTTGTCAGCAAACCTTTTTGCTTTGGCAGCAAAAGCAGAGAAGCTGAGCCCAGGGTGTGGACTCTTAAACCAGGTCAGCTGCAACCTTTCACTGCGTCAGTCTCTTCGCTAACTGCCCGAAGAGATCTGTAATCTGTAGCATTGGCCACTTCCTGCTTTGAAGACTTTACTGAATCAACCTGACCCATTCCTTTACATATGATCATGGCACTACTGAGTAGTTGGCCAGAGACCATGTGGCCTTCAGAGTCTAAAGTATTTGCACTCTGTCCCTTCACAGAAAATGCCAGCTCTCAGTTCACGCTGACAGCTCATCTGACAGAGGCAGTCTTAAAGAAGTGGCCTACATTTTTATAGATTTGGTTTCTTTGAAAGATGTCCCCCTAACAGCCCTGCGTTACCCAGCATCCCCTCTTAGCTTCTGAGTGTTCTCCTTGGGGATCCAGATGAGCAGCAGCAGCGTGCTTTAGGACATCTGGGACACAAGATGCTTGCTTAGTGAGGTCCTTCAGCATAGCAGCTCTCTAGCCTTCCGACCTTTGGGCTCATGTCCCCATCATACGGGTTTTAAGAAGCACACACAGCCACAAATAGACCAATGGCTTTAATATTATGTTGCAGTCTCCAGTGGTGCAGAATGCAGCTGCAGTTGTGTCTCAAGGAGAAGCCGAGTGGGGCTGGCCGTCCCTGCAGCTTGCTGCCACTCCTGGGCCCATGTGCAGCCTCACTAGACACTGTTAGTGGTGAGGCCCTGGCGTCACCTCTAGTTACCCTGTACTGTCCACAGCATTACAGTTCAGTGTGCAGGACTTTTCCTTGTCAGAAGCCCCCTGGGCTGTGCTCAACAGCTTTTGAGCCTTGTCATTATTGTAATATTGGCTGGATCCCTAAGGAAAATCATTCCCCAAAGCAACAAACAAAAATACTAGTTTAACTGGCACTGTGGTCTATTAAAAGGCACAAGAACAATGTGTTTTAGCATTTTTACTGACTCCCATGGTGTTAAAAAAAGGGATCCAGTAGGAACACCGAAATTAGGGTTCAGAGTAATCACTTGTGTTGTTTGGCCAGGAGCTCCTAATTCCTTGTCGTTTGGATGTTGTACACTGCTGTCCTTCAGAGGCGTCATTTGTAGGCAAGAGCTCTGTGATTTGATTTGTCTCCTAAGTGACCAGGCAGGCACTTGGTGTCTGTAAGCAGGGCTATGCTAGGTGCCATAGCCACAGTGGACTGGAAATTCTCCCAGTGGCGTTGGCCTCACGTAAGCCATTTGCCCACTGAGGTATAGGAAGATGTTTTCCTGTGGCTAAAGGTTTTCATCCATCATGAAGTTGGCATTCAATAAAGACAGAGTGATTTCTGACTGCAGTGAGTATATGCCAGGTGTTCGGACAGAGCACTCAGGAATATGTCTGTTGCCTGGGCTGGTAGATTTTAAAACTTGAAATTTCACCGTTGCCTTTTTCTCCCCCTTCTCTTACTTGGCAGAAGGAATCCTGTATCTTTCTGACTCTTAGAAGATTCTGTAGCTTGTCTTTCATTCTTGGGGGGAAGGGGTTTGATCCTGGAATCAATTTGGCAGCTTTAATCTTGAAGTTAAAGTTTCAAGTGGGGTTGAAAAATCATGATTATCTGTTCTTTTTACTGAGCTGCTGTGACCAGACCTGTAATAAAGTATTTTACAGCGCTTCCAGACTAGTTGGGATGAGTGTTCTGTGTTGATGTGTCCCATGTTGTAAGTGCACCTAAACACCAAAGCATGGCCACCAAGGGGACTTCTGGGCTCTCACTGCCACTGTCATGCTATCTGCAGCAAGATCTGCCAGGTTGAGGGCTTCTTCATTTTAAATAATAACCAGACTGAACTTCTGTGACTAAAGAAAACTTCACATTGACCATATTTTATAAAAGGTCCGACTACAGTCACTAGTTAACCTAAACTTTAGTGCACAAAGAACTTAACCACAAGAGTTCCACGCCAGCGTTTGCCTCCTGGTCTCCACTGGGGAACATGGATTATCGGTAGAACATGTCCAGTTCACAGGCGTGGGCTTCCCTTTGCACACTAGACACCACTACGGCACTTGGGAATAATGGGTCCTGTCAGGTCTGCAAGCCTCCTCTTCCTCACTGCAAAGGAATGGGAAGAGATATGAGCCAGCTATCCTTGCCAGTCCTGAGTAGCACTGGTCCACAAGGTCAGAGCCTGCTTGTCAAGGACGGTTACAAGAAGGCTGGGGCTGGATGTTTGTCCCTGGTTACTGATGGGAATCTATGGTAGGGTGGATATCTCTTCTAAATGGCTGACCACACAGTCTTTGGCATGCACACACACACACACACACACACACACACACACACCGTTTGCCTTTGCCTACACGGACTCCACAGTTGAAGATTGGTTCTGAGCAGGGTTAACTTTAGCCAGTCTTAGGACTGGAGTGTCAGCCTGCTGAAATGTTTCCCCTTGCTCCTTCTGGGAATGCCTGGTCTGCCTCCTGCCAATGCCAGTAACTGAAAAGTGCCTCAAATTGTCCTGCTCCCTCATGTTTTAGTAGTGACATCCCCCTAGGAGCAAGGCAGTTCATGCTTCAAATACTGTTCACATGACAGTTAAACCTATAGAGAAGAAAGTATGAGCCAGGAAGTTGCAAACAGAAGATAGAAGCTTATGGCTAGGGCTGGCAGGGACAAAGGCCCCTTGGGTGTAATAAGAGAAAACATGATATTGGCAAATGACTAAGAAGCAAGCTAGATTTGCTACGAGAAAACACAAGGTCAGGGAAGGCTATAGAGCAGTAGATTAAAATCAAGGGGTCTGTTGATGTGGTATAGGTGGGTGACCCTTGCTACCTTTTAGTCAAAGATGACTCAGTTCCCAGGCTGAGGTGGCTGTGGAGCCACCCGATAAGAGCCCATGAGCTCCACCACCCTGTCAACTTGTACGTGACTCAGATGGAGCAGGTAGTTGTGCAGGTGTGGCCAAGAGCCACAAACAGGTCTCAGGCTCACACTTACCTAGCGTGGGTCTCTACCCACTTCCCTAGCCCCAAGTTAGAGGAAGGCAAGCCAACCAGATGGGGAGGCAATCTGAAAGGAAGACACCGTCTAATCCAATTCCTGGAGGTGACTGAAAGTGTCACACAGTTTGGGAATCCGCACAGGAACAAAAACCAAAACAGAGAATGGGAGAGGGCTGTCTGTAATAAGAGAATGTGCAGTTTCTACAGATGAGCCTGTCACTCCCACGTTCGCTGTGCAAGCATGCCTGTGAGCTGCTCTTGTGGCTCTCCATACCCAGTGTGGCGTCACCCACCGACCTGAACAGAAGCCCCTCTGAAGGCTCTGAACTCCGCATGCTGTCGTTTCCATGCCACAGGTAAGGAAAATGATAGCAAGGATATGATGTTTGCTCAAAGCCAGAAAGGCAGTGATACACTGGATGTTACCGGTAGCACACCCCTGTAATCATAGCACTTGGGAGGTGGATGTAATAGCATCAAGACTTCACAGCTAGTCTCTGAGACATAGCAAGTTCAAGACCAGCCTTATCTACATGAAACTGTCTCAAACAAAAAAATAACAAAGCTAGAACCAGACGGAGCCAAGTCTCGCTGCTCATCTTGAGCCTCAGCCTTGTGCCTCTCTCAGTAGTTTGGTTACATGTCCATGTCTCATCTGATGCTCACAAGTTCAGCCCCCCTGCCTCAGAAAAGAAAGCCATTTTGCAGGGCAAGGATTGCAACCTTACTCACTGGCCTTTGATGGTGGGCATGAGGATCCTGTCAGACGCTTAATCCATAACTAGGGAAAATGTGAAATTATTGTTTTTCAGAATAATTTTTAGGATTTTTTCTTTATCTTAATTTTTAAAGATTTATTTACTTATTATGTATACAGTGTTCTGTCTGCCTAGTGTTCATGTATGCCTGCACACCAGAAGGGGGCACCAGATCTCCTTAAAGATGGTTGTGAGCCACCATATGGTTGCTGGGAATTGAACTCAGAACTCTGGAATAGCAGCCAGTGCTCTTAACCCCTGAGCCATCTCTTGAGCCCCCAATACTTGGGGTTTTTAAGTACTGGTTCATAACCAGGTCACAGCTGGGCCTGCAATACTCTGAGAGCTGGCCCCACCCAATGATTCGGTGTAACCATCACTTCTGTGCTGTGGTAAGAATTCTGCATCTCATTTATGTTTTGATCTTACTTTCTTTCAAATAATGGCACCTCAGATAAACCAAGACAGAAGTATATTTTTCTAGACCCGAGGCTCTAGAGAAAGTGGCCTGTGAAGGGAGCAAGGAACAGACAGCTCTGGGGCTGTGCCATGCTGAAGAGCAGGGGCCTGTGCCCTTGCACCCGGGCCTCAAAACTTTGACAGATGGCGCCTGGGGTTGAAGAACTTGATTGGAAGTGCCTGTAAGTCTGAGTTCTGGGCGGGGTCTGTGAGTGCCTGCCTTTCCAGTGCTCACTCAACTCAATGGGGATCTGACAGCCTTGGATCATCACCCAAACCCCTGCTTCAGGGTTTTAGGCTCCTTTCTTTCTGCAAGAAGGTTGGGAGCTAGAGAGCCCTGGCGGTGAGGATTTGATGAAAACCTCACCAAAGAACGTCTTTAAAACTCATTTGGCTTCATCATTTGCTCCAGAGATCAGCTTCCTTGTTAACTTACCACATTGCCTGCTCTCCTCCAATAGAAGGAGTGTAATTTGGTCTGTTGTGGTTTTATGACACTCAGGGTAAATGTCCCCCTCAATCAAGGTAACAATAGAGACCTGCTGCGTGACTTGCTTCCCCTCCCCCCAACACACACACACTCCCGGGGCCTTGCCAGTCACGCTGCCTTCATTTCACACCAGACCCTGCTCTCCTGAGCATCATCGGGAACATGTAATAAGCAACCACACCCAGGACGCGTGAACAATGGGCTCATGGGAACCAGTGGATGATTGATGTTATTCATTCTGTCGACTGCACAGGTATTTGGTGCAGCCTGTCACCAAGAGACTGTGAGGTTTTCTCTCTCTATTTAGAGAAATGAGGGAAATGGTAATTCAGCAGAGATGGAGGGAATGTAACTTGCTTTTACATTGTATTTCTATTTATTCTTAGTGGTGTGTGTGTGCACGCGCACGCATGCACGTGCATGCATGCATGCATGCATGTGGAGATCAGAGGCCTACTCTGTGGGTCCAAGGGACTGAACTCAGTTTGCCAAAGCTTGTTCCGTGAGTACCTTTACTCATCGAGCCATCTTGCTGACCCTGCCTTTACTTTCCTATGAACCACACATTTCCAACTTTGCCTTGGGAGCCACGCGGCATCTCCCGGGCTATGGCTTTTGGTAATGGCGTTGGCTGAGAGCTTTGGGATTGTGAACAAAAACCAGTGTGACCTAGAGAAGGGTCTTCAGGAGAGGAGCAGACCCAGGATGAGCCCATGCATCCTTAAATTTCATTTCCTCTATCCAACATGCTAGTTTGAGCTCTGGGTTCAGCCTATGCTGTGCCAGGCTGAGGAAGAAAAGGCATTTGCCCTTGGTCCTGAAGACAGGCAGCTCACAGACTGGGGGAAGTCATGCCTAAACACAGAATAAGATGTGATCCTCCCGAAAGTCAGGAGTTTGATCCCATGAACCTGGAGTCAGAGGTGTCTGTACAATTTCCCTGAGAAACCCTGCAAAATGTGGGGGAGAATGGGCAAACAAGCAGGCAGAAGGCAGGTGTGGACTCACCAAGGTCATTGTTGTTCATCATGGCGTTGGATGCCCGCAGCCGGGGCCCCTGCTGGGTAAAGTGGTAGCCAAATTTCAGAAGCGTTGTGTTTTTCTCCAACATGTTCACGATCTCCATTTCCACTTTGTTGCCCAAGGGCTGGCTCTTTGGTTTTTTAAAAAAAGAACAAAATACCAATAATTACACATGTGCTTTACCTAAACCACCTCTCCACATGGAAGCCCTGAGTGTTGTGTGGGGAGGTTACCTGCACTCTAAGAGGGAAGCCACATAGAGAAGCTGGGATGGAAATAAAGTTGGCATTACACTGCATGGATAAAGATCAAAACTTTCCCCAAGGATCAGGAAAATGCCACCATGTCCACTTTTAGCAGCACTGTTCTAGAGGACCTAATCGAGATAATTCAGCAAGAAAAGGAAGACAGGGCTGCTAACTCCCTGGCTACCTCGTGGAGCAGGAAATGTGACTTCTTCTTTAGGGCACGTGCTGAGAAACCGTTATTGGACAGGAGTGGGCTAGATCAAAACCATGGGTCTGACCTGGTGGAAAGGAGGGGCCATGTCTATGAGAGCTGTCTGTCCACTGTATACTGTCCCAAACCATAGGCAATGCTGCCTGAATTCCCTTTATTCCCACAGCAATCTCTCCCTCCCTCTCCCTCTCTATCTCCCTCCCTCCCTCTTTCCCTCCCTCCCCCCTCTCTCTACCTGCCTACATTTGGGGAGGCAGGAAATAGCCTCTCTATCTTGAGAATAAACAAGCATGTAGAGATGGAAGCCAGGCTTCAGACCTTTAGTTTATTAATGCCAGAGCCGAAACATGGCCTTGACCTCATCGATGGCCAGAAGGGCTATGGAAGTCCAGATTCTCAGGTTGATATCCAGACTCCCAGGGATGTGTGCAGACATGTCTGGGTGTGTGAGGGGGTACAGACTCTTTCAGCGAATCATGACTGATCTCCTAGAGTGAGAATCTTGAATCACACTTATTCTATTTTCTTTCTCTTCCTTTTCTCTCTTCTCTCCCTCCTTCCTTCCCTCTCTCCCTTCCACTGTTCTTCTGTAGTACCACAGACCAAGCCCAGGGTTCATACATGCTAAGCATGCATTCTACCCCTGAGCCACAGCCCTGGCCTCAAACCATTATTTTTAAACTAAGGTGTAAGATAGAAAGTGAGCATATTGAGTTACTGGGCAGAACTGGGAGAGCAGCTATAGTCTGCACAGGCCCTGGGGTTGATCCCCAGAACTGAAAAAGAAAAGGCACATATATCTCTGGGTAAGATGCCCAAGGACCATCTTGCTTGCTTCCTTCTCCGACTCCAGGGAAGGCTTCCCAGAGGAGGGAAGAAGAGTTGCTGGGAACCAGAGCTACCACTCAGGCCTGACTTATTTTTACGGTAGCACTACTCAGCAGCGACCACAGTGTGCCAAGCAAAATCACAAGGACACCACAAGAGGGACACACCCACTGCCTCTTCACCATCAACCTGTGGGACAGAACTTTCATGTCACAAGCCAGGAAAATGGAGTACACAGGAATGAAGAGTTTTCTCACAAGTCCCAGAACTGACCAGTAGCAGAAGGAGCTGAACACAGGTATCTGCTCCGGAGTCTCTAGCTGTAACCTCGGGCCTCGGAGGAAGCTCAAAGACAGACACGGGACAGATAGAAAAGACACAGGTAGCCAGGAGGGCAGAACTGCAGTCCTCTCGTTGGGAGTCCATGCAGCAAAGGGACCATACAGTGAGGTAGAGACCTCTGTCCCCTGAGGCAAGTGAATAGAAGCAGCAGGAAGGCTGGGACTCCATGGCCTCTTAAACCTCACAGGTCTGCAGGCTGTGACCCTATGAATAGCTTGCTTAGGTGGCATAAAAAGATCAGGAGAGTGACCTCAGACCTTGACAGTGGGTGAAAGGCAGTAAGAAGCCCCAAGGGACAGACCAGGGACTGGGTTGCAGGACTGCGCTGGCAGAGTTTGGGCAGTGAAGGACTCTGGCTTCCTTTCAGATTCAATAAATCACTTGTGGATAAATATAATATTTTTAACATTCAAATGATTGGATGGAGAGAAGTGAACAGTCTTCCTTCATACCATCCCTCCCTTCCCATCATCCCCCTGTCCATAGACTTCCCCCTCCCCCTCCCCCTCCCCCACCACGGCCAATGGCTATGCTGGGGATAAGATACAAGGCAGAAATAGACAGGGTTGGGTTGTTTTGTTGCTCTTTCTCCCTTAAATAGATTCATCTCATATTTATTTTCTGCAACTTCCTGTTCCGTTCACTATTTTGTAGAGGTCTTCCCAAGCTAGTACAAGAGAAATGCCGCCTTGTTTTTTAACTGCTTCTTGGGATGCCCTTGAGATGCTGCAGTGTGGATGGCTGTTGATGGCTGTGCCGACACCTTGTGCCACAGATGCCAGCGCAAGGGATTCTGCAGGGGAAGAGGGGCTGTTCCACAGTCAGCTATAGGGGCACACTTTGGATTGGCATCATGGCTGTTCTGCGGAAAACATATACGGTGGGCACGCCTTTGGACATCGCAGGACAGCCTGCTGCCCCGTGAGGTTTTAGAGGCCATGGAGTTCCAGCCTTCCTGCTGCTTCTATTCACTTGCCTCAGAGGACAGAGGTCTCTACCTCACTGTATGGTCCCTTTGCTGCATGGACTCCCAACGAGAGGACCGCAGTTCTGCCCTCCTGGCTACCTGTGTCTTTTCTATCTGTCCCGTGTCTGTCTTTGAGCTTCCTCCGAGACCCGAGGTTACAGCTAGAGACCCTGGAACAGATACCTGTGTTCAGTTCCTTCTGCCATTGGTCAGTTCTGGGACTTGTGGGAAAACTCTTCATGTTTACGCTTACATGCTTAAGAACTGAGGGTTTTCAATCTGGTGAGAAGAGGACAAATGCCTCAGGTGCTAGGATGGATGAGGTGGGACTGGTGGCTGAAATCCTGGGCAGCAGGCCATTCACTTAGCTCATTTGATGACAGGCTACTTTGTTGTGACCTGGATGACATGTGCAAAATACCATCACACCAGCTGTCGTGGGGGCACTCCTTTAATCCCAGCACTTGGGAGGCAGAGGTGGGCGGATCTCTATGAGTTGGAGGCCAACCTGGTCTACATAGTGAGTTCCAGGATAGTCAGAGCTATTTAGTAAGACCCTGTCTCAGAAGAAAGAAGAAAGAAGAAAGAAGAAAGAAGAGGAAGAGGAAGAGGAAGAGGAAGAAGAAGAGGAAGAGGAAGAGGAAGAAGAAGAAGAAGAAAGCAAACTTTAAAAAGAAAGAAACTACTCCATCAGGAAGGTGTCCTGGGAGTATCTTGGTCAACACTGAAGTCATAGTGCCACCTCTCACGGGCATACACGTTCATCTAATTGCAAGCTGCCAATTCTTCCACTCTGGTAGCACAGCCCTGGGGAGGAATTTCACCGCTTGAGAAACCTGCTTTATCCTTGGGTAGCTCTGCTGACTAGAAAGGCCTTTCTCACCATAGTGCTGTGATACAAAACCATACAGAGGGTGCTTATGACAGTGACTTAAGGAAGTCTACAGAGAGGAGTGGAGGGATGACACTAGGGAAAAATCTTTAAAAATCATATGGAAATATACCATTTGTAAAATTTCTTAATATATGTGCATATATATATTTATATAAAAGAATTTAACTAGAGTTATTTTACACAGGTAGTAATGCTTATTTCAGAAGCCAGAGGTTGCCAAATAAAAAGCCTAGTGCCAGATGTGGAATTCCTCCCCTTGAGCTGTTCATCAGGGGTGTCTCAAAAATGCCCCCCAAACAACATAGCCTATTGCTATTGCTCTGTATTGCTCACCAGAACTCGACAATAAGGCCACATCCCTGAAGACAACTCATAGTTTGGTCACAGGGCATGGAGATAGCAAATGATACTGACCAGGGAGATTCTTCCTTACTGGCCAGCTTTCCTAGTGCCTGAAAGGGCTAAGCAGGCTGCCGGGGGGCGGGAGGAAAGGGTAGGGGAGTCATTAACAGCCTACCTGTTGTGAACCCTGTGAACTATGATAATGACTGTCCTGGCAAGACAGGTCCATGGGTGCAAGATAGGTACACGTGTTGTGGAGAACCAACTGCTTTCTGGTTGGATTTAAGGCCCACTCCATGGGAAGAAAAACATGCCAGGTGCTGTAAATCTGGCCAAGAACCCACGGTTGGCAAGCACCCAGAGCCCAGGGCTGAACTGAGTGCTATTAACCTGCTAAACGACATAGCATCAACAGCCCTCCCTTCTTGTATCTTTTTATCCATAAGCTAGTACAGCCATCACACCTCAGCAGAGACGTTGCTTTTTGCAACAGATGGTGGCAAATGCAGAAACTTAGAACCAAAGTCCAGAGAATAAATGTCAGTGAAGCGCCCAGTCACACCTGGGACATTCATCTGGTGCCCTGCCCCAAGATTCATAGAAGAGGGAGCTGAAAGATCCTAAGAGCTAGAGGTCACGGAAGACTGGAGCAAAACAGCATCTTCTGGACAAGGCAGGACCAATGCACTGTGAACTCAAAGCAGCCGTGGCTGCCTGCACAAGACCAAGCCAGTCAGCATTCTAACATGAAGGAGGGAGACTCACAAGTCCCTCCCCTAGCTAAGGAGCTATTGACAGTTGATGTCTAAGGGAGGAGAGGCAGTTTTCTTGAATGGTGTCGTCCATGGGCTTTGTTTTGTTTTGAGAGAGGGCCCCACTAGGTTATGTTTTATCAAAAAACGAGGTGGGTAGAGAGGTAGAGAAGGAATCTGGGAGGAGTTAGGTGTGAATATGATCATACTATATTTTCTGAAATCATGAAAGAATTATTAGAAATAGATCTGAAAAATTCTTTGGTATAGCTCCCTCAAAAGGTAGAGCCTCATTCACCTCCTTCCTGTGTGTGTACGGTGCCTATCGGTTCGCTTCTAAAAGAAAATGTCAGAGTAGACTTTGCTCAGGTTTCAAGGCTGGTCATCAAAGCTGGAACTTTCTTCTTTGCCTTGAATGACATGTTCTGGGGGAAGTTAGCCAGATCAGCAGCCCTGGATTCTTGTCACTCAGAAACTGAGCAAATTTGCTGAGTATTGGTTTATCCCAGAACTCTGAGGCTAAGCCTTGGGGTCATTTGTTGCATAGATAACAGATATACTCCCAGACAGCGTTAAATTAGAGAAAAACCAGACACAAACAGATTAACTTAGAAAAACAACACAAATGCATAACCCACTTCCTGTGGCTCCTGTCCAAAATATCAAGCAGTGTCCCTGACACACAGGGGAGGGGAAAGGGGGATTGTAACCAATATGCCCAGATGGCTGATACATCCTCATTTGGAGGGGTCGTGTTTCCAGGTCTTATCTGTTCCGAGGGACTCGGAAGGACTGGGGAGGAACTGCTGGACACAAAACTGTTGGGAGGCAAGAGGAGGCTCAGGAAAGCAGAGCAGGGCTGGGGGGTGATACAGCTGGGGATGGGGATCTCCAAGCACCCTGTGGTTAGAGCCTACTTCGTGGGCCAGATAGGGTGTATCCTCTCCGATGTGTAGCAAGGATGCTGACAATCCAACCCAGCTTTGTCTTGGACAATGGCCTTGACTAAAACAAGCCCCCTCCTTCTCAGTTTCCCCACTGCAAAGAAAGCTGGTCAGCCACTCTTAGAGCTTTTCAGGCCGGCTCAGGGCCCCTGAGGCTGCTCCCCACCCTTGTCGGATTTAGGGCAGTTTTGGGCAGAAGCAGAACATTGCCTGGAGATAACGGGAAGCACTTAGTAAACAAACTGCCTCAGAATCCATGTCACCCTGTGTAGAATGCCCCAAGTCCCTTTCTTTGGCCGTAAAAGGAGAGAGAAGGAGAGTCTCTCAACACAGGTTACAATTCCAAGGACTGAGGCAAACGCTCTGGCCTTCAAGGACCTCGGTGACGAACCAAGGAAGAGGAATAAATCAATGCCACTTGTCACCTCCTCCTGGCCCCTCCCTTTTACCCTGGTCACCACGAGAAGACAACTGTGTCCAGACCTCCTGGGACACATGCATGGCCTTTCCCTGAGCTTGGGCCAGGGAAGCCTCCAACCTGAAGCCTTCATCCACAGTCTTCATCCACTCAGCCCCTCCCCACCAGGCCCCATTACAGCCCGAGGCCCCCACTTAGGCAGGAGTGTCACCCCAGGACCAGAAGTCTTGGGTGTAGCATCTGCTGGCCTCCTATCCTTAGCTTTCTCTTTACTGGTCCAGCCAGGAGCCACCCTGTCAGAGCAGAACCTACAGGCTTACCCACCAGCCCCTTTGCCTCTTCATCCTCACAGGCTTCTTCTGGGCCCCCAGACTCCTGCCTAGATAGGCTCCGAGCTCTCCCCAGCCTTTTCTCTATTTTCTTTTCTCCTGGGTACCCTGACTTCCGTTTTCCCTTTGATACACCCTCCTCTCTCTGCCACCTTCTCCCTGACACCCGCCCTGGCCTGCTCCTGACTATGGCTGACTCCTCCACTGGACCCCACCCACTTTCACCCTATCTGTGGCTTACAAGAGCACCTGATGCAAAGGTCATTTCTTCACCTGTCTCCCCTCCTACCCAGTGTGGCTTCCTAGAAGACTCAATCGGAGCCTCGCTTTAGCAGAGGCCAGCATGGCCAAGGGGATGAGGAAGAGAAAGGCCAGGCTAACCTCATGAAACCAGTCATTTCAAGAACCCCAACAGACACCGTGTGCAGGCTTTAGAGTCATATATACCTAAGCCAGGATCTTCCTCGGTCACTAACTCTGTGACCTGAGGCAGGTGACACAGTCCATACGGCAGTCAGAATCAGAGGGTGAGCACAGGGACACAAAGCAGCCAGCGTGCTTCCTGTGGGCATTCGCCCTCTGGATAGTGTGTGAGATCACAACCTGCATAGTGACTTTCAAAGTCACCAATGGCGTCAGTCCCCAGATCTGTAGCCCCTTAGGACAGTGGCTAATTATCCTCATTTACAAGAAGGGAAGCTGAGGCCAGGCAGTGAATGTGCTTACACTGGGGTGTCTGGCCAGGGTGAAGGCAATGGTCAGCACAAAGTCTCTAATGCCCTGGGGGCACAGGTGGAATACAGCTGAACGGGGAAGGTGGACGGGTTGATATCAGCCACCACTTGGTTGAGGGTCTGCCCTGGAAGTCAAGTTTCAGCTGATGCTCTCACTCCTTTCTGACCAGGACAGACGTCACAAGAATAGCCAGGCTGGCAGGGAGGGTGCTGTTGCAAGCTGTGATTCATCTGCTCTGCCTTTCCCACCTTTAGGGGATCAGGGTCAGCAATGGTCAAGGGACAAGGCAGAGATGGTCAGGGTCAATGTAGCATCAAGGTTACCAGCGTATGAAAGATGCCCAACCCAGTGCAGCAGCAAGTTTACATGACTGAAAGACTGCTGACTGATGCAGCCTCTTTCTATACATCAGAAACGTGCTACCATCCGGGACACGTTTGCTTACCAGGTACCCATGAGGCCCAGGTACCAGGCTGGGCACTGAGATAAGGAGAAGACTCCGACCCAGCACCACCTTCTGAGAAGCTCATGGGCATACTGAAGGGCAGGGGAACCGCTGGGGGAGCACCTAGCTCTGAGGAGCTCATGTGGATGCTGAAGGGCAGGGGAACCACAATACCTAGCTTTGTCTGGGCAGCAAGGCTTGGAGGAGTTGTGGAGGCTAAGCAGGGAAGGCAGGAGTATAATGACTCTCAAGAACCAAATGGGAGAGAGGAAAGGAAGGAGGAAGGGAGAGAAGGAAGGAGGGAGGGACTTATATGTAGTGTCTGCACTTCCCACCAGCTACACTCCTGCTAGCCCAGGCGATTCAAGGCCGACCTACCAAGTATATCACTGAGGTGCAGCCAGGCAGAGAATGCACATAGCCCTTTATGCTGGCCCAGGATGCTTTTGCACATTCCATGTAGCACAAAGGGTTTTCTAGCAGAAAATGGGCAGGCGGGGCATAGGATGTTCCAGAAGTCTATGGCATGGGAGCAGAGACAGGAGTGGGAGCAAGCTGGGAAGTTTCTGAAAGCCATGTCTAGGATGAGGCCTCTGGAAGCCGGTGATGCTTAGTTCTGACTGTGACAGATTCACGAGCTCATTATATTTAATCTGCTCATTTTTATTCTCGGCACTTTCTGTCTGCCACATCTTACAAGAAGAAAGTAACTTGTGGTCTTGCTTGGGCACAATAATTTCACAGTATTCCCCCCCCCCCCCAGTCTTCTCTCCAAACAAACATACACAGCCATCCAGCCGCATTTGCCAGTGCAGAGAAAATTTCAGTCTTCCCCATCTATAAAGAAGATAGTGACTTAGTCAAGGAAGCAATGCGCAGTCGCGGATAGAGAGTGGGCTTTGGGGTTGGGGAGCTGTGGGTTCAAATCTTGCCTCTTGAGTGCTGAGCGCGACCCTGAGGAAGCTATCCCTCTCTTAGCCTCTTTCATCAGAGGCTGACCACACCCGCATCCTACAGCGGGCGATGAAGATCAGAGATGCTGGGCACACGGCGGCACTGAGCCTCCCACTCCCACAACAACCCGCAACTGTCCAACAGCCAAGCTATTGCCACGGGCAGTTCCGGTTATTAACTTTCTCTGAGACAACCAAGACCAAAAGAATTGCCCGCAAAGAACAGACTGGACCATGGAAGCCAGAGAAACAGGAGCTCTGTGGGATAAAGACAGGGGAGGTGCCATGTGGAGGAGACCCAAAAGTCACCTCAAGTGTGGGAATGGGGAATGGGGTGTCACTGGCGAAGAGCCCCGTGGCTTGTGCGATCTGTGTCCTCCACGTCTCAGGTTCCTCAACAGAACAACTGAGGTGACACACAGGGCTTAGAAGTATGTTCCTTTGCTCTGGGTCTAAGTAAGGACATTCTCAAAGCCAAGGGCCAAGGCTGGAGCTAAGGTGTGAATTCCCACCACTCATGGGCACATGATGAAGTTGACAGCGCTGGAAAGAAGGTAGTGCGGCGGGGTGGGGGGTCAGGACAGGAGCACCTGGAGGTGGCTCACAGTGGGCTCTAGAACATCTGTCACCAGTGTCCTCTGCTCCACCAGCAGCACGCGGGCAGGTGAAGACCCCGCTCGACTCACCTGGTTATCGATCTTCAGTTCCACCAGAGAGGTGTTGTGTGGGAGAGCTTCCACCAGGCGCAGGATCCCAGCTCCAGAAATGAAGTTGGATTCCACGTTCAGTGTCTTCAATACCTTGTTCACCTTCAGCATGTCGGCAAGCGCCTTCGGGAGAAAAGCAGGACCCGTGAGTTACCCTGGGCAAGGATGGAGCAGATCCAGGCGGTCCCTGGAGCTGCCTTTCGAAGCATGCCTCTGTGTCTGCTTTCTCGCAACCTGCCATGGCCCCCGAACACCCCTTTAGGAGACCGCTCATCAGGACTCAGAGACCTCTGGACCTGCTTCTCTTCCCTGCGCAGCCTTGGCCCTCTGGGTTTGCTGCACACGCTGAGTGCCTTCCCACCCCTTAGCCTTTCTCTGCTTCATCACTTGGAAAGTTCTGTTTCACTTGGTTAAGTCTTGTTCATCCTTCAAGGCACTTTCTCAGTGCCTCTGGCTGCAAGAGCTTTGCTGACACCCCAGCTACCCAGGGCCTGCTCCCTGTGACCTCAGAACTTATCCACATCTCCTTCACTCAAGTCTCCATTTGCTATTATTTTGTTTTTGTGCATGCACGTGCATGTGTCTGTGTGCATGTGTCTGTGTGCGTGTCCACCTCTCTAGCGCTATGATTACAAGTGAGCCACCATGCCCAGCTTTCGATATGGTGCCCAGGTTGTCATGCTTGTAGGGGGAACGCTTTACTGAGTGAGCTATCTCCCTAGGGTCTCACACCCCTCCGTGTTTATGGTTGGTGTGTTTCCACCACTAGACAATCTACCCTTCATGGGCTGAAAATGTAGCTTAATATCTATTTTTGTTTTTGTTTTTTGTTTGCTTTTGGGTTTGTTTTGTTTGTTTTTATTTTAACATGGTTTCTTTGTAGCTTTGGGGCCTGTCCTACAACTTGCCTTGTAGAGCAGACTGGCCTCGAACTCAGAGATCTGCCTGTCTCTGTCTCCCAAGTGCTGGGATTAAAGGCATGCGCCACCACCGCCTATCTTAACACAGTACCCAGCACACAGTAGGCCATCAAACAATGATCACCAGGGCCCCCAGTGAGTCTCTGTATCCCCCATGGATGCTTGGCTTGTCTCCTCTACGGCCCTGCTGAAATGTCACCATGGTCTTTCTCTGAGCCCCAGAGAGTACAGGGCTGGCTTGCAGAGTACAGCTCAGATGGCCCTCAGCACGTTTGAGAGGGTTCTAGCCAGGGGGTGTAGATGACAATCGGAGTCTCTGAAGGAAATGAGGTAATTAGCAGCTGGGGGAAACTATGCGTCATGGGGAAAGAAGATACCAGCAGCCGACAGACCTGGGACACTGTGATCTGTGTGCCAGGGAGTCAGAAGCGATGCCAGGAAAGGCTGCCCTGTTGTGCTCCCCCAGAGCTGAACCCTGCCAGAGACCCAGCTCCCAGAGAGCCTTCATGCTGTCCACTTTCCTCCTTTGGCTCCCGCAGTCCAGCATGCCAAGAGGTGGTGTGTCAGCTTCTCTATGACCAATCTGTTCCCGACCTGTGTAGGGTGGTCTCCCTGAGCCTCACCAGCAACCCTGTCTCCCACGAAACGCCTGGCCTGACCTAACCACCAGCCAGTTTAACAACCAGTGGGCAGGTGTGCCAGGCCATGAGCTGTGCATGCTGCTAACTGGGAGGCCCTGGAACCCTGTCGAGTTATGCGTCAGATCCTGGGTGAGGGGGTCACAAAAAGGGAACAGAGGGTAGGAGAGAGTGCCAGGCAGGCAGTGGGACCTGCAGGGCTCTGGCACCTGGTCTAGCATTTCAGCACTTGGTGATAGGTATGCAGGTATAAAGGGCCTGCCACCAGCTGTCAGCCTGGCACGGAGTCCATGCCCCTAAACCATCCATGGCATGGAGCTGAGTGCCAGCATGGCCGTGCTTCTGATCCATGAGCAAGTAGTACACAGGGTTTCTCCAGCTAAGTCACTACAGACAGACTTGGGAACCATCGAGGTCAGTCAGGGGTCATTGATCTAGAAGTTCTCACGCAGGCAGCCTGGGAACTGCCTCTGCCCCCCACTGGGAGCTCATTCAGTTCTTTCAAAAGCACCTGCAGGAATCAGTCTCTTCTACTTTAGAACTGGAAGAGGGCTGATTCCTATACTCCGTGACCTACTCTCCTCAGGAAGCTAATTCCTACCTGCTGCACCACCACCACCAACACTGTGCAGGGGACCATTTGGCTGCCTTCAAGCCCCAACTATGGCTACGATCATGGATGTGGGATATGAGACTGGTTACAGGCGGATTTCCAGAGCCTAACTCAGTATTATGCACAGACTGTCAAGAATTTGTATGGGATATTTTTAAAAAAGAATTAACAGTTACTTTGTAAGTACAACTTACTTTAAGTAAACATGATTTTTTTCATTTGTTTGTATTTTGAGACAGAGCCTCATGGAACCCAGGCTAGTCTCAGACTTCTGATCCTCCTGCCTCCACCTCCCGAATGCAGCTATTACAGGTGTGCATATCACCGTACCCAGCTGCTTAGGCAGTAAAAGTAAAATCAGTCGCTGGGATTGATTGGCAAAGATGGTGATGTGGGAGCTGGAGATGCTGAGCCCCAGGAAGGGGAGGAGTTTCGAGCGTGAAAGGTTGAGTTTGAGAAAGACCAACTGTAGGTGTCAATGTGACTTTGTTTGATCCCAGGTCTGCTTTTCTCTTTTTGTGTGGCTTTGGACAAAGCCACTTGCCTATCCTCCCTGCACACCCACCCTTCTGAGAACAGGGTGGTTGCAAGGATTAGCTGGGATGAGAATAGGGCATTGTGCAAGGGCTGTCCCATACATATACATCCCTTCCTGGCTCCTAGCTGAGCCCCCTCGCAAGCCACAATAGGGTTCTTCATCAGTGGGACCAGGCCTGAGTGCCCAGTGACTACATAGCAGAGCGGAGAGGTCAGAACATACAAACGCCACAGGGTCATTGCTGCGGGTCCCCACGATGCTGAACTTCTTCACATGGGTGTTCTCTTTCAGGGCTTCTGCGTAGGCCTTGAGGGTGGGTATGGGGATATTCTGCAGAGGAAAGGGCAGGAGAGTGAACAGCAGCCCTACATGGGCCATGGGGACAGGTGGCTTGCCAAGGTGAGGGGACAGTAGGTCTCTCCCAAATGCAGCCTGGCTCCTAGCAAGTCTCTCAATGGGCCATGGGACAGAGCTTTGAGACGCTGAGGATTCCCCAGTACACAGACAGAAGGAATCACCCCTGAAAGTTTCAGATAGGAACCGCAACTCTCTTCCATGCATGGAAGTTGAGAGGAATATTTACAAAAGACTGGGGACTGGGAGAAGAGCAGGGCTGAACCCTGGCTTCTACCCAGTGACTGGCAGCGTGTCTGACTGGGGGGACTCTCTTCCCCTCTTTGGGTCTGTTCTGAAAGACAGAATGCTCTCTGAGACATCTGTCCCAAAGGGTCTGGTCTCAGCATTGCCTCATGTCCAGGTTCTGGCGACAGCTTTTCATGCCAATGTGCAGGCCAGCCCCACACCATCACACACAGAGCCTCAGAGGGACACCTGGGCATTAGCGGTATTAGCGTATGTTTTTGAAATCTCAACAGATGAAAACTGGTCTATGTCCAACTGCCTCCAGGTATAGAAGGGAAACTGAGACCTGGAGGTATTCAAGCCCTTGTCTGAGGCCTCCTAATGAAGTCCCATGACTTGGGCTTGTCACCACCCAGAACATACAAGTCTGGATTGTGTTAGCGACTCTCATATGGCAGACAATGGAGGCACCAAGGGAGAGCTGGCTCTGCTTTCCCAGAGCTCTCATTTCAAAGTGTCACCTAAGCCCCCGTGGGAGAAGAACCAGGAGCCAGGTGGAGGAGAAAACTGGGGTGCAGGTTTCCAATCTGATTGTGCTTGGGACTGGCAACCACTGAGAAGAAAGCAGAGAAGAAAGGAGAGCAGGAGGAAGGGGCTGGCTTCCATTCCCCACCCCCCCCCCCCCAGCTAATCCTGGGGCCTCAGCACAGAGCAGGTGGGCAGGCGTCTGGGCCTGCTTCCACAGTCCTCCTGTACCCTGCAACGGTAGCCACAGTGCTATGGCATACAGCTTGGGCATTTCTTGAGGCACTTGTACCAACATCTCCTTTCCTGGCTGTAAAATGAGAGTAAATATGAGCATGATTCAGAGGGACCAGGGATGTCTCAGGGGCAGTGCCTGCCTAGGGTGTGTGACCCCATGAGTCTTGTAGGCACAGGGCTTTGCCAGCCTTGAAGTCCCGTGCTGCAATGTGGTTCTGACTCACAATTTTAACACAGAGAATCTCTGTGTTTGTGCACAACATGGCAGGCATCCAGATCAAAGTTGGATTGGCCTCTGGTGGACTTCTGAGCCTGTAATTGTCCTCTGAGAGAAACCAGGACTATGGGATTTGCTTGTTGACATTGGCCAACCCTTAAGTGTTCCCATATGTCAAGGCTTGTCTCTGTTTCTGATCCAGACATATCCAGGTCCAGATAGGACCCTGCTGGTCTATATAGCCTAGACTGCTGGCATCTATCTGTATGTCAAGACATAGCCCCCCCCCACACACACACACACAACTGAAAACTCCTACTCCCAATACACATGAATTGAAATAGCAGGGCATTACCCGGATATTGTTGAGATTAACTTCTTCAAGTTCTGGGTCATTGTTCTTTATCCGCTCCAGCGTTTCCTCCACATCTGTTGAGTTTGGTTCTTCATCGGGCACAGGTTTGTACTGTGTCGGTTTAATCACACCTAGAGTGATGGATAAAAAAGGAGTTGGCTCCCAGAAACACAGGGGTCGCTTTCTTCCAACATAAGGACTCCTTGGGAGAAAGCATTGGTTGAGTTCAGAGTATATGGGAGGCAGCACATTTTTCAGAAGGTACCAGGGGCTGGGATAGGTCGGAAGGAGTCAGGGAGGAAGGTCAGGGTATCCCTGGATGCTGCTCTTGAGTCGTTACAAGACCTAAACACTCTGACTCTCAAGTCCTTGTCTGTTCAGTGGGGGTGGCCTTGCTGCCACGCTTGTTATCACAGTGGGCTTCTAGGAGGGGAAGATGAGGTCTGGGCTGGGAAGAAGTGGAGTTCTCTTCCAAAAGAAAGGATACTAATTCTTTTGACACCTTCATTTCTCTTTGGGCCCCAAATGTCAGCTTGGAATGATGCAGTCAAATAATTGAGACAATGTGACATGGGCCCAAAGGCCAAAGGGTCTCATGGGACAGAGAACAGCGGGAACTGAAGAGAAAGAAAGAGCTCCATAGGATGGTAAGGAACACATTTTTCAAAGACTATTGTGTAGAAAAAATAGATCTCTACTAAAATTGTCAAGTTGGGGGCTTGATCAGTAAAGTCCTCATCTCGCAAACCTGAGCGCTGAGTTCATCCCCAGATTCCATGTTAGAAAATAGAGATCTGGGTGCAGCAGCCTGTGCCTATAATTCTGGCAATGGGGAGGTAGAGGCAGGGAACCCCAGGAACTGACTGGCCAGTCATCCAGTCTAGCCAAATCTGTGAACTCTAGGTTCATTGAGAGATTGTCTCAAGGGATAAGGCGGAGAGCAACTGGTCCAGCGTCCCCAGGTACACACGCATTTGGGCAAACAGCATAGAGGCATCTCATCTCAGCACACACACAACCCACTCTGTGAGGATTAAGGCACCAAACATAAGAAGCAAATCTCTAAAACCTTTAGAAGAAACATGGCATTGAGATGAAGGTGGCTTTGTAAACGAGACATAAAATTCCATCAGACTCAAAGGAAGCGATGAAGAGATTTGCCTGTTTAAAATGCGACAAGCCGGAGTATGGGGAGCACGGGATTCAAGATGCAGGAGGAGGCGCCTCTCTTTTAAGGCGTCCTCTGTGAGCCAGTCCCACGGACCCACAAGGGCAGGGGATGGCAAGCAAGCAGGGCTGCATACTCACTGTTGAGTCCCTCCTTGTTCACGATGGAGCTGCTGCCCAAGGCCTGGTAGTATTGCTGGTTGCTCATGAGCGTGTGCATGCCCAGGATAGCTGTGGGAACAAAGGGGGTCCATGACTCTGCTTTCGCAGACAGAGATGCACCCCCTCCCCGGAGACCCATCTTCAACATGCTGGGAGCATGGTAAGAAACATATACACGAGACTGTAAAACCGTGGGTCATCTTTATCTTAGCTCTCATTCATGTGGCTCTTAGCCCCCCCCCCCCCCCAAGATCTCCCTTTGGTTCTGGTTCCCAGGTCTCCTTGAAGATCCACAGGCACACTCCACCCAACGTGGCCCAACAGCAAGGATCCTTTCCAGCAAGGATCTCTTTCAGGGAATGCACTGCCATCTTCTGGCCTGTCCTTCCGCCATTTGGCCTCCCTGGGTCTCTCAGGTTGTTTATTTAAAATTCAAATTCAGACAGGTGGTGATAATACACACCTTTAATCCCAGCACTCAGGAGGCAAAGACAGGTGGATCTCTGAGTTTGAGGCCAGCCTGGTCTACAGAGTGAGTTCCAGGACAGCCAGGCCTACTACACAGAGAAATCTTGTCTCAAAAAAACAAGTGGAAAAATTAAAATTTAACTGGACAGTCTATATTTTATTTAGCTATCCCACTACTCCAAGACTTGGTGAGATTCTTCCTCCTCCAGGGAGGCTCCTTAGATTCTCCCCTCTCTTTCAGTAGCAGGTGTCCTTGCTACACCACAACGTACTTCAGAGCAAAGGTGGGTCCAGGACATCTGTGTGCTTTCTCTGCTGGGCTGGGGCTCCCCAGGGTCAGGGAGGAGTAGCACTGCTCTCCCGTCTCTATGGCAAATATCTGATGACCTATTTTTTTTTTTTTTAATTTTAAGACATTTCAGTAGATATGTTCTCTAGGTAGAGAGAGAGCATGGCAGGTCTTAAGAAGACCCAGAAACAAGTTCTGGCTCTGACCATGTTCTCAGTGCTACCCTGGGCAAGCCCCTCCTCTCTCTCTTGGCTTCAGCCACCTGTGTCCAGCCAGGGGTGATGATGTAAGACCCTCACTCTGGCTGCACGTGCAGACTGCCTGGGGGCTGTAAAACACCAATATCCAGCTCCTTCCTGGACAGAGGGGTGTGATCTCTGTCTTTTTCTTTTCCCTTTTTATTATGTAACTTAGGTTGACCTTGAACTCTTAATCCTCCTGCCTCAGCCTCTCAGGTGTTGGGATTACAGGAGCGCACAGCTATGCCTCGTTCCTTGAGGTGATTTTGGTGTCCCCAATGGGAACTGAGACCCACAGAAGAGATGATCTCAAAGTCCCTTCTGTTTCTCGTCCCTAGGAGTCTTTGCTAAAATTAGCCTTGCCGGCTCATCGGCTCATCCCTGAGGAGGGCTGGGGAGAGACAGCTGCTGCTTTTCCAGCTCTCGAGGTTTTAATTTAGGCTGTGTCCCCGTGGGCTGAGGGAGCCGAGGCTGAGTCAGCTGCAGGTGAGTCACGTCACGGAGACTCATCTTCCAGAGAGGTGCTCCAGCCCCCACACAGCGGAGGTCTCAGGTTCGCCGAGGCTGGGATCATATGAAATGTACTGCCTCAGTTCAGAGCACACAGGAGGGGAAGGAGATATGTAAACAAAAATAAAAAAGGAGAACATATGTGGTGCCTGAATCCCCGCGTCCTGTGATGGGTTAGAGAGGGGCACGGAGGAGTGTGAGGGACCAAGAGTTAAGAGCCTTGGGTTGTTGCTACTTTTTCAAGTGACCTTGTAGAGGTCATTTCCTCCTTGGTCTCCCAAGGGTTCTGCACTTGTGTGAACGCTGAACTCTTACCTTCCCATGGGAGCAGCCAGGCAACCATGCCCCCAGTTTTAGCCTGTTCAGTGTTATAGGATAAGCATCCCCACACTTAACAGGTTTGCTGCGTGGAGCAGAGAGGCTCCTAGTATATAAGGCAGTACTGCATCTGCCGGGCCAGTAAGAGTTCTAAAGTCTAAAATTGTCCCCTCAACTGGAGAATTCTAGTCCTAACAACATAGGAAAGACGGTATGGGTAGATAGAAGGGCACAGAAGGAAGAAATTAGAGTTCCTTGAGAGAAGGAAAGAAGAGAGGGGAGGGAAGAGAGAAGGAAGAGAGTGTGGTTTAAGACAAATGTCCACCACCAGCCTGGGGCTATTGAGGCTTTCCCCTGGCTTGTATTGTCTGCATTTGTCACCAGGAGTGAGCCTTACCAAGGAAACCCTCCCCTGCCATCTCGTGTTGCTTCCTCCTTTGTAGATCTCAGCCAGGCTGATTTTAGCGCCAGGAGACTTGATTTCTTTTCTTTCTTTCTCTTTTTCCTTTCCTTTTTTTTTTTTTTTTAAGTCTAGATCTTCCTCAAAACTCGAAAAGGACTATTTTTGAACTCTGAAAAAGAACATTGAGTTCTGTTTCCTCTCTGCCTTGGCAGGGCTCCTTCCATTTGTAATTCTGCTCAGGATGCAGCGTGGTCACGGCACACATCCCCGGCTCCTCCAGCTGCCACAGGTTTGAGTGGTCCTGGTGGAGGGCTGTGAGGTGTGTTCTCACATCCCAGGTGCAGACACAGAACCTGGCTCTGGACTTGGTGCTGGGGAACTGTTCCTAGAAAAGTCACATCCCCCGACAGTCTTGACGCCACCAAAGACCAAGAGACAGTCTAGCAAAGGCTGGCCAGTTCCCCTTGGGGAGTGGGTGCTCCCTCCAAAGGCTCGGCCTTCCCACCCCACTCTTTTCCTCATTCCTGCCCTACTGCAAGAGTTTCTAAGGGCAGCTAGGGACCAAATCCCGAGCGAGTGTGGGAGGCAATGATAATCTCAAGCGCTTGCTGCCGACTCCCTTTAGTTTAGCGGCCTCTAAGCTAAAGTCGTAGGCCAGAGTCCCGTAAACTCTACTTAGCACCCTGTGGGGACTTGTTTAAGACTGAAACCTACATACTTTTGGCCTGTCCTCCCATGCACTTCTTGGGTCCCCCGGGGCAAAGATTGTATCTCATCCAGCCTAGCAAAGACAGGTGTTCCACAATGTCTATCAACTCAGTGAGGAAGCTCATGGATTGTCAGGGACGCGCATTCCTTCTGCCACCCCTGGGTCTCCCTCTCTGTGGTCTCCCAAAAGCTCATGACCGTTACTGACAGATACTGAGGCTGCTACATAAAGAAGCATGTCCCTGGCCAGGATGGGAGCTTTCACTGTGCCCGAGTGTCCCATCCTGGAACTTCCTCTTTCCTACCCCACTCTCTCTAGATCACCCCCAGCTGTCTGACTTTTGGTCCAGTTTCCATGTCTTCCTTTCTTTCCCCTGACCCACCCTTTACTCCAAGTGCCCCTTTTGTGCTCCCTGGCTTATCACCCCAGTGTGACACTCTTGCTGATCTTGTCTCATTTGCCTGTGTAATGCCAGCTCCACGAGGGCGGACAGAGCTGTTTCCTTCGGATATTTTCTCACCAGAACCAAGTCCACAGCCTGGTACACGGTGGGTAGGAAAGCTCCGGGTAACTGGTGCCATGTGGGAGAGACCTAGTGAAGGCCCGGTTCATGGGGACACCCTGTGACGACAGCATGTAGACCAGAGGCAGCTGCAGACCCCCTCACCTCTCTCTAGGCTTTCCTTCCTTCAATAAGCCACCCATACTGGGAAGTCCGACTATCCCCTCCTGGGCTAAACTGTCCCGTTCTGATGGGTGGGCCTGCCATGCCAACACCTCTGGCCATCCAGGGCAACTTTCTTTTAACTGCCCGGCTCTGCTTTTTACCCACAGCCACAAAGCCTGGCATCATCTTCGCTCCTTGTTTCTGATCCGGCACTAGAAACAGCTGGTGTCTTGGGGTAAAATGGGACAATAATAGAATTTACTTCATAGGGTTTGTCACGGTCAATAAATACAGTGCTGTATGGAGAACTACTCACACAGCACCTGGAACATGTTTATCACTCAGCAGACGGCCCGTGCCTCCTTCCCCATAGGCACTGCCACCTTGTCATGGCTAAAGTCAAACAATGACAGGCACTCAGGGACAGTCAGCTAACACTGGGATGCATGCACAGTCTCCTGCTCCTTTCCAGATATCACGGGGCTGGGGATCTGAGGCAGATCACCACAGTGTGCTGACAACAACAAGGAAAATGTTTCCAAGAGCAGGCCCAGACACCCAACTCGGAGGCCTGCTCTGTTGAGACTCAGGGCAGCCGCAGGAGCCCGCTATGACAGCAGCCATTTAATAATCTCCGTGTGCCCTCATGAGGGCCATGATGTCATGCAGGGGTTCAGATGAGCAGGCCCCAGATAAAAACAGCTCCTGGGGAGGAAACAGAGGCAGGCAGGGCAAGGTATCCACTCTCCCTGTTGCATAGATTAACCAGGAGTCAAGGGACCTGCGGGGGAGGAGGAGGGGCTGAAATATGTGGGCACGCTGAAGGATCTGGCATGGCTCCATTGGCATCTTACGTAACCCGCTGAGCCCCTGGCTCCTGAGTGCATGTCTGGGCTCCCGTTGGGGCCATTTGGCCTCTCAGCGCTGCTTAGACTGGACACCATTCTCTGGGTCCTGTCACTCTTGTCCTTCACCACCTGAGGTGGTGCTGAGGAAAGGGGCCCTCTGGAGAAAGAGGCTACCTGCCTGCTCTGTCCAGTCTCTCCTCAGGTCCCTGCAGTCTGGCTTTCGCTGCCACCACCTGCGGTCACCACTGCTATGCAGTGTAAACCACTGACCACAGCTCTAGTAGCTAAAAGGAAGGCCATCTGCAGACCCCTCCTCTTGCCTTAACGCCACAAAGAGCCACAAATAGCATCCCGGGAGGCTGGGGGACTGGATGAAGCAGAGGCAGATGCCAAGGCTCCGCTGTCTCTGGCAGCCTGGAACCCCATTCTGCCTCTTGATTCTCTTACTGTCAATCTGTCTTCCCATCAGTCTGTCTGTCTTCACTCGGTCCTTCAGTCGTTGCTCACCTGTGCCTGGCTGCTGGGCCCCGGGCTAGGCCTGTGCCGCCTTCACCTGCCTTGTGCTCTTCCTAAAGCCTGGCAACTCTGAGCATGTCCAAAGGAAACCTCCTGCAGAATGCTAGGCCATCACGCACAGCGGTTTCCATCTGGATGGCCCACGGATAACTCAGATGCCCCAGGCCCCAAACTGAACTCAGTATCTCCCTGACGTTAAGGACACAGAACTCACTCGATCTCTGGGCCCAGCTTGCCCTTCTCCCTGCACCATGCTCACGGCCAGCTCATCCCCATCATCCCATTCCTCTCCTACGCCACCGGTCTGCAATATTTCTCCCACACCTCCCACTTGCTGAGCCAGGGCACAGTGTGGGCGAGGCAGGTGGGTGCCGGTGCAGACTGCAGTGAACCCCAGAGAGACAGGGACCGGGTGCCTAGAGCAGGGACTCTACAGCGGTAAGGAGAGATAGGGGCAGCAGAGGGTTTGCAATAGCAGACTACCTTCTGGAGTATATTGCTTCTGGAGTAGGGGAGCATCATGCGGGTGGAGGGGGGCACTTAAGAGGTATGAGGGTAACACTCACAAAGCACAGTCGTGCTCCAAGCCCTTTATGAGATGCTTGGGCAGAATCTGGTGTGTATGGCTGGGACATTCCTATTCCCCTGGGGAGTGGTCTCAGGGCAGCAACAGGTGGTTCCGTGACAGGGTGTGTTTGAACGGCTTTATTTAGTTTGGGTTTTTGGGAACATTTTTTTTTTAAATCTTATCCTATTCCTAGAAATAGAGAGGGTGTTCAAATGTTCAAATGAAGCAGAGGAGGCTCTCTGCACAGGAAGCCTTCAGGAAGACAGGCTTGTCCCTTGGGCTTACCTGCAATGTCACACAGTTCTGCATCCGAGGCATTTGCCAAGGCCTCCTCCAGCTCGGGCTCCAGCGTCACACTCTCCAGCACGGGATCCATGGGCTTCTGCTTGGGGACCCAGATCTTTCCTGTAAATACACAGGGTGCATGGCTATAGTGGGGTCTGAGACTCCCTTCATGAAAGGTTCTGATACGAGAGAAAAACCTGTAAATGTTCTTCAACAAAATAGATAAAATGCACGCAGACTGTTAAAGCATGAAAGAGATTGCATTCTAGCTTCACAGGACCTTCTGTTCTTAGAGTGGCAAGCTCGAAAGTGGGCAGAAGAGGAACAAGTCAGGCAGGAGAGTGCCCACTGTGTGTCCACCAGTAAAGACTGTTGGAAGAGTCTGTACCAGACAATTCCGGAAGTTATTACAAAAGACGTGGAGGGGGCAAAGTGATGGCTTAGTGGCTACTACTCTTGAAGAGGACCTCATTCTCAGCACCCATCTCCCACAAGTGAAAACTGCCTGTAACGCCCGCTCGAGGGAATCTGACACCCTCTTCTGGCTGCGATAAACCCTGCACTCACACGCAGACTTCTGCTCACAAACACAACTCAAAAATAAAGAACTCTTTTTTTTTTTTTTGAGATCATGGAGATCATTAAGAAGGAATATGTCCTAGAAGGAATTTTCTGTGAAAAATCAAGTTTGAAAACCATCACGAGAAATTTCATTTTATTTCTGAGAAACTGCATGTGGTTTTGCACCTGTCCCTCCTGGGAACCCCATCTCCAAATTCATCTGTTAAGAGTGTGTGGAGGCAGAGTTTTGGGGGAGGTAGTCAGGATGAGTTGAAGTCGCGAGGTTGGGCTCCTGGGAGGGCATTAATGACTTGAGAAGGAAGAGAAAATAAACCTGAGCATCCATGCTTGCTGTCGCTCTCCTCACCATGTTAGCATGCAAAAAGGAACGCCACCCTCACCGCGCCTCTGCTGCCAGCTTTGAAACTTCTCAGCTCTTAGAACTCTGAGAAGTAAATTTCTTTTCTCTATAAATGAACTAGTCTGTGATATTCAGTTCATGTAGTCTATATGATTGGGCATGTGTGTGCTGTTTGGGGGTAGGGCGATCAGAAGGGAGTCAGTGTGACAACTGTCTCTGACCTGGGGCCTCACAGAAGTACGGAAAGAGCCCTCAAGATCAGAAACAACCAAGGACACCCAGCTTTATTGGGGCCATCAACAGCGCATGAGATGTTCTAGTTAGAGTGGATGCCGTGCTGCGTGAGAAAGAGGTGGAACCCAAACAAAAGAAGACATTTCTGTTTACAAATAACTCTTATGTGGAGAAAAGTCTGAACTTCTACATTCCAAAAAGCAACTAATCAGTCAAGCAACCAGACAAACCCCTACCCAAATGAAAAACAAAGAGCAGCGACAGCTGTTGGGACTCATCAATTCAGCAGCGTTTGGTGCCCAGGATGAGATCAGAGGGGCTTCTATGTAGCAGCAACAGGAATATGCAAAGGCAGCCAGGAAAGCAGTTCATAATAATAACCAAAGAATAAGATACTTGGGAATAAAGCCTAAATACATGTACACTGACAACTACAATGCATTCTAAAAGAAATAGAAAAAAATAGAGATCACTGAAAACAATCTCGTTTCATAGATTAGAAAACTTTGTAATATGAAGCTAGCAAACAACACAACAGAATTGAGAGCCCAGGAAAAAGCCACATATATGTGCAAATTATTATCAACAATGTACCATGTCTATTCAGCACGTGCTGGGTCACAAGATATAGTCACATGCAGAAGAATGACGTCAGACCCTACCTCACAACAAAGGCAAAAGTGAAACTCAAATGGATCAGTAACCTGACTATCAGAATTAAAAGCAAGACATTTTTAAAGAAAACAACAGCATGATCAAGATTAGCAATGGAATCTTGTTGTGACCACAAGCAACAAAAGAGACTCTCTTGAACGTCATTCAAAATTGAAAGTTTTATGTCTCAGAGGGTGTGATTAAGGAAGTACAAAGACCAATTCCGGAGTGGGCAAAATGTTCATGAGTCGTACAGCCGACAAAAGCCTAGTATCAGAGATAGAGAGCCAGGGCTGATGAGACGACTCAACTGTAAGGAAGAGCCCTGGCCACCAAACCTGACAACCTGAGATCAGCCCACTGAACTCACACGGCGGAAGGAGAGGACCAGTTCCTGCACGCCGTCTTCTGACCCGCACAGGCATGCACCCTGTGGTAGTGTATGCACACATCCATATGCATGTGCAAGCATGCATATGACTACACAAATCAATACACGGAATAAAATCTAAGAATACAGAAATAAATTTTACAACTCATCAACAAAAAGTCAAATGGCCCAACTTAAAAACGGGCAAATTACTTGAGTGGACATTGCCCCGAAGAGGATATGTACGTAGCTAACAAACACACGTGAAGACGCTTAACTGGGCACCAGTCCACAGTTGTGAGGATGCTGCTACAGAGGGAATGTGGCAAATCAGTGTTGGGAAAGATGAGGAAAATTGGACCCCTTATGTATTGCTGCTGGGAAGCAAAAAAAAAAAAAAAATAGTGCAGTTGTTATTGAAGTTGGGAATTCCTCCAGGATTAAAGAGTGATCACTGGACTCGTCAGTTCTTCCCTTAGGTATACACTCCAAAGAACTGAAAACAGGTTATTAATCTTGAGTAAGGCCTGTATAAGGCAAGTGTATAATCAGAGCTGGTCAGGAGACTGAGGTAGGAGGATTGCAAGGACAAAGCCTGCCTCGGCTACAGAACAAGAGAGTTCAAAGACAGCCCCAATACCTTAGTGAGACACCCTGCCTCTGGTCATGGTTGGGGAGGGGGTGGAGGGGAGGAATAAAGAGATGTGGCTCAGAGGTAGAGCCCTTGCCTAAATCTCTAGGGTCCTGCTACCCGAACCAGAAACAACAACAAAAACCTCACATACTTATATAGGAATGTTTATCATACTTCTGCAGAAATATTTAATTTTAACAGACTAAAGATGGAAAACCTAAATGTCTATCTATGGATGAATGGCTCAACAACTGTGGGATATGACGGACTCTGAAAACACAGTAAGTGAAAGAAACTAGCCAGTCAGCCACACACACACACACACACACACACACACACACAGAGAGAGAGAGAGAGAGAGAGAGAGAGAGACAGAGAGACACACACACACACAGAGAGAGAGAGAGAGACACAGAGAGAGAGACACAGAGAGAGACACACACACACACATAGAGAGAGAGAGAGAGAGACAGAGAGAGACAGAGAGAGACACACACACACACACACACACACACAGAGAGAGAGAGAGAGAGAGAGAGAGAGAGAGAGTTTGGTTTCACTTGTAGGCTATACTCGGAATAAGCCAGTCCACAGAAACAGATTGGGAAAAGGAAAGAGAATTGTCTAGAACCCCACCCCCACTCCCGGCATGGGATCGGTGCTTATTCTACGGGGGAAAAAATTACTTTGTTTTCTTCTTTTAGCAAATATCACTTACCTCTGCAAGCAAAGCACACAATAAAATCATAGGGGGAAAATGTATGAGAAACTCTACGGTGAGGTGAGATTCTAAACAAAGGGAGAAACGTACAAGGAAAAGAAAATGCCTAAGAGCTGGGGCTGTAGCTCCGCCGTGGACATGACTGACACAGTAAGTGAACATTCAGTAAATAGTTAAGACCCGTGGTTTACAAGCCCCCTGCTACAGGTCCTTCTTCGATCATGTGACTTCATGATCCTCATATGAGGGACTTAACCTTCTTTTCTTCTCTTTCTCTCCCTAGTTGGAATGTGAGCATTAGAATGGCTGGTCCTCCAGCAGCTAGAAGGACCGTAAAGATAATGATATATTACAGGGAAACAGAAAGAAAAGCTAGAGAGGACCTTGATTCCTAGCAGTGGGCAGATGGCTAATCAGCCTTTAATTTTTTAATTTCTATTTATGCAATTTCCCAGTATATGCAGCCAAATCAAATTCTAATGAAAATATCTTGCATGGAATTCTATTCTGACCTCCCCATTTGCATGTGAGTGACTCCTGCTCCAAATTCTCCAGGATGTTTACACAGATGCATGGCTCCCAGCACATCTTGCAGAATCTTGAGCTGACTAGGTGCTATTTCTCCTCAGCCTAAGCTATGGGCCCAGTGTGGGGGGTTAAATTCTCAGGAAAGCCTGGGCTAATGGCATGAGATACCTCTGGCCTTAGCCCCTCTGTGGAGATCTCCACTTATTTAATTCATAAGAATTTCAGCTACCATCAATTATATTCTGTTAAATGCTATTATTATTTTATTTTATGTGTATGGGGGCTTTGGCTGAATGGATGTCTGTGCACCATACTCATGCTTGGTGCCTCTGGAATCCAGAAGAGGGCACTGGATCCTCTGGAACTGGAGTTATGGACATTTGTGAGTCACCATGTGGGGGCTGGGAATTGAACCTGGGTCCTCTGGAAGAAAAGTCAGATCCCACCTCCGAGTCATGTCTCCAGCTCCAATTACATTCTCGATGCTGTTGGGCCATTTAAGCCTGCCTCATATGGGGACATAAGGGATTCGAGCTTTTCTACTGCTCCCTCAGGGCCACTGCTGATGCCCTGTAGCCTCTGTTTCCTCAGGTTTCAAATATGCAGGAGGGACTGCGGGAGCCAGATAGCCCTGCTTATGCCACAGGCCCTTGGGTGAAAACATCACTAGAGCATACAGTCTTCGTTGGGTCCACTCTGCAAACCTCCTCCCTGCCATCGCTGCCTGCCCCCTCTTACTACCCAGCCCAGCACTCTTCAAGTTTTGTGGTTCACATGCCCCTTGAGTCTCTTGGAACTTTCTAGCTTCCAGGAGAGCCTGGAAAAGCTCCAACCCAGGGCTGATGATGGTTGGACTCCCTCCACAATGTCTGCCTTTCTGTGCTTCCACGTTCTGTCATTAGGCAGCCAAACAGCGTCACATACTCGGCTGACAACAGGGACACAGAGGGGACAGCTGTAGACACAGACCCAGATTCGGCAGGTTTATATTCTTGCAGATAGGGGCCGTGGGAGGAATGAGAAGAGAATGGGGGACACAATCAATTAAAACAATGTTTTAATTCAACAAGTATTCACGAGGTACCTTTGTGTGCAAGGTGTAGCTGGGTACTGGGGATGCAACAAGACACAGAACACTCATGGGCCTGTGGGCTAAGGCAGTATGTCACTGGAGAGGGACACATTCATCACCTGTAACTCACGCTCAGCCCACGCTCCGCTCAGCACTATGGAAGGCTAGCCCCTTTGCCAGCTGGGGCTACCAGGTAGTCAAAAATCACCCACATTCCAACCCTCAGGGACCAGCTCCTGAGAGATGATTAAGGAGAATCAGAGAGAATGTGAAGAGCTTTGAAAGACTCACTCAGGTCCCTGAGATGGCAAACACCCAAGAAGGGAGCAGAGAGTGGCGGTACGCCTTGTCAAAGGAGACGGGGCAGTGTCGCTGAAAGACAGGTCAGTACAGATGGAACGTGACGGTCAGGGCAGTCATAGCTCATGTGTCCATAGTATTTGCCGTGTGCCAGGGTGGGTCTATCCATGTCTCAGTTCTCCCAAAAGTCACAGGAGGCTGGGAATGTTCTCATTTAGTTCGCCAGAAGAGGAAACAAGTAATTCATTGAGCTCTCATTGCTAATAAGTAGTAGAACCTGGGCTATAGGCTCTTTCTAACCACAGCATCTCTTACTAGACACACCCATGAGGCATAGAGCTGGGTGGCAAGGAAGAGTACTCATGACCTGGGGACAGGTAAAAACAGTAAGAACAGAACTCAGACTTCTGGTCTGCCCTATTCATCATCCTTCTGGTCCACAGATGCCACAGCTAACCGGGTACAGCATGCAAGAAGGCACACTCTAAACAGCCAGGGAGGACCTGAAGCTTGGATTGTCACGGAGAGTGTCTATCTATGATCCTATGAAGACTTCTAGATGGCTTGTTTTTTGCTGGAGCAGAGTGTCTCGGGAAAAGAGATGAAGGAAGGCTGACACCAGGGCCAGAAAAAGAGACTTTAAAGAAAGTAGAGTCAGATCAGAGGGAGCTGGGTGAGGTGCCTTGCTCCTCGTTTCTACAGAATGGTCCTTGTTTAGGTCTCGTATTCTGATGTCATTAGCAATAGCTTTCTCTTTCCCTTACAAGTATCTAGGTTTTGATGAAAAATAACCAATACACCCTAGTTAAAGAGGATCTGGGGAGACATTTTGGTTGTCTGGGTGAGTCTTTTTCCTCAAACCATCCCCAACTGATTGAATATAACACCATAGATGATGCTTTAGGGTAAGGGACTGTTTACTGTTCAGGCAGGAAGGACCCAAGAGAGGCCCTGGTACATTTGGCCCAACACAGGGTAGGGCACACATGTGGTCCTCTGTGAGGCCTCAGGAAGGACAAGCTCATGAAAGCCGTGTGGTTTAGTACCTCGTTTCTCCCCTGTGTAGGGAACCAGGTCTTCTCGATCCTTAAATTCCTTCGCTTGCTTTTCCAAGTGATCCAAAAGCTCCTCTCTTTTAAAGGGGCCTGTGGGCGCCTTGGTGGTCTGATCCTTCTGCCTCAGGCCTGCGGGGAGCAGTGCATTCTAAGATGAGGGTGGTGGGTGAGAGAGAGAGAGAGAAGGAGAGAGAGAAAGAGAGAGAGAGCAGTCAGCAGCTATAGATACGCAGTTCTCCAGAAACACAACACAGACTAGTAGGGGCCTCCAAGCTGGAGAATCCAGCCAAGTCCTTTCTTTTTCTATGTAAGGAACCAGAAAGCTGGAGAAGGGCTGGGACTTGTCCCAGGTCACACAGCCACTTAAGGGGCAGAGAGGAGTTGTGGGGCTCAGTCCTCTGGTGTCACTACCAGTACCGTTTTAAATGTATGGTGTTAACCAATAGGGTAACCAACACAGGCTGAGCATAGAGAGATTCTTGGAACTCAGTACTTAGACACAAAATTATATTTGCTACAGCGTCGTAAGTGATCAGAGAAAGAAACCAAGGGAGCTTGGTAGGGTCTTGGATGGAAGATGACTCAAAGAGGGAAACCCTCCCCCAACAAGCCTGAGAAAGGCTTGACAGAACAACAAAGCAGCTAAGGCACACACAGTCCACAGTCTCTATGGCCTTTGGGGTCTGGTGGGTCTGTGCTCATGAGAACTGATTGCTACATATTTTAAATGCCGCCTCTGGAGATGGGTCTCTCAAGAACGACAGCACCACCCAATTGCTCTGTTCTCTTCTTCAAGCATGGGGAGACCTGTAGGTGTGGGTTCACTACCAACGTTGATTCCCATTTAGGGGGATTTCAGTCACCCAAATGGGTTTCACCTAAGTCAGCCCCTGGCACTTCAAGAATCAAAGGCAATGAGAGCTTCAAGGATGCATAGAGACCAGTTTTTATGTAACCCTTCCTTCAAGGGGAAACTGAGGTCCAGAACAGAGAAAGACTACCCAAGGAGTTTCAGGGTGTAGTAATAGGAACGGCGGGGCTGTGTCCCCGGCACCCGGCCGCCCGCATGGCTAGTTTATGCCCAGAAATAATTACACGGAAACTGTATTCTTTTAAACACTGCTTGGCCCATTAGTTTTAACCTCTTATTGGCTAGCTCTTACATATTGATCTAACCCATTTCTAATATTGTGGGTAGCACCACGAGCTGGCTTACCAGGAAAGACCTTAACCTGCGTCTGTCTGGAGTGGGAGAATCATGGCGACTCACTGACTCGGCTTCTTTCTCCCAGAATTCTGTTCTGTCTACTCTGCCTACCTAATTTTCTGTCCTATTAAAGGCCAAGCAGTTTCTTTATTAGTTAACCAATGAAAGCAACAGATAGATACAAGACCCACCTCCATCATCAGGGGTAGCTCATGCACAAATCCAGGGTATTCCCTTAGATTTGGGGGAGAGGCAAACTTTCTAACCCTCATACAATCTGTGCCCCTTACTTTTAGAGAGCTAGAAGGGGATGCCTAGGGGACAGGTGTGCAATCTTAGCTGCACCCCCAAATCGACCAAATTGGTGTCACTCCTATCTCAAGTGCAGGTTCCCTTGAAGTGCTTATTCCTTGTCACTCACAACATGCTGGATCCTTCCCTGAAGACCTCTTGAGGAGAGGGTGAGAGATCACGGGACTGGCATGCCCACAGGGATGAAGCTTGGGGGAGAGACACCACCGGCTAATAGCTATGGCTGCTTATGAAGTGCTCACACCTGCTGTGGATTCAACAGCAGCAGGGTGTGGCCTCACATTGGGTCACAAGGGTCTACAGTTTGCAAGACTTGGGGACAAGGGGTTCAAAGGTGGGGGCTGGGGTATGTGCAAATAAACACAGGCCAGAGGCCAGCAGAGACATTGGGATCTGGAGTATTTTATGAGAAGAGGACCAGCAGGCAGAAAAACAAACATGAACTGATCTGAGGGAATCCAAAGGATGCCGTGAGAGTCACAGCGGTTCACAGACAGCATCCACTGTGGTGATGCTCACAGGCAAGTCACGCTTCCGCAGGGCAGGTACAGATTGTACGGCACTTCCTAAAGCTAGATGTGGGGGGTCTACTCCTTCTAGCCCATGGCAGGGGCTTCTTGTGGCTTAGTGGGTAATGGTACACTTTACTGCCTGCCATGTCTATCCATGGCTATCCACAGAGGGTGACCCACCTGCTTTGTGACATGAGGCTACACCAAGTCTAAGCCTTGTCAGGGACTAATGGCGGAACACCAGAATGGCATTCACCAAGCCCCCCTGACCCTGTATGCTATGGCTTCTATGGCTACACAATGTGAGTGATAATGATGATGATGGCCGTCTCTTACATATTTGGGGAAAGTTAAAATTAAGTAATGTGAAGGACTGGCCTGTACTGCTATACTCATTAGTATGTATTTTATGTGCATTGGTGTTTGGCCTGTATGTGAGGGTGTCAAACCCCCTGGAACTGGAGTTACAGACAGTTGTGAGCCGCCATGTATGTGCTGGAAATAGGCACAGGTCCTCTGGAAGGGCAGTCAGTGCTCTTAGCCACTGAGCCATCTCAGCAGCACTGAGCTATTAAATACCCCCAACTGATAGCGTCCCACAGTTCTATTATCAGATAAGACACATTTTAGCTGGAGGCCAGTCATTCAAAATGTGGGTAGTAGAAAAGAGTTATCCAAATATGTTCTAGAATCCAAGGAACTCAGATACACAAATATGAAATGAGCTAATCCCTGAAGGTAAGTGCCCGATGGTCCCTTCAAGGGGCATGGAATTTTCATCTCCATAAAGGGTTTCATAATTCTTTCTGGTTTATTTGCTTTATGATTCTCTCTCTCTCTCTCTCTCTCTCTCTCTCTCTCTCTCTCTCTCAAGCAGAGTATCATTCTGTAGCCAAGAGAGGTCTCCAAATTGCCATACTCCTTCTTCAGCCTCCTCTCTATTGCAGTTACAGATGTGTGCCACCTCACCAGAGTACCATAGATTTTAATGACAGGAAGGGTTTGGGGCTCAGTATTGTAATGAAAAAAAAAATAAACCATGAGGTTGAAAAGGGGTTTTAAACTCTCATCACCTTCAGACTTTGCTGCAGAGGACCCTGGCTTAGCCGGTGTGGTTTCCCAACCTTGGCATTATGGTGTGCTAATCTGGACAACAGGGTCATGGCAGCTGATCTGATAATGGTAATGGTCACTCTGGTTTCTACCCCTTCAGAGGTCAGTAGTCCTATGACAACAAAAACCATCTCCAAACACTACCGAGTCTTCTGCGGGGGAGCACTGCTCTGGCTGAGAACCACTACATCAAATCAGGGCCATAGACTATGGAAGGAAAGATGGTTTTAATGTGTGTATGAATATTAGTTATACAACATATTAAAACATGGTTTCATTAAGTTAAATATTTAATGAAAGAAGCTGAGCTTTCAAAACCAAAATTTCAAAAGTATTTTCTAGAGATTCTTAGCTCATCGACTTTTTAAAGTACATTGTGACCACGTCAGCCTTATTAGGGCTCAAAGTTTATTTTCTTTCCATTAAAGGCTACATTGAAAAAGTCTCACAGAATCTTCAGTTAAAATCAAAGAGAGCTACATCTTTTAAAACTTAGTTATTTATCACTTGAACTTGTTTTCAAAAACAGCATATGACCTCACAGTGTACATAAATATTAACTCACAGAGGATCAAAGACCAAAATGTAAAAGCTAAAACTATAAAATTCTTAGAAGAAAGTGTAGACATAAATCTTCAGACTCTGAATTAGGCAATGGTTTCTTAGATATGACACAAAACAATGAGCAACAGAAGAAGAAAAAAAAATCCCCTGGATGGACTTCACCAAAATTAAAAACATTTGTTCTTCAAAGGACACTGGCAAAGAGACGGAATGGGAGAAATGCCTTTAAATCACATATCTGATAAGAGTACAATATCCAGAATGCATGAGTTTCTTGTGGGATTCAATAATAGGGGACAAAAAAAAATAAACAATTTAAAGAATGGTCAAAGAAGTTGAATAGATATTTTTCAAAGAACATATAAAATTCCTGACGAGGGGGCTGAAGAGATGGCTCAGTCAATAAAACGTTTGCCACACAAGCTTGAGAACCTGAGTTTGATCCTTAGCACACACACAAATCAGTGAACACCTGTAATCCCAGAACTTGGGAGGTGGAGAAGGACGGTCCCTGGCTTGCTGGCCAACCACCTAGCCTAACTGGAGAGCTCCAGGTTGAATGGGAGACCATGTTGCAAAAAGATGGGGTGGATGTGCATATGGGTAGCACAGATTGGACTCAGGGGATTATTAATAAAAATAAATAAATAAGAAGACATGAAGCTGGGAGAGACACAGAGTGAAGGCACTAGGAGGAGTTGGGGGAGGCAATGGTGGGCTGATATAATCAATGGATCTTATATAAATGTATGGACCATCTAAAGAACCAAACATTATTTTAAAAAATAAGGTGAGACTCGAAAAACCAAAAAAAAAAAAAAAATAAGGTGAGAAGCTAACAAGGAAGACACTAGACATTGACCTCTGGTCATCACATGCAAACTAACAAATGCATAAACACACATACCCCCCACATGTATACTCATGAACACATACATCCCCACATGCACACTCATGAACACATACACCCCACATGCACACTCATGAACACATACACCCCCACATGCACACTCATGAACACATACACCCCACATGCACACTCATGAACAAATACACCCCACATGCACACTCATGAACACATACCCCCCACATGCACACTCATGAACACATACATCCCCACATGCACACTCAAGAACACGTATACACACATAACCCCCTACACAAAATAAATAAATTTTTTCATTATAAAACATCCCTGATAAGCTGGGTGAAGTAGCACATGCTTGTAATTCCAGCTGAAGCCGGCATGACACAGAGTTTGAAGTCACTTTGGGCTACACAATGAGACCCTGTCTCAAAAAAAGACAAGCCAAACCAAACCATAAACCTCTTTCAAAGATGTCCACTAGACACATGAAGAGACACTCAGCACCACTAGCCATCAACAAAGTGCAACTCACGCTGGACAGACACCATAAAAAACACACGTGTTGGCAAGAA